GAGAAACTTACAGGAAATACATTAGCTATGATATGGTCCATATTGCAAGATTCTTGGCTCCATTCACAATTCAAAGGATTTGGATTCACGTTTGATTTACTTTATACTTAATAAATTTTTTGGGGTGTTAAACGGTCTATAAATAATAATAAACAAAACCACAAATCCTCAAAGGTTGAGTGCTGTGCAGGCTGCAGCCAAGTTTGATTCACCTATTTTAAAGAGCTCATTTTTCTCAATGAAATGCGACGGAACACCATAAAATTAAGATTAAAACATCAGGGTCTTTGGAATTTGTAGTGGCTGTCTTTTGCCGAACTATACTGATGGGGATCGGGATCAGGACACAGGTCACTAACCTCATACACGAGCACCGAAATCTAGGGTTAGTGCAAACTCAGATATATCGTAGCAAATTCATGCCACAAATAAACTATTTCACTAATCATCAATATTCCATCTTCCTACAACTATTACATTAGCCTTATTTATAGGCTTTACAAGACTTGGGCACCAAGATTGCTTGGTCCAAAAGTAAACTAATTAATTATAAAATCACACATAAGTAATAAAAGATATCCTAAAACTACCTAAATAAGAAAATAACAATATATCATGAAATAACTAATTAAATGATAAATATCTATCTTGATCCACCCCTATGCTCCTGCATCATATACTAGGAGTATTATTCAATTATTGGTCGCTCAGCCTACTAACGAACATGTTAAAACCAAAACTAAAACATCATCGATTTAATTTTTGTTCTACATCTATCCACTTGATGTATGAAATGTCAATTGGTTTGAGCCATGTAATTCAGCATATGTATGCTCCATGTTGAACACAATTTGATGCCCAGGTCTCAACAACCACCTCTCTTTTTTTTTCTTTTGTTTGTTTTATGATGGAACGTTTAATTTATTTTGAACTTTTGTTTTCAGATGACATGTGCGCGGCGAAATATTCTAACTTTTTAAAACCAGATTAGAGTCAGTGACAGTGAGCTTGACAATATTTATATAGTCAAAGTATGCAGCCTGTAAATAAATATAAATAACGTCTTGGACTGGCAACTAAAGATGACATAGTTTTATTTATTTTATTTTTTTAAAGGATGCAAAAGTACGTACCATTTCAGAGGTCTTTAATTGACCGAATACGCGAAATAATTATATAAGATAATTTTGGTCAAGCAGCCACTGGAATATTAGCATATTATAGTTGACTTTCGTAGAAAATACGATGAATCGAATTGGAAGGCGTTGGCACCCTTAAAAAATGTCAAATCGAAGTATATGCATTGAGCAAGTGTTTTGTAGTTCAAGCGGTTAACATTATTTACCCAAGCATATTCAATCCAAGTATACAAGTTCGAGTCTTTCACTCCCAAATATCACGTGTATCAAAAAATAAAAAAGTGGAGGTATAGATGCATTGATTGAGCTCATAAAGAAAAATAATGTAAGGTGAACTGAAACTTGAAAGGCCATGGCATTTGAGGGGTTACAAAGTAAGCAGTTAGGGGTTGTGTTGTGTTCTATCATTTTCCAGGTACCACACCGGCCAATTATCTGTCTGCGGACAAGTTGACATTTATCACCAGTACACCTTGATAAAATAAATTATAGTTAAAAAAAAAGAGAGTATATATATAGTTGCATACTTATATAGATGAGAAAAATATGAACTAGAAAGATGTGATTAAAACAATTTTATAAAATAATAATAAAAAATCTAATTAAAACCAAAAGACGTGACATTAGTTTAAGGATATTCAATTTTTTGATTAGGTCAATTATTTTTGTTATCAAATAATTATCACTAGGGCTGTCTCAATCCACTCAAATAAAAATAAAAATAAAAATCTATGGCATCGGATGTGGCAATAATTTGACTAAGAACCGAATGCGAAAAATTTAATTCTTTGAGAAAGAAAGAGAGAAAGAAGAAGCATTGTGTTTGATATTGTTGAGCTAACTTCAAGTCATCAACTAATCCAACTGGAACTGATCGAAGGAAGCTGAGGTTCCACTCTAAAATTAATTGACGGTAAATAGAGTAAACCAACTTCTTATAAGTTTTTGTCTCATAATATTTTATTTAACAATTAAGGACCAAGAGGAAATTACTAAGTAAAATAACATTAATTCCCCCACTAACTTTTTAAATTAAATTCTGAATTGTAAATGGATCATGAGAGCAATGGGTGACACATATTGTATTGTTGGAATCATAAGTTTGTATCATAGTGTATTCTTATTTAAATTCACGGCTCAAAAATCTAGATTGATAATTTGACAGCATAATATCATATATTTCGTAAAAGTATGTTGACATGTGACACCAACACATAGCCTAAAGAAATAATCCTTGTAGAAAAATTAAAACTACTAATGCACTTAATTAATATAGTAGATCCCGACTTGAATAATTAACCCAAAAAAAGATTAAAATAAATGTTAATTAAACTTGAGCTGCCGATGTTTATTAAATTTAGTTGTCTTTCTAACCTTGAAAGAAGATTCACGAATCATGATAAATCATTTTCCATGTGTAATGTCACATGCATCATGCATGCAATGCACAATGAATCTCAGTCCTCGTTTGCACCAGCAGGGAGGCAGCAAGCAAGCAACTAAGAACAATAATTAATTTAATATTGGCTAAATCATAATTAAGACCACCTATTTAATACATGGAGATCTAAAGTAGCATGTTATCTTGTCATGCAGGAAGGCAGGCAAGGACCAAAGTAATTTTGCTTCGATCTCAGATCACTGCCTAGCTAGCTACCTACCACCAAGATTCATGTTTCCAATCACAATCACCAACTTTATACAATATTTTAGTCATCATAAGATGAATTAAAAATATTTCACTGGATAATTTAGTCTTATACTCATATCATAGCGGTAGTTTTTTTAGATTTTCAGCATGCATTGCTAGTTACAGTCATATACGTTATGTACGGTTGTTAACTGTTGATATAATGCGGCAAATATACAACTTCCAACTTATAAAGTTTTATTCATTGAACGAGAGAGGTTCATTTGATATGCAATAATCATACCAATAATTCAATCTAGTAAGTATTGTAATGTAAAGAAAATCTTATAAGTCTGAACCAAGACTGGTCATATATCTAATATCTATAATTGCATGTGATCATTCATCAGTTGTATTCAAAATTTCGTAGCTCTAAACGCCTGACCCGACCACTTAGATTGACCAACTGCTAGACTTTTTATAAATAAATTAATAAAATAGTTATAAAAAAAATATTGATAAATGTGGACTAAAAAAATTTATTTTCCGTCGATTACGTGTGGATGACTGATTGGCTTTTTTTGGGTTGGAGTGGCCAAACTTTCCATGAGATGGAGTGAATTTTCACTAAATAGGGTGGACTTCATAAAATTTAGCACCAAATTTAAATTTATTGACTTTCAATTATTTATAAATAAATAAAAATTGCAGTCAATTAATTAGAGCTCACGCTAATCTGAAAAGGTTCAGCCCTACAGTACACACAACCGGACCAGACCGGCAAAGCTGGGGTTGAGAGACCATTGAAATTTGGGCGCGTGTGAGGCGATCAATCTGGTCCAACTGATTTGCCTGGTTTGAGATTCGGCGCACCAGACGAGACTTACAATGTTCATTTGTCAACCTTGGTGTGCCATTCTTTCACATCCAACGTTAAATATTGATTGAGAAGATGTTGCCCAAACTATTTATCAAGTTCTTAAAGTCTAGTACAGTGAAAATGATCTTATCTTGCATACTAACATTCTCATGTTCGAATTCTTACGATATTTCGGCATAGTACAGTGAAAATGATCTTATTTTGCATACTAACATTCTCATGTTCGAATTCTTACGATATTTCAGCACTGTGTGTGATAAAACATTCCTCCCTCAATATTGGTAGTATAAAAAAATAAAAAATAAACATATAGTTATAAAGAAACATTCATTTATCATTGCACTTCGTATTAATATGAATGGTTTCTTTTTCTTATAGTTTGATTCTTCGAGTGTTTTTCGCTAGCATTAACAGTTGTCAACGACTGCAATATAATTGATGAAAATGATGGTTTAGTTTGAGAGGAAAAAAATGTGTCTAATTTAATAAACTATTTCTATTAGACTGGTGAAAGATAGCTACTACACAAGTCTGGCTCCTTGTCCTGGAAATCACGTATGAAATAGCATGGCCTTACCGACAACCAACCACCCATGTCTATGCAACATGTTGTCTTTTAATGATTTTGGCTTTACTTTGAGTTTGGTACAACCATGACCTGTCCAAGCTTACATATGTTGACCCAGAAAGAGAATCATGAGTTTAACACAGGTCCCCACTTCCACCAATTTACAGTGTTAGGGAAGGGAACCATTCTATAGAAACATAAGTTGGGTGACTGTCAATCCTCTCTCTCTCTCTCTCTCTCTCTCTCTCTCTCTCTGTGAACAGTCAAATTTTTAAACCATATAAATGGAATGGACTGTGAAGAATTCTTAACTTGTTTCTTGGGTCAAACATAATGTCTTAGCCTACTCAAGCACAAAAAACAGTATTGCCTAGTGAAACAAATTCCATTATATAAGCCGAAAAATTAACTTACATGAGTATATATCAGATACATTTCTATTGTAATTTTTCGGCAGGACTTTCCTTTGTTTCCATCTGCTCAACTTCTCAACTACTTCTTCCCCCAGTTGCCTAAAATTCAGGTTGGTCATGTTTGTCCAACTCAAGTGCCAAACTTTTCATCAAATAAAACATATCTCTATAATGTGGTATGCTACATGGACTGCCACCAGCACTGCCTTACATGTGCTATATACGTAAGTAGAATGGATACAAGTAATATGCGTACTACACCATCGTATGACAATGCAAAAATATAAAAATGTGTTCTGTATGCAATGCAGGCTTATGTGCAGAAACAATACCGAATGATCATGTAAGCGTGCAATGCAGGCTCTTGCTATTAGGGTTCCTTTACAGCATTCTTTGGCAGATTATCAACAACAGACAGCCCACTTTCTGAAGCAATTACTGCTGTGCATCTGTAGTTCACCACAAGTAAGACAACAAAATTAGTGGTTTATCCTACCTGGTAAACATTTTAAGAAATGAAACTTAAGGAAGAACCAAGAGAATTATTTTTGTAAGGTAGATATGGAATCTCTGTTTGTGAACAAACAATGGAACAACTGAATAAGAATGTTGAGATGCCCAAATGGACTCACAAGGAGTAACTGTGGAAGTTAATACAGTTGAATCCATTCATATACCTTCCCCCAAAACTCTCAATCTCCAGAAACAGTTAATTAGAATTGCCTTAATCATCTATTATCAGAACCATCACCAAGACCTAACCAATTACAAGCATTGTGCTTCTTCTTGTAAAAGATACTCCCTGGTTTATAAACTTTATATATAAAGCAATATGTAGTAGCATATCTGTAAAAGCATAAAAGAGTTTACAAGGGAACAAAAAACTTAACGGGAACTTGGAAATGATTCCATGGTCTATGACCCCATCAACTTCATCAAGGCTTTTCGATACTTCATCTACAATTTAAGTTCACAAAGACATGAAAACTTATTTTCAAGCGTGGAAGCATATATTAAAACAAGGAATGATGGAGATTGTAAGACCTACTGAGGCTTAGTATTGGAGATGTAAATATGACATCAAGAACATTATGGCCTTCTTTGGTGACTAGTGGGAAGTCACCCCCCTTAGGACCCGCGATCCCAATTGATGGTCTCCTCCATACCTTCAGAAGTGACAAAAGGAAAATATCATTAGGAAAGACGACTGAATCAGTAATACAGGTTAATTATGTACTAGCTCCTTCTTTCTTATTAACAATTTTTAATTGTGAAGTTTTGTTTGCTTCTTTCTTATTAAACAAACAAAAAGATGCAATCACTTTTTTACTGAGAGAAAACAATGAGATGTTCTTGCTTTCTTATGATAAACTAACATATAATTGATGAGCATTGCAAACAAAAGAACTACTTAATGGTATGACGAGAAAGCAGACCTCTGCATCACCTAAAAAAAGGTCATCAATCTCTTCAGCAGCTTGCATCCAGTTGAGCTGAAATTTAATTTGGGTGTTCAGACAACCTTTCTCTTACTATGGAACTTGATGGTTAACTTAATTAAAATAAGCAATGAATATCGCTTCTTACAGAATTCACTAAAACTGGAATAGAACCATCCGGACCACTTTTGTACTGGTTTTCTGTGATCATGAACACAAGCTTATTGGCTGCGTTTAGTATAGACTGCAGGGGAAAAGAAAAAGAAAATTTTCCAGTAAGTGCTTCATATTAAGAAACATAGGTTTAACATATCAAATTATGCAACTTGGATGGTCGTGAAAAAAAAAATTACAATATTGCAGACTCATTTTTTCATGGGTTGAGAAATTTTCCATGCTATTGCTTGAGTTCTAACAGTTCATGTAAACAGGACAGGCAACAGTATCGTGACTGACCTTCTCTTGGATTATGGACTCCTCTCCCTGATTTCTTGTTCGCCCAATGACAGATATAAGTGTTCCTTCTTCTATAATATCAGCATCATCAAATGCAAAATCAATCTACAAAGGAGCAAGTTAAAATGATATTCTACTAAGGTTAAATTTTTGAATCTTCCATGATCACATTGAGAGTGATGCATTGTGCATTGTCAAGAAAGTGTCTAAGAATATCTTTACAACTAGCTGACATATCTTTTTAGTTCTCATATCCTGATATATATCAGAATTCTTTGATTCCAGTCAAAACCAAATGCATGGACATCAATTAGTGGTGTGCTTTCTCCAAACATATAATACTCGAAAACCCCAAATGAAAAGGAAACTTTCTTATGTTTAGAATGTGTGCACACTTGAGAACAATACTCATAGTGACCCAATGGAATTCCTGCCTTTGCCGCCTCACTTGCACATGCTATGGACCTGCATAAATCCAAAGTAAATTCCTTTATGAAAAAACAAAGAGGAAAGGAAAAGAAAGTGTAATGCTTTGGCTCACAACCCTTCATTGGACATGGAGCCCGACTCTACAAACACAAGTTTTTCCAATTTGTCTCAGTTTCACCAGTTGATGGAGCTGAGGAGAAAGATTCAGTTACATGATTCGAAGACATCACTTTTTTCCATACTTACTTTAGGGATCTTAAGAACTTTGGAAGGAGCCAAGAAATCAGAAGCATTTTATTTATTTATTTAAAAGAACTATGAATTCTTAATCAGGTTACTTACATTGGTATCCCCACTATATCTTTTAGAGCACCTGCACCAAGTTGCAGACCTATATACTGTATGGCCATATCAGAAGCTTGGCCAGACCCCAACCCAATAACCATACCACTTTTAATGTATGTATCCACCTAGAAAGTCAAGTATGAATATTCCTTGAATTAGTTCCTACATATAACAATCATACAACTTATAAAAGCAAGAAAGTAATATACCATTATTATTATTGTCAAATTTTTTATGTACGTTTATACTGCTATGTCAGCCTTTCATATTCCCTTCAATTTTAATTTTCATGTTTCTTTCTTACTAAACTAACAAACCATACTTAACCTTAGTGACCCAAACTGACGAAAGATGCCTCCTTTTTCCACTCAAATGCTCATATGATGAAATAGAGAGCAACGAAATCCTAGAAGAGACATACCCTAAAAGCAACACATATGCTACAATTGCCCTTAATTATTCACCATTTTAGCAAAGAAAGTGAATATAATAGCTCACACACTCACTCATTTAATAATTCACCTTTATTTCTTCCATTTTCATCTTATATGGCTCTTTCTCCTTTTACTAATTTCAAGAAATTTTTTTCTAACATCAATTTGCCCTCCATCAAGTTGTTGAGAAAATTAAGTAAAAGAAACTTACTTCTCTATGTTATGCTCTAGAATACTAAAAAAAGTAAGAATAAGAAGAAAGAATCATGATGAAAACCAATCAAAACAGATTTTTTAAGCTGAAGTCCATCACATATTGCAATGTGCAAATGATGAGAAAGTGCAGAACACATCAACACTTACGCTCATAATATCTGTAAACATGCAAGGAAAATAAACATAATAAAAAAAAACATCAAATTATAAGCACACACAGTGTGGTGGGCTGCTTGGAAAAGAGCAGAGCCACCAGCGAGACTGGACCCAGTAATCTTTAGACAATGGGTCCTTCTTCTCCTTGTGCTGCTGCCTCCTCCTCTTCCTCTGGAAGTTGGTAAAGTTAGAGAAGAGTAGAGGGGATTTGATGATGCTATGGCTATGGATGCCAGTGCCATCCTCACTCTTCCTCTGACAGTCTCACTATAACGGATAACGGATAAACCAACTCTCAATTTGTGCTCTAAAACTCTGAAGCAGTTGGGATATGTCACCTTCAACCTCAAACCGCCACTTCATCTTCAGCAATCAGCACCACTGGATCTGTGGGACCGCAGCCCATAAGGGATTGGTGGGCTTTGGGCAAATGAATATAGGGACGCCCTCATGAATCAAAACCAAAGCTGATTTCCACCAAGCCTTTGGGCCTGACCAAGAGTCCAAGATCAACTGTGAGTCTATGTCCAAGCCTAGGCCCATGTCTATTTTCTCTCTTTATCATTTTTTGATACAAGTGATATTGGGAGAGGAAGGAATTCGAACACAAGAGTGCAGGGGTAGCTGCTCTTAAGTGTGCAGTTAAGTGCTTTTCTTTTAAATTTTTGTCCGGAAAGAAATAAGACAACATCGAGCTCTAACCAAAATATGAGACAAGTGCTCTACTACTAAAGTGACTTTCACCTAAATTACGAGAACTGAAACTATGTTTCAATCAACTGAACATAGAACAAAATCCGCACCCACTTGGTTAGATTAGACTTCATTCATACAACTAATTATGTGTCTTATTTAATTACAAGTTCATGGTTCAGCTAAATGAATGAGAGATTTACTCGTCCTTTTGGTCTATAACATTGATATAACATGCAAAAGAGAAAATGTACAGTTAAAGACCTCAACGTTCATAACAAAATTCAAATTAAAGGCACATTCATCAAAATGTTGTAATGTACCTATCTGTAAACCCAACTGAATTGCATCAAAGCAAATCTCAAGTGTTTCTGCTCAACTTTTCGCTGAATGTGTATACATAGAACGAAAAAGACAGACCAAGTTTAGAGATGGGGCACCAGTCTTTGCGCTCAAACATTATCATCACCTTTTTCTTCCAAATAGATGGAATCAGTCAAGGACCAACGGTGGTAAACAGGTTTTTTTTTCTTTTTCTTCTTCCCCTTTTCCTTTTGGTATTGTCACATGGAGAAGGCCATCAATTGGACTCAAAAAGAGTGATCCTAATGATTGAAGAATCACGTTCTTTTGGCACAGCAGAGCATACCAAGAACTCCCAACGACTATTAAATAAAATCATGTTCTTAAAAGTGTACACCGGAAAATGGATGCATCATGTGTATGGCCTACCATATGAGGAAGGCACATAGAAATATATTGAGCAGAAAAGCTTAGGAAAATCATGAGATCACCCAATTGCAGAAACAGTATTAGAATCCAATAGAAATAGAACCTGCACTCAAAATCTGGCCTTTTTCACATGCGCACTCATATATAGTGTACTCAATACACCACCGTCCCACAACACCCCCACCCATCAGACCAGAAGGTCCAAAACTTAAACCCTCTCTCTCCTCGCATCTTCTCTCTCTACTTGTGCAGTGTCACGGGTGGTCTTAAAAAATTAGAACGTTGGAGCAAGTAGACAACTGCGGAGAAAAAGGGCCAAGACAAAAGATTAATGTTGACCTGCCCCGTCAAAACACCATCAAGCTACCATCATTTCCAATTAGATAAATCGAAAAGTATGTGGAGATATATACATATTTTTACAAGCAGATAACTGGAAACTGGTATTTGCAGTTTCCTACAAATACATGTATTACGTGGCAATCAATAACAATAGCAAAAATCATGTTGTTGTATAAATGTTAAGAAATGATTATCTTTGTGTGCAAATAAGAAAACAAAAAAGGGATGATTTGAAGTTGGGTTGCAGACGGATTTTTGGATTTGGCTGAAAAATGATACATGAAATATAATGTGCTAAGAAAACCATCCAAGTCCAACAGTGGATGATATAATACAAACAAAATAAAACGTTCGAATGCCGTGGCCGTGTAAGACCCTTTGCATAAATATACGTTTAAATACACAGCATCCAATAAAGTGTCCACAGATTCTCTATGCTCCAGCTATTACTACAGTCTCTCTCAGGGTTCCTTTTTTCACCGAAAAGAGCTCTGCTTTCTTGGTCAGATCACTTCTTATCTGGGGAGGCTTCATGTGTATTGTGCAGTTTCCATTCACACCAATTATCACATCCAGAAAAGGTTCTCTGGTTTTGTGGTTCTTCACTCAGCTGCACTCCACATTCTGCAAATTGTTCCAAGAAAGAAGCTTGCTTTGGAAAATGGAGGACATGGGTTGTTAAAGACTTGTGCCCAAACGTCTTTTTGTTCATCTGGGGAGTGTTCTTTCTTGGGATTTTGATCTTCTTGTGCTTTAGGTCTAAAATGGGCAGAATTTATGGGGTGCACTTAATGGTGTTACTTTTTTTGGGGATGTTTATGAGCTCGTTCTGTCAAGATGATGATTCTGATAACTTCACGTCTGTGTATATTGTCACTCTTAGAGAAGTTCCTGCTGCTCATTACGAAGCTGAGTTGAGAAGGAACAGTAATGGTATCAGACATGGCGGCGCTTCTGAGAGGTTGAACATTCACAAACACAGGTACTATTTTACTCTTCATTTTCAAAGATTTTCTTACTCTCTGAAATTACTTTGCTTTTAATTTTCTATGTTTTATTTGATCCCTTGAAGCTGGTTTTCAATTATGATCCAAGCAGTAGTATTGAAGTTTCGTTTCCTCATGTGGAGAAATCAATTTGGATACTTGCATTGTGGGATAGTTTGGGTCTTACTTTCCCTTTACCATAGAATAACTTGAATTCTAGAGTAAATATTAGTGGTACTTTCCTTTTACACTCCTTGCATGGATCTCTCGCTCATGGGGTCCCCTGTTGCCCATTTTTCATACACTGTCTGTACAATTTGTCTCTTATGAACATGTGGAAACTGGTGGTTATCATATTGTCCCTTTTCCGCCTTCATCATACCCAACAATTGGGTAAACTCTTCAGGTATGGGGTGGTAAAGTCTCCAGCGTGCTAAAAGTTATTTATTCATGATGTTGATTGGTTTTCTTTTTCTTTCCCCTCCCTTAATTATTCCTCATTGCATTATTAGGACCTTAAACTTAATTGATTTTAATGTTTTCTTTTTAGATTTAGAAATATTTCAAGAACGGATAAGAGGTATAGCTCTTATATTGCTCGAGTTCATGATTCGCTATTGAGGAGGGTGTTGAGAGGGGAGAAATATCTGAAGCTGTACAGCTACCATTACTTGATTAACGGATTTGCTGTGCTTGTTACCCCAGATCAGGTATAACATCAGTGAAATTCTGGTATTATTTAGTAATCATTATTATGTCAAATTCCACAATTATGGTGCTATATAGAATTGTGATAATCCAATTATTACTTTTGAATGTTTACATTTGCTTGTATTTCTGAGTAATTTGGAACATGGCATTTCCGCGTGTTGTAGTATCTTCCTATGCCTATGTGAAAAGGAGTAATTGATCATAAGTTCCTAATTTGGTGATATTGCTGAATTTTGGAGGTTGATAAGCTTTCCAGGAGGAGAGAAGTAGCAAATGTGGTTTTGGACTTTTCTGTTAGAACTGCAACCACCCATACTCCTCAGTTTTTGGGTTTGCCACAAGGAGCGTGGGTCCAAGGAGGCGGATATGAATCAGCTGGAGAAGGGATGGTCATTGGGTTTATTGATACTGGCATTGATCCAACTCACAGTAGTTTTGCTGACAATACATCTGAACATCCATATCCAGTTCCAGCACATTTTTCTGGCATCTGTGAGGTTACCCGGGATTTCCCATCTGGTTCATGCAATAGGAAGCTTATTGGAGCCCGCCATTTTGCAGCATCTGCTATAACCAGAGGTGTTTTCAATTCATCACAGGACTTTGCTTCTCCATTTGATGGTGATGGCCATGGCACGTGAGTTGTCTTGCTTTCCCTGAGAGAAAGTACCCTAAGCCTTTTGTATCTGTGTTATTTTATCTCAATTTCAAGTTTGCAGCATTAGTGCTTTTATAGAAAGACACATGAAAAACACTAAATATGAAAATCTGTCTTATATGGGGACTTTTGACCTTGAGATTCGCCTAAGGACCTTCTCATCTGAAGTTTGCCCATCTCTGTTTTCTACCTGGCCAGGTAGAGAACTGATATTATTAGAGCACTGAGACATACTGATATTTTTTCTTTTTCTTTTTCTTTTATTTGAGGTCCTGCATGCTTGACGCTGATATTCATGTTAGAGGCATCATGTGTCTCTGTGGAACTGTTATAGATTTCTATGTTTTCATTTTAATGAAATATATCTTAATTGTTAATCATCTTTCACAAATGAACTTAAATTATGCAATTTACTTCAACGTGCAAAATAAAAAGTATTTTAATAAAAGTGATAACCCAATAAATTGATGGAAACTTGAAATGTTCATATGACTCTCAAGTTACAATCTGAGAGAAGCTAGTTTAGCTGCTTTTATGATACTTGAAAGACAGTCTAGTACCTTTTAAAATGCTATGAAAGACAATGTAGTTATGTCTGCTTTATGTTGTTAACACCGTTGATGGATCTCATTTTAATTTACAGGCACACTGCTTCCATTGCTGCAGGAAACCATGGAATTCCAGTGGTTGTTGCTGGGCATCATTTTGGAAATGCAAGTGGGATGGCTCCTCGTTCACAGTAATTAATCTAGATCTGAGTGTCACTTTGTCTATTGATGTGGTGTTTGTTGTTTCTGGTAGAATGTGATGCATAAAAAAGGAGCAATTCCCTAACATAAGTTTCTTTCAACTTGTAAGAAACAAAATTAACCTAAGTCTGAAATTCCTTTAATCAGTAATTCACTCAGTCCTTGAACCTGTGACAACCCTTTCCTCTTTGAATCCACCTTTCTCCAGTACATAAACAATTGGGAGTATTTATGTTTTTATGTTTTAACTACATCTCTATCTATTCCAGCATCGCTGTTTACAAGGCACTGTACAAAGGCTTTGGAGGCTTTGCTGCTGATGTTGTTGCTGCCATAGACCAGGTACATGCCTTTTGTTCTATTTCTGCAAACTATATTCTGCCAAACAGCTGAGTCTCTATTGGGGTTTCAAACCAATAAGAAAATCTGTTTTTTCCATACCTTTTGTTCCATATAGATTCTTTGCCACTTTATTTAATTTTGGTGATTTATTATGCATTCCCAGGCTGCTCAGGATGGGGTTGACATAATAAGCTTATCAATCACTCCCAACAGGCGTCCTCCCGGCGTTGCAACATTTTTCAATCCCATAGACATGGCATTACTATCAGCTGTAAAGGCTGGTATATTTGTTGTCCAAGCAGCGGGCAATACCGGACCATCACCGAAGAGCATGTCTTCCTTCAGTCCATGGATATTCACTGTTGGCTCTGCCTCCCATGACAGAGTCTACAGTAACTCCATAATCCTTGGCAACAATGTCACCATTCCAGGAGTTGGACTTGCACGTAAGTTTGTCTGCTGAATTGATTGCTCTACTTCTCTTTAAATTTTTCATACAGCATCATCTTAACAACAATTGCTGTCCTGACTCTTTACACTTTGGACTCAGAATTAACTTTTGAAGTGATACGAACTGGATCATCACTCTTAGTGAAACAAGGGCCATTATAGTTTACAAGCTGCCTTATCTACAATTGAATCTTTTCTGGTGATACATTTGGATCTGAAAGTTATGTGGGTCTTCGTATCATTATTAAAGATCCAATGACTCCAGTCCAATAACTTTTGCTAGAGAATTGTCAAAAGAGACTATGTTCACAGGAATTCCACATTGCCTAACCTTGACTGTTTCCTCTTTCCTGATTTTCTAATGTGAGAGTTCCTTTTTCCGTTGGTTGTTATGTCTATTGAATGTCTAGATGAATTTTGAGGTAGACTTGAGTTTTCAAGAACATGCTGGTTCCTTTCTCACAAGAAATGTCACCGATTGGTCTGATCCTTACATATCCATTTTTTGTGGTTAGCATCTCAGTGTATGTCATTGCAACTTGCATGGGATGACTGTACTCCTGATCTTTTAGATAGAGTTGATTTTTTATGGACATGCTGGTTCACTTCCAAAGTATGACATTACTAAATCTGTTACCTTGTAGACAATCTTCTATGGCCAATATCTTGGTGCATGCCGTTGCACTTATATGTGAACCATGAACGCACCCAATTAGATTAGATAGTAATTCTGATTACTTCTGTTTCTGCTACAGCGGGAACAGAGAATGATACAATGTACACGCTGATTTCTGCCGTACATGCTTTGAACAACAGCACAACAGTGGCAGATGATATGTATGTGGGTGAATGCCAAGACTCAAGCAAGTTCAATCAGGATTTGATCCAGGGGAACCTCTTGATCTGTAGCTACTCAATCCGGTTTGTGCTTGGGATCTCCACAGTCAATCACGCCCTGGAAACAGCCAAAAACCTAAGTGCAGTTGGTGTCGTCTTCTACATGGATGCTTTTGTAATTGGTTTTCAGCTTAACCCAACTCCAATGAAAATACCTGGCATCATAATCCCATCCCCAGAGGATTCCAAGGTATGCAAATTTCTGTTTATGGATGCACATTCATTAATATTTTGTATATTGTTTTCTTCTTCAAAATTATAAATATCATCCCATATGATGACGATTTGATATATACATATATACCTATATAGATACGTAAGTGTTGGGTTGATTATTGCCTGAACGTATACCTATATAGATACATAAGTGTTGCTAGACTGTGAGTATGAACTTTGATTAGGTTGATTATTCCCTGAATGTGTGGTCTGGACTTAGTATGGCAAGAGAGCATTACCCAACCATTCAAAACTTTTAATCATTTGAAAGTGTTTAATCGTTTAAGGGGAAGTTGATGCCCTGACACATATTAGGGCTTATCCCTCCCTCCCTTTCTCAGCAGTTAATAAAGGTTTATGATATATTTGGCAGGTTTTACTCAAATACTACAATTATTCCTTGGAGAGAGATATCATGACAAAGAGAATTGTCAAATTTGGGGCACTTGCAACCATTTGTGGAGGTTTCAAAGCAAACTACAGTAGTTCTGCACCAAAGATCATGTATTACTCTGCTAGAGGACCAGATCCGGAAGACAATTTTCTTGATGATGCAGAAATAATGAAACCCAACTTGGTAGCTCCTGGAAATTCTATATGGGCTGCTTGGAGTTCGGTTGGCGCAGACTCAGTTGAATTTCAAGGTAGAAATACTCATACTTGGTAATAGTGATTTAGTTCCAAGTATAACTTTTTGGTATTTTTGTTCATAAATGACAGTTTTGTTTACTCTTCATGCATTATTATATAACTGCTATGTCGTATTTATCTTTCAGGTGAGAACTTTGCAATGATGTCTGGGACAAGCATGGCTGCTCCTCATATTGCTGGGCTTGCTGCACTGGTTAGGCAGAAGTTCCCCAATTTCAGTCCTTCAGCCATTGCATCTGCACTTTCCACAACAGCTTCTCTATATGACAAGAATGGTGGGCCCATAATGGCTCAACGTGCTTATGCGTTTCCAGATCAAAACCAATCTCCAGCAACACCCTTTGACATGGGCAGTGGTTTTGTGAATGCTACAGCGGCACTGAATCCGGGATTGATTTTTTATTCCAGTAAGTTACTCTACCTGACCCATATGCTTGGAACTTCGCTTATTTTTGTGGAAATCTTTTACTGATTGTAACAATCATCTTATCAAATATGGAATTGTGATGCCTTCTCTGTTAGTGTGATTATGATTAAAACAAAGACTGCTAGGTGTAATTTCTATTAACCTCAATTGAAGGGGACTCTATATATGTATATGTGCATATTTTCTGTTTTCTATTTGTTAACATAAACAAAGACTCCTAGCTGTTTCTTATTTTAAGTGATTATTTTTGTGTTTGATAGTATATTTTGACTGAAATCCATGCTGTCTTCTTGCAGGTTATGACAATTATATGTCATTTCTTTGTGGCATCAATGGATCAGCTCCTGTGGTTTTGAATTACACTGGTGAGAGCTGTTGGGTTTATAATTCTACCATCGCCGGTGCTGACCTGAACTTGCCATCAATAACAATAGCAAAACTGAACCAGTCTAGAACGGTGCTCAGATCAGTGACGAACATTGGTGGAAATGAAACTTATAGTGTTGGCTGGAGTGCTCCTTTTGGAGTTTCAGTAAAGGTGTCTCCAGCTCATTTTTACATTGCCAGTGGGGAGAAACAGGTCTTAAGTGTATTCTTCAATTCTACGGCAAACAGCACCACTGCTAGCTATGGAAGGATTGGACTATTTGGAAATCAAGGTCATGTTGTCAACATTCCTTTGTCAGTCATTGTCAAAATCACATATAATACTACTAAAACCTAAAACTTGAGGCTGGTTTGCTTTATTTATCGTAGGTTGGTTTTCGTTTTTTGCTTGCAAGATGTGATTAACCAATTTTTTCATTCATTGTATTGTAAATGTTTGGTCATGTTAAGTCCTGTAGCATCTTTTGTGTAGATACAGTGGTAATTTTACAGAAGCATTAAAGATCTCTCTCTCTCTCTCTCTCTCTCTCTCTCTCTCTCTCTCTCTCTCTCTCTCATGAGTGAAAAATATAGTTAACTTAATAACGAAGGTAAATTTCCTCTCAATTCTTTTTGTTGGACCTATGCGGAAGACAGATGTGGATTCTTGGACATATCGTGACATAAATGAAATGTTTCAAATATAACAAAAGCTAATAACTCTGGTAAGATTAATGGCTTTGCTCAAATACCATAGCCTTTTTGGCATGCTACTCTAGACACATGCAATGATACATGAAGAAAACCATTGTCTTCTTGGCACGCAGGATCTACGTAGTCAAACACCATAATGGCTTTCTTTCTTTTTCCAAAGCAGAAATGTGTTCATTTTCAATTGGTTCGTTTGTGTATTGAGAGATGTAAAGTCATGTCACACATTTAATTATCAATAAGTGGTCATACGAGATTAGGCAGAGTTATGGCACTCATTTCGCAATTTCTAATGGTTCTGGCGCTTATAAATACTAAAGCTTTGAACTTCAAAACCCATCTATCAATCTGTTTGTCATTTACCAAACTTCATTTCTTCTCCAAAGGTGACTTTCAAAATGGGTTTGGTTCAGTTTTGCATGTTGTTGAGTGTGTTGATAATGGCAGCCAATCTGGGGGTGCTTTTTGTTGAGGCACGCCAACACCCTGCAGGGATATCAAAACAGGCTCAAGAGCAAACTGGAAGAGCCACAGAAAGTGGAAATTATCTGAATGAAGGGGAGATGATGGAGCAGTTAAGCAAGGCCAAAATGGAGTTTGGTCAGATGAAGACTTTGTCACCTTTTCCTAATATTCCTGGCGTTCCAATTCCACAGATATCATTTGCGCCTCAAACTCCTGGTGTTCCAATTCCACAGATACCATTTACACCCCAAATTCCTGGTGTTCCAATTCCACAGTTACCATTTGCACCTCCATTGGGAATTCCTAAAATACCTTCAGTCCCACCACTTCCTAACATTCCAGTCCCTCCTATCAACATTCCCAATATCCCTTTCCTTTCACCTCCTCCTGCATAAGTTTCTAAGTTAAACTATAGACGCTTTATTATGTACTTTGGAAGTTTCAGCAATAAGTATGTTAAAAGTTCAGTATGTATTTCCTTGTTAAGGGAACTTAATATGACAATAATTTGCTAGTAAAGTTAAATCCAATGTTACTTTTGTCCAAACTAGAATTTCAATTCAACCATTTCATATTTGCACTTGAGTTGGGGCTAGCTAGTGTGCTGCTATTTGACTATGTTAAATTTGCAATGAATTAATATTGAAAAGTATTTCCCCCATCCAATTAGCCTTGCAACTTTTGCATTATTCCTTCCAAGTACACAATTATACCTTTCAGATCAGTTGTAGCCAAGTAGTTAAAAGATAACTTTTTCTTATGTCAACTTGTAGTAATTCATATGAGTGGTTGAGGAACAATGACTGAATGAAAACAGCTAAAAAGATCACGACTGTATTTGTTATTGTTACAATGGCTACCAGCAAGATGATGAAAGCTAAACATCATCAATAAAACCAGACTGCTAGCTATTTGAGACAACAGCATGAGCTAAGCTAACAAAAGGCCACTTCATGGGGAGGCTTTGGCCTCATTTCTTGAAATCACAGACTCTGAATTCTTAGGAACTGGTGGTTGAGGAAGAAAAGGATTAACTGAAGGCATGGTTGGGATAAATGGGAATTTGGGTATTGGAGGAATCTTTGGAATGGTTGGAAAGCCAGGAAATGGGAGCAATGTGTTCATGTTTTCAACTGGGTTTGGAAGATCTTGAAAAAATGGCAATGTTGACTTCATTGGGTTGCTGAAGGGTGATGAAGGGTCAGATCCCAATTGCATGGTCGTTGATGGCTTCTTTAGCTCCATCATGAGGCGAGACGCCAAGCATAAATGAAAGCTGAAAAGTAGTGGACCAAGGAAGAGCAAGTACAAGAAAGTAGTGAGATTAGAGAAGGCCATATTAAGATCAACGGAGAAAAATGTGACCGATGGTGGAATGATGGTGATTGGAGGCTGGGGCTTTAATATAAGGGCAGAACAGAGAGAGTGAGTTGTAGTTTGGTGTGTTCATGGCTTTCATGCTACTTCTACCTTCAACCTAATACTTGAAAGTTGAGTCATGCACAGAGTTTTGTTTTTGACTTCCACACCAGAATTAATAGGAACCGGCACTCTTACATTGAGTTTTTTACTGGAGGGGGCTACGTAGATTGCGGAGTCAATTGTGGTTTTAAAACATACTTTTACAGCCGATAATGAACAAACAACAAAGCTATACCGCCACAATTCATGTAAATCAAACTTGAGTTCTTCTTCAACCAAGTCGCAACGAGTTGGTTCCAAATTTGGAACTTTTCAACAAGCAAAAAAAGTGCTTCATTTTGAAGTTTATAACCTTACTAGACTATTAGCCTTTTAATAATAAAGCAAATTAGAAGAAAAAAAACATCAAGCATATCAGTTGCAAAGCAGGAGTAGCGTAGGCATTGTCATATTGATCATGATGAATGTCCTAAAAAACCACTAAAAGCTAATTGTTTGAAAACATAAATAACCCAATATCATAAACAAAAATTGAAGACAATAGCATGCAGCCTAAAAATCTCAACATGTTTGCGGTTTAAATTAGGGGTGAATTTGAAGTTAGATAAGGTCTACTAAAAAAAGAATCGTTGATAAAAGGCAAAATACATTTCAAATAATTAATCTCTATCCTATACATTACAAAATACTCACAAATTCTTATTCATAATTTTTTTTAATAGGATCTTTCTTTAAATTTAAATATTTAAAAATATAAATATAAATAAATAATAATAAAAGTTTCTTTGCATGTTTTTTAAGCTTGAAAAGGTAAAAAGATAAAATTAAAAATAGTAAAATAGTAAAGTAAAAATATAAACGGAGGCAGATTGGCTATTGCAGCGAGCTTAAAGGAAACGAAGGCCTAAAACAGCCCAAAAGGGCAATCAAACTGCGCTGTAAAACTAGAAGAGAAGAAAGCTTACACCCAAAGTTCAGCCATGGCGGGTTCCGATCCAAACAAGTTGATGGCCAAAGCCGATAAACTGTCAGTATCTCTTTTCACATCCAATCATTTATTTATAAACATATATGGTATTATTCTGAAGGTCTATGCATTTGATTCAGTTTAGAAGACCCAAAGTTTGTCTGTTAATTCTTAACACATAGAAACATTTTCCAGTGATTTCGATTAGTTATGGTAGTAATTGATTGGTAGAATGAAAAAGAGCATTTATTTACTTCAATTTTTGTTTTCTGGGTCGGTGTGAAATTGGATGAAGTTGTATAAATTTTGAATCTTTCAGTAATCTGCATATGAAGTTGGTATACTAACTCTAGAAGAGCATACTAAGAATTGAGTGATGAATAAATTCTGGAATTCTGTAACCGGCATTTTGATTTTGCTTAAGCTTTGTTTGTTTGTTCATGGGGAAGAGAAGAAGAAGAAGTCAAGCTTTGTCTTTTCTTTTTGAAAAGTAAATTTGATTACTTTCCTCTTCTGAATTACTGAATGCCTTTAATTTCTGTTATCTTAGAACGAGGCTCAGTCTTACAAGGTGGAGTGCAGATTGGAAAAGCGCTACCCTTCTGTATGAACAAGCTGGTATGTATGTTCTGTGCAACTGTAAGCCTTAATTACAATGGTTGATGCGGATTTCAGCTTAAAATCTGGTTTTGTTGTAGCTAATGGGTTTAGGATTGCCAAGGATTATGAGAAAGCAAAGGAAGCATTGGAAAAAGCATCAAAAGGACAAGAATTGATCTCTTCGTATCCTCATTCTCTTTTACTAGTATGTTCTGTCCTTCGGGTGTTGTCTAATTTTGTCTGATGATCTCGATAACTGCACTCTTGCTATATCCTTTACAACCAACTCAGACCCTGGGATGCTGCAAAGCATATGGAGTCAGCTGCTGCTTTAGCAAAGGAGTTGGGCAAATGGAATGAAGTTGCTGATTTTTATAGAAGGGCATCTGAATTGTACGTTGTGTGTGGGAGATCACAACCTGCATCAGATGCTCTTGCGAAAGGGGCCCGGTAAGCACATGGTTCACTCTTGCTTTTTGCAGCTACAAATCTTCTTTTTTTCTTCTTAAAAGTTGCAATGATTGGAGAAATTCTCTTGACATTCACATGATCAAAATTCTTGTCAGTTCCCAGAGCTCCCATGAAAAATATGTTCCTGTTCGGGTTAATAAATTCACCCATATTTGCAGTAACCAATATAAAGTGTTTCATGTGAAGAATTTCATAAAATTCTACCCATAACCATCATCCCATTATTTTCAACGGCTCAATCTAAACGATGGTTTTTAATCTTCAAATGTTATGAAATATTCAAAAGTATTAATTTACCTGCAATTAATTGAATTGGTCATCCACATGCATGGCTCTTGACTTCTTTAGGTATTCTTATGGTTAACAGTTTAATAATTAGCTTTGTTATCTTATTTTTCTCATAAAGGAGTTTACAATTTTGTTTTATGAAACTACACACACATGTAGAGGACGTTACCTGAACTTTTCTTTGCTAGTAGAAGTTTTTATCGGTTGAGAGTTTCCAGTGTGAAATGAAACTGTTTCTCTTCTTTTCTTTCCTCTTTTCCATATGTTGTTTTTTTTAGTTGCTCTTTTAGTCTGTATATGCTTGAGGTGGGATTACAGCTTTAGAGAATATTTGAAATGCTAACTATTTGAAATGATAACCTTATTACAGAGCTCTGGAAGATTCTGTTCCTGATGAAGCTATTCAACTTTACACTGATGCTTGTGTTCTTCTTGAAGATGATGACAAGGATCAAATGGCCTTTGATCTATATCGTGCTGCCACTAGTGTTTATATAAAACTTGAGAAGTAAGATCCCAAAATACATCCCATTTGTTATTTAAATTATGGCAATTTGTCATTTTAGTTATTGGGAGGATGATGCAAATTATGATTATTATCATTTTAGTGGATTGAGAGGATGAAATACATTATTTAGGCAAACAGATCCGATTGTGTAGAATCCAGTTGTAGCTGTTTTCTGGCAGCATTTATAATCAGGCAATTAACTGTTATTCCTTATGGCTTAATTGAGGCTAAGGTTTTGGAAGACTCTGGTTCGAGGTTTAAAATCTATTAGAAAAGAGTAGTGATTTGCGGTTTGAAAATGGTCTTTTTTTTTCCCAGTAAGTGCTAAATTGTGTGCCTTTGAGTGGCTTTTCGCTATATGTTTAATCATACACTTTGAGCGGTTCTTACAGGTACACAGATGCTGCTGCTTTTCTGTTGAGATGGGGCTTAGCTGCTGATAAGTGCAATGCTACCAATAGCCAATGCAAGGTGTGAAAGGATTTCTTGTTGGATGTATTTAATGAGATATATTATCCAGGACTAGTGTAGAGGTGTTGGTATTTGATATGAAGACAACATTGAAATGGTTTCCTTGTTGAAGTGCCTGTGCTACATGAGGTACTAAGCATGAAAATTCACTCGATATTTTTTTCTCTTTCTGAGCAAGAGCATCTTCAAACAAAGAACTTACAACTAGTAATATGTATTTTCTATCCCTTCCCCTTTCATTTCCCTGTGGCTGCATTAGATAAAGAGGCCTAGTTTTGGTTGCATCTGTAGTAATTAGCATTTCTCCTCTCATGAAAGCTTATAATTAGTCATCTTGTATTCTTGTATCCTTGTTTTACAGAAACTTTCATCCTTGTGGCCCTTTTACATATTCCCCGAGTCCATACTATTCCACTGTGAAAAGTAATTTTGTCACTCTTTCATTTTAGTATGCAAGTACATGTAAAACTTTGTTTGTTTGATTACTCTTGTAATGAATCTGTGCTTTTGTTTGTGTGCAACTAATCTTAAGTTCTTAACTAGCATCTGCATTTGGAAACATCTTTTGGTGTCCATCTTGCTTTTGTGCATTACTCACTCTTTTTAATCACTTTATGTTTCATGTTTAAGAGAAGTAATTTTACAACCATTGTTGATACAGGCATATCTTAGTGCAATAATTGTTTACCTCTATGTTCATGACATCAAACAAGCAGAAAAATGCTACAATGATTGCTCCCAGTAAGTAAAACTATTGAATTCTTTTGATTTTCCAAATTTGGAGGGGGCTACTGCAACTCTGTTTGTAACTCACGTAATATTGGCCTTTTGCTTTTGGTTCTGTATAGGGTTGACACCTTTTCGAGAAGTGATCAATGCCGTTTTGCTAGTAAACTTTTTTCTGCTTACACAGAAGGTGACGTTGAAGAAATTAAACGGCTTTCTCAGTCAAGCACGGTTAATAATCTTGATCACATGGTAATATATATTTTGTTTGCCTCCTTTGTTTATTTGAATTTGTATTAACCTAGGTATGATTAAAAGATATAGGCATGTTGTCAGTTAAATCTGTCTTTTATATACAATGGAGCTTGGGCATGATTTTGCTTTTCTGATTATTGAATGCTTAAATAGATTTAAATCTTAAGATACTGAAATTATTATCTGGCTTTGTCTCATGAATTTAGCATGACATAACATATTGAAAAACTCAGGAGACAAGTTGACCCTGTTGCTTGATTAACACTAAAATATTGGACTGAAATATAAATATCTTGGATTTTTTAATTCTGCCCTGTTTGACTTTGCCATATCATAAACTGAAATGGGTGCAGGTCATCAGGCTCGCCAGGAAACTGCCCACAGGTGATGTGAGTGCACTGAAGACCCATGCTTCCGACGAGCAAGAACCACTGGACGAAGATGACCTTACATAGATTGCCCCATATACCTTATAATGTGTTGATTTTGGTACATTAATATACAATGAAATAGAGCTTGTTTTGTAAACATGTAGAAACAACATTCATCACTCTTTGGAACACTTTGTAATCTCAGTTCTTGATCTTTGCATTTCATGCTCCAAAATCTTTTGGATGATAAAAAAACAGAACCAGAATCTTATAGGATCTTCCAATTGATCCAGAGATTGAATCCCTATGCCCCAAATATAGTTCAAATTATGATGAAAAAGGCAATTGCTTAGGACTGTTTTCTCTGCATCCAAAAAGGTGGCAGAAATCTTCTAGTTTTTGATAATGATAGAATCATATAATAATACACACTGTGGCCTTAAAAACACCATGCAAAAATGCTTTGTAGGGTATCCATGAATCAAAAATGTACAACCAAAAACTTTTCAATTAAGTTTTGAAAGCAATCAAATTCTCATATTAATGTTGATAATAAAGCAACGCATTGCAACAAAAGTTTCAACCTTTAGCATTCAAGAAGCTCAATGACACAAAATAAGATGATGTTTGTATTCAGCAAAGGCGAAGAAAAAATCTACCAAAACCCCAATTCTCAGACAATAAGCAAAAACCCCTCAAATCTAAACCCTAAAATCCTAGGCGGTGAGAACAACGGCGCCACCAGCTTCCTTAATCTTCTTCTCAGCGGTCTTAGAAATGAGCTTGGCCTTCACCACAACAGGCTGGTTCTGAGGCAACACACCCTTCCCCAACACCTTAAAGTACCCAAACTGCGTCACGTCGATCAACGGCACGTCGTTTCCTTTGTTCGCCGCCGCCTTGTCCTTCGCCTCCTGCGGCACCAAAGACCAGAGCTCGTCGACGTTGACGATGGGGCAGTAGAACTTGTTGCGGAGCTTGTGGAAGTAGCGCATGCCGACTTTACCAAAATACCCCGGGTGGTACTTGTCGAACAAGATCCGGTGGTGGTGCATGCCTCCGGCATTTCCACGACCACCGGGATGCTTCCTGTGCTTCCCGATTCGGCCGTGGCCGGCGCTGACGTGGCCTCTCTTCTTCCGATTCTTCTTCAAACTGGTCGTCATTTTTGGCCTAGGGTTTCAGTCGCTCGAATTTGGGGGTATTTATATGAAGACGATGAAGGTTTTGGGGCTTCGGCCCAATTATCTGGTTTACTGGGCTTCGGATTGATTACTGAAGTGGCCCAACCCAATCAATAAATATCCCCAAAATACCCTCGTCTTGACCATTTAATTACAAGCATTATCTTTCTGTCTTCCTCCAAAGGGATTTTGGCGCTAAAGTTCGTTACTTTCTTCAATAGTCTAACAATATAACAAACCCATCAAACCCAGAAAGATTCTCAAAGTGCAAAACACAATAAACGAAGAAAACATTCTACCAAGATCTCAAAGCTTCTCTCTTTTTCTCCCATGGCGTCCAGCCACCATTCTTCTCTGCTCTTCATCTTTCTCACCACTCTCTTCACAGCCACCATTGCAGCCTCTCCCTCACCACCATCACCTCCACAACCCCCATCGCCATCACCATCATCATCACCACCGCCACCGCCGCCATCATCAACTCGACCTCCATCTCCGCCATCCCCAACCTCCACACCCCAACAACTCAACAACATAATCGACGCCCTAATCGGAGCCGGCGACTTCGGGAACTGGGTCAACATCATCACCGGCGCGAACCCACTGGTCCTTCCTCTGAGCGCGACCCTCTTCATCCCTCAAGACGACGCCTTGAACCGCATGCCGACCACCGACCCCTTCATGTTCCCTTACCACGTGGTCCCTCAGCGCCTCATCTTCTCCGAGCTCCAGCTCTTCGAGCCCAAGTCTCGCCTTCCCACTCTGCTCCCTGGCAAGTCCATTCTCATCACCAACGCCTCCCGCTCCAACTTCTCCCTCGACGGCGCTCAGCTCACCCAGCCCGACCTCTACGTCAGCGCCACCGTGGCTGTCCACGGCGTCGGAGCCATTCTTGAGTACTCTGTTTACGGTGATGGGCTTAACCTTTTGCCCAAGCCCAATTCGCAGCAGGGGCAGCAGCAGCCGCTACCGCCGCCGCCGCCGCCATCTCCAGGGGTGTTTTCCCCCGCGGGAGAAATCGTGGGCGGCGGGTGGAAGTCTGATGCAGCGCCGCCGTGCCATTGTGTTGAGTTTCCGGTTGGTTGGTTCTTGGTTGCTTGTGCGGTTTTGGGGTTCAAGATTCAGAGGAACTACTAGGCTTGGTAGTTGAAGATCGTCTCTGCTAATTCTCATTATCCGATGGGGTTCTCGCACATTTGGCACATCATTTTGATGAGGATGATCTTGAATTCTTGATCAAGATTAATTGGGATTTAGGATTCTTTTGCGGCTACTACAGTTTGTTAATTGTGTGAGTTTTGTGTTGATGTTCATCAATTTCTTGTTCCAAAATTGTGCATTTTGCTGAAATTCTGATCTCACCATGCAATGGTGTTCTTATTGTATTCTTTGCTCATGAATGCAACTTAGCTATGTCCTCAATGATACATGCATTGTTGTTGTTTCCTCCTTCAATTAAATCAAGTGCGATTTCATCCCTCTCTTTTCTTCAGAGAAAATTAGGATTATGATTATGGACTTTAGTTTTTTCAGATCAGAAGGGTTTTTTTTAATAGAAAGAAAATCAGAGGGTTATGTGGTGAGAAATGTAGTTCCTTTTTAATGCTTCTATTGGCAATCCTTTTCAATCACCCTTCTTGTTTTGAATGGGTTATTGCATTTGCTGCAATACAAAACATAGGAAGAAAAAAAGAGTTGCATGTTATCAGTTAATTCAAGCATTCAATTGAAAGATATGAAACAGCACTTTCATTGTATACACTTATTTTTCAATGATTAATGAAATAAGATCAGAAAAATTAGCTGATTAAGACCAGATCCTATCACCAATCAAAATTTCTGATGAACCGAAAGACTTTCTGTGACCGAATGAAGGCATTGGCCTCACCAAATCAAAACTCTAGATTCAGTCACGAGTAGCCACATTACAAAATTTTGTGCCCAACTCAAGACCCATAATCCCTCTCTTTCATTGTTATGGATTTTTTTTAGCAAAGAATGGGCCTAAAGAATGACTAAATAGGAAAAGAAGCTACCTTGAATGAGAAAGAATGAGGGGACCTATCATTACTTTTCCTTAACTATCTACATTTCTCTGGATCTCTTCAATCAATGATGTGAATGCCACTCTCCATTTTGAACTTTGTGACTCACTGCACAATACTCTCTGTAATGTCCTCAACTCTTCGGAATCTGCCTTCTTTAATAGTCTTCGCAACACTAACTGCATCTCTTCGGTTGGATGATCTCCTTCCACCAATGGATTATCCCGGTCCTGCCTTGTCAAAGTAATACCAAAAATTTTCGTATCTGTTTCTCCTAGACTTCTACTTGATTCAAACGAATGCTGCTTGATTTCACTAACATTGCCAAACGCCAATGGGACAATACGCCTGTAATTCCAGTACTCCACACATTGATGGTCGGGATCGAGGGCCTCAATAGCCTGGGAGGAATAAAATCCGAATTAGATACTGGATTGAATTTTTATTTTTGAGAATGGAGCACAAATTCTTTTTTGCTCATCATCAATCACACACCAAAACAGAAAATATAGTTTTGTGCCAAGGCAATTAGTATGCCCAGTAAAAGCTCAGCATTTAGGTTTTTCCTATGCATATTTCTCACTGTCTATCTCATGATCATACAATACTTTTAAGTTGTATAATTTATTTTCTTAGGCACACACAAAAAATAATGACATAAACAGCATAGCTTTCTGCTTGCTACAGGGAGAGAAGAGAAAATAATAGAAGTTACTGTACCTCAATAATGGGTTGGGAGAGAAATCCAAACATTTCAAGGCCATTAATGCTAGGCTGCAAAGGGGGCAGTCCACTTTCCCCTAGACTACTCCGTCTCTTTATTTCTTGGTTTAGTCTCTGCAGTACCATATCCCAGCACTTCTCTGCCGATACATTAGCAAAAGCCTCACCGGGGCATTCTTCCAAAGTAACCTGAAATTCATGAAAGGAAACCATTGGAAAATGCACAAGCTAAATAAAATGAATGATTTTATAGAGCCTTTCTTTAGAAGTATAGAAGTATAATTGTATTTTATGCTCACTAGTTTAGTACAGTAATAAAATATGGAATTCAATGCAATTGCAAAGAAGAAATGGCTAAACATGTTGTGCAATAGAGAATAGTTTTAAAAAGAAAAGATGGTTTTACTGGACCCAAATCGTATAGAAATGATATGAAAAATATTCAAAGAAATAATAATCAGCTGTAGCTCTGAAATTTAGATTCCCCTAATCTTTGATTTTATTATATTTGGAGGTAGAGAGAGACAAACCTTAAATAGAGGCCCAAGAAGCCCGGCAGCGAGAACTTCTGAAATATAGCTACAAACTTTTGTTGGGTCAAGCACACTATAGAATTTAACTCGGCTTCTATACCCTGCAAAAGGTAAGGTAACCATTATGTAGAGAAAAAAAGTTAAAAGATTCCACACAAGAAAGGAGAGGAAAAAATTAAACCAAAAGAAAAAATTTAGAATCCAAGAAACCATTGCACTACAGCCAGTATACCTTTTGGATACATGGCCTGCTTACTGCACCACAACTTTCCAGACACAACAGCTCCAAAATCTATAGGCTCAACCGAAGGACTCAACTTCTGTAATTGACAGCTTTGGTCAGTCAAGGATATGTTTACACCCGAGTCCTCGACAGTTTCAGTTTTTGTAAAGTTTATTGACTGTTTGTTTGAAGAAGGATGGGGTAAGCAAAGTTCAACACCGAACAGCTTATTGCCATCACTCGCACAACTATTCCTGATGTCCCTTGAACAGGCAGGGTAGCCATTATCAACTTTCATCATGTCTGGGTCTCTGGCTACATCTGAACTACAAACTTTCTCTTGATTAGACACGGAAGTAGATGCATCCTCCTCAATTGTGACAGCCTTGTTATCAAAGTCATCAGATATGTGCATCGTCCTGCTTTCACGTTCATCAGACATATAATTAAGATTTAAATCAAAACAGCACTCATTCCCCATCTTTTCCTCATCATTCATGGCCAGAGTTTCATCGTCATTTTGCCTATCCATAGTGATGCGAGATGCACTTAAACTAAAAGCTCCATGCTGTGACCCTGACTGGACAACCGCAGAAGAAACTTGACTAGACGAACTGCAAGATGCATTTATGTTGACCTTCTCTTCTGAAACAGGACAACAAGATGAAGTTTCCCTTGGATTACAAGACTTGACTCTCTTATGAGACATGCTACTTTCTTGATCCAACTTAGTGGTACGCCAATCAGTACCGTCTATAGAAACTACTACAGGGTCCTTGGATGCCCATACTTTCATGGCTTCTACTCTCCCTTCCAATGCTTCAACCAGCATATTTAATTCACTGATAGTGTGGCGTTGAAGGACATATTTATGACTGATGTCACATGAACAAAAATGCTTTGCATGTTTGAGACATGAAAATCGATCAGGAGAGCATTTGCAGCTGGCAGCAGATAAGTGTAAGTCATAGAAGCAAGAAAAACATTCTCTCTCATTCAAATCAAAGTCTCTTTCCATCTTTTGCAACTTCAAACAAATTGGAAGACGATCTAGTCTTTCCTCCTCCATTTGCACTCGTGTCTGTGAACAGTCATATTCATACAAAATATGGTTTAGTTTATCTACTCATAAGGGCACAAGCATGCCAGAGTTCATGTAGCTATTTCTAGGCTATGTGGTAGAAAGGGAGAGGTAAAAGAGATAGAGATAAACAGATAGATATTATATACATACACATATATATTTAGAGAGAGAGAGAGAGAGATTTACCTTAACTGCTCTGGTGAGGACACCACCTTTGCCACAAACATTTTGCCAGCTCAAATTTCTTGTAGTTTTCTTTCCAAGAACTGATAGCTCCCAAAGAGCCTGTACAGCTTCCTGTGCTGATCCCAGTAACAATTTGTCGTGTGAGATTGATGTCTTGCGACACTGCTCACTGTATAGCTCAACTGCATTTTGCCCATGTTCTAACCAATCGACAGGGGCCACGTTCACTGCCTCGGCACAGTTAAAGCCACAATTAAATCCAGAATGGTATGCCCTCGGAAAGGTAAGAATAAACTCCCCAGAATGTTGGACAGCTCGATACACAGGTACACCTTCAGACTTTAAAACTGAAGGAGATAGCTGAGTGACCTGACCAAGGATGAAAGCTGTAATCTTAGTGTCTGAGATACTCACAAAAAATTTAAAAGCAAAGTTGAAACAAAGGATGTCAGAGGCCCAGTGACGTGGGCAGACATGCACAGGGAAGTGATCGAAACTGATAAATGATATCACCAGGATAAAGACAGAACAAAAATAGGGAAGGAATGAGATCAGATATATCAATCCATGAGAAAATAATTCAGAGTCTTATCTGACTCGGACAATAATTAAATTTAACATTAGGGTGCTTTACAAAAGCAACTCTACACTAAATGTCCACTACCTTTACAAAAATGATAGGCTGTAGTAAATGAGACTTGTGTGTGTGTGTGTGTGTGTGTGTGTGTGTGTGTGTGTCTAGTGGTGCCAGAAAACCGTTGGTCAGTACCTATATATTCACCGATAGGTTTGACTCTTGCACCTATATACCAATTAGTGTGCTACAACCTGTTGGCCAAACAAATATATTCGCAGATTTCCTTATGACACTTCTTCTACAGCTTAGAAAGGACTTCACATTACTTTATTCTAATGCCTTGGATAATTTTAACAACCATTTATTACCAAAAGTTAAATTGAAAACCAGAGTGAAGCCAGAAAAATATAACAACGTGAAAAATTTATTTCATCACTTGGTGTGTGATTAAAAAAAAACAACAATCACAATAAATTATTGCATAGGTTGACAAAAAAGTTTATGGATAGAATCTTTCTTCTTACCAGTTCATTGAGTAAATCAGGTTGTTCCTCGAATAAATCCGGCAAATGCTTTCTCATTGCACGTTCCAAAGATTGAGCACGACTTCCAGACACTCCATACCATACTTTTGGGTCACCCCAGTGCAGATAATTTAGGGAATAGAGGTGGTGGTCCTCAACATGCTGTTACAAACCACAAAAAAGAAGACCAATTAAGCATAACAGTAAGCCCAAAGATAATGCTTTCTTTTTGTCTAAGCAATGACAAAAATTGGAGGGTCGTGTTTTGACCATGGTGATAGCATGACATACCCAACAAAATGAAGAAAAGCACATCCCAACATAGAGCCATGGGACTAGAACTCCTGAGATGTCGCTTGCTTCAAAAGACAGTACAGAACCAGGAAGGCGTGGGAAATTATTTAGATTCCAACCAGACATTGCATACTGATCCGAATCACTTTCGGTTACCATAGACGATGCCTTAGGAAACCCACTTCCAAACACTCCTGTTTCCAAGTCAGCTCCATAGTAAACCTGAAATATGAAAGAAAAAGGCATCCACCATTTATAAAGATAAGAGTGCATTCCATAATCATAAAGTCAATTAAAGGCACTGAAAAACCATAGTTACATACCTCAACCTCGTCTGTTGGTTGCTCAACTATTCTCCAGTATTCACCTTCAATATCTTCCACAGAGGGTTTCCATATTTTGCTTCTAGTTTCACCAGAATTTGAACCCTCCTTAGCATCCTTTGATCTGAAGTAACTCTCCTTGAAAGTATAGGCATATCTCTGAAACTCTTCAAATGTAAAGTCTGATCCTGAATGGAACCCAAACTTCTCATCAGTCTCGGACGCAACATTAGCTTCTGAACGTCTTTTGGTTCCCATTCTTGAGTGCCTCCTTCGTTTTCGCTTCCGACCTCTACTTTTCTTTTTCATGGCTTCTCTGTTTTGAAGCAAGTCAACTTGCTGAATACGTGTAGAAAATTTAGCATGCTCCCACATCTCTTTATCCTTAAGAGGGCAGGGAGGGGTCCAGGAAGGTGGTGGGACAATCCGACATATACCATAAGATTCAGCCACTAGGCGTATCTTTGCTATGTAACCAAGTGTATCTTCAAACTCCTAATAGACGAGGGCAACGCATGAAATTGAATAAATAAATACGAAAGAGTCCATTTATTTAAAAAAAAAATCCTATTATCCACAATAGAAAAATGAATGAATACCTCAATAGTTGGATAAAATACAGGTGCTTCATCAATGGCAGGCCTGCATGGTTCATCCGGATCCCATCTAGCTGATATCTGTAACACAAAGGACCATATGTTCCATTTAAGCAAATGAATCCATTTCTTACAAAAGCAATTCAAATGAGTGAACAAAGAAAATTAATATCCCAATTTGATGTTGGTCATTCTTAACACTCAAAATGCAGAAAATCTAGGATTTGATGACACAACTGTTTCTTCCAATTTTATTTTCCAACCAGAGGGAAAATTTTATTCATATATGCATATAGGGTCCACGGTATGAAGTGGTGTATTCCTTTTTAATTTGATAAAACAAATTGGATGTACTTATTCATAAAGCTATGAAAAGACTACCCTAACTGACTTTTAGTAAGTTATTCATAGTCTATATTACCCAACATAACAACTAATAATAAAAACGTTCGGTACCTTTCGACTTCGAGGACTGCCTGAGCACTCATGTGCGTCATCACTTCTCTGGTTGCTCTTAAAAGAATGATCCTGCAAAGCATTGTCCGTAAGAATAAAAATACTTGAAGGCTTAAATTTAAATTCCTTAAAAGACCAAGGCATTCAGTTAAGAAAAATAACATTGTAATATGAATGATCCTTTAAGAGTCAAAATATCTATTTAAAATCTTTTCTACTCTAAATTTCTCTACCTAGAGTAGAATTCTCTAAATTTCCCATCATGCAGAAACCAAAGGGGTGGAAGCAGGATATTACGCAGAAGGCAAGGTTATAACAGAAGGTTGATTGACAACGTTCACAAAGCAATTGACGATAGACAAAAGTTGGAAGAAAAAGGAAAAACAGAGTATGTATGGCTAAACATATTCTTTTACAATAGAAAAGAAACGGATAACACAGATCTGCAATTTCTTGCGAGTCAACAAAACATATGGTTTAGAAAATATGAACAAAAACTATAAAATCTTTTCTTTTTGGCCTGAGATTGATAGCCACCACCACAGATAGATGACATAATGGAACAAATACAACAGAAGGGATTAGAAATCCAACCTCTTTTTGCTGAGATTCTGCTGGTAATTTGAACTGTTCCATTGACTGAAATTGTTGTGAAAGCCTGTCTAACCAACGATATCTGCAAAAGAAAACCCTTTTACTAACCTATCAAAATCAATACAAAGCCAAACAGCACGGGCAAATTTCCCACTTCTGCATAACCAAACAAACTTAACCAAAGAATGCAAATTATGTATACCTAATTCACCAAAGCAGCAACGGCTTTCCCCAGAAACATTTTCTTTCTACTTTCTGATCAAACCAAACCCAATTGCACTTAACCAAAAACGAAAACCCAATTGCATGTATCTAACCAGGCCTAAATTCTTACAATTTTGGTAAATTATTTTCCACACGCTAAAAAATTCAACCCATTCAGTTTTGTTTCCTATTAAAGCCAAAGAATTGACTTGGTAAACAGAAAAATATTTGGAAATTCAATCAAAGTGAAAAAGAATTGCAGAGTCTAACAACAATGAGGATGAAAGCAGACAAAAACACAAGACGAAGTTTTGCAGGAATTAAATATTGAATATTAAAATATGGCAAAAAGTGGATTGAAAATTCAGAAGGGTACCTTAAGAACACGCCTAAGATTCCAGGTAGGGTGATGACTTGATGTGTAGGCAATAGGTGAACTTAAATATATGCAACCCTCTCCTCTCCTCTAATTACTAATATTCACAATAAAATCTTGGTATTGTAGATATTTATTTGGCCTATTTATTATGGGTAATAATAGGAAGAAATATATATATATATATATATATATAATATAAGAGAACAAGGAAATGAGGTGGAATTAAGTTTTCCTGCTTGAACGAGGAAATTGGATCTAATGCTTCTAGGAAATGGAAAAGGAAAAGAACAAGGAAATTTCTTATTTTTCTTATGTAATTTATGAAATAAATATTTAGAAGGAGGGGAAGAGAGAGAGGGTCAACCCGCTCAAACGCACGCAGTTTTAACGGAAAGCGGTGAGTCCAACACTCCATAGCTCAACCAACCGCACAATAACTTGTTTGTAAGTTATACAAGCTAAGTGGGCCCATCTCACAATTCTCTTCCCCCTTTTGCTTCTTTCTAAGTTTTTTTTTTGATAACTTTTAAGTATGTCTTTGAAGAAAATAACAATAATTAGTCTCTTGACACACGCTTTAGGTATGACAAGGACTTTTTTGTTATTTCATATCTTGTTTACGTTTCATATGATCTCTCATAAAAAACCTTTTAACATTTGTAATTTTTATTTATGGAAATACAATTGTACGCAATATTTGTGACATAAGTCTCTTGGTCGCTCATAAAAATAAGAGAGCCAAGTTCTTTTTTTTTTTGTAAATTTTTTAGGATGAAAGATTGGATTTATGAAAGTTTTGGCATTCTTGTATAAGTGAGGGATAAGATATATGAATTTTATGATAGAATCAAGATGCTCTTTTTGCACATTTGTGTCAGTTCTTCTTTTTTCTTTTTTCTTTTTTGAATTAACTACACTTTAGTCCCTAGAGATTTATGGTCAGTATCGAAATGGGCCTCGATATTTCAATTTCATCAATTTCATACCCAACGTATCCAAATATGACCAATTCACCCCGTCCATTAGATTGACCGTCTGGTCAAACGTTAAATGTTGATGTGTCAACTGTGGGACCCGCCACAGACCTTGACAACCCATTCCAACTAGTCCACGTGAGGGGCATTTCTTGAAAAAAAAAATGGATTAACTACACTTTAGTGCCCGGAGGTTTAGTGTCAGTATCGAAATGGGCCCCGAGGTTTCATTTTAATCAATTTCGTACCCAACATTTCGAAATATTACCAATTTACACCAGACGTTACATTGACCGTCAAAGTCAGACGTTAACTGCTGACGTGGCAGTCGTGGAACCCACCTCATAACCAAACAGTAATTAGAAAGAGACGAAATGAAGGACAATTTCGGAAAATAATAATAATAAACTCTTTAAAAATATTATTAAATTAGATTTTTAAAAACAAAATCCCTACTTTCTCTCTCTCTCTCTCTCTGTGCCCAGAAAGAAGTAGTCCCAAGCCATGCCCTTAAGGTATTGAGAATCTGATGAAGAGGGCAAAAACCCAGATCAGATCTTGATCTAGTGCTGGGTAAACAAGATCTAATATTAGCTTCAACAATACACAGAATATTCCTCCAAAACCCATCACAGTGGAAGAAGAAAACCCAGATGCTATTTCTACACCATAATATTCTAACAACGTAGAATTAAAACAAAACAAGAAGACAAAAAACTCAAATTCTTCTTCTCAATCACCAAGTACCAGATTTCATTTTCTTTTTTTTTATAATGATTTTTCCCGAGAAAATAAGGGCAGACAAAAAAAAACGAAAGAAGAAAGGAAGGGGGGGGGGAGCCATATGGAGATCCATACGGTAATTAGAGGCACAAAGCGGTGGCTTGAAGATCATGCTCATCACCACAAACCTCACCGGATTTGAATAAATCGAGGCCGTCCATCATCGGGGGCGACGGCAGGTTGAGATCGAACGGCAAAGGCGAGACTCTCCGAAACGACGACGTCAGGACGCAATCATCGCCGTCATCTACGACGGAGGATGAGGAGTCACAGTCGCTGTGGCAGTCGTCGGGTTGGACAGGGTGCACGGGTCTCCGCTGCAGCTGAGCATCGAAGGTGTGCCTAGGCTGGGGGCGGGGCCCACTGAAAGACTCGACGGTGCTGCTGAGGCTGCTGGAGGTGGGCCTGCTTGCCTGAACGACATCGTAGAGAGAAGGATGATGAGGAGGGAGGCGGTGGTTATTGTTGATGTCATAATCCACGGCTTGGGACTACTTCTTTCTGGGCAGAGAGAGGGAGGGAGATAGGAGGAGAAGGAGAGAGAGAGAGAGAGAGAGAGGAGAGAGAGAGAGAGAGTAGGGATTTTTTGTTTTTGTTTTTAAAAATCTAATTTAATAATATTTTTAAAGAGTTTTTTATTATTTTTTTCCGAAATTGCCATTCATTTCGTCTCTTTCTAACTACTGTTTGGTTATGAGGTGGGTCCCACGACTGCCACGTCAGCAGTTAACGTCTGACTTTGACGGTCAATGTAACAGCTGGTGTAAGTTGGTAATATTTCGAAATGTTGGGTACGAAATTGATTAAAATGAAACCTCGGGGCCCATTTCGATACTGACACTAAACCTCCGAGCACTAAAGTGTAGTTAATCCAAAAAAAATTTAACAAAAAAATAAAGGATAAATATCAAAAGAGCCCCTCAAGGTTTTGGGTCATTCTTAATATGGGTCACCAGGTTTTAATTTCATCATTTTACACCCCATAGTTTTCAAATTCGGCCAATTTACACAGTCCATCAAGTTCGTCGTTAGATTTTCTGTTAAATTGGTGGCATGGCAATTGTGGTACCCACTTTGATGCTGATATGTGAATAAAAATAATAAAAAACTCTTTAAAAATATTATTAAATTAGATATTTAAAAACAGAAATATATATATTCCCCACTCTCTCTCTCTCTCTCTCTCTCTCTCTCTCTCTCTCTCTCTGCCCACATCCCCACCCAACCACCATTGAAGCCATACAAACCCTACCCACATATCCGCCCCTCCCCGACTCACTATCTCATTCTCTCCCCTTCTTAAGCACTCAGTGAAACATGATACAAACTCTATACACGCTAGCCACAACTAACTCATCTTCATACCGACATATGCAAGCCCTTAGAAGAGAGAGAAAAAATGATAAGCTCTGACTCCCAATGCTCTTAGTACCTTTTCAACATCATACCCACACTCACCTGCAAAAACAAACTTTCAGGTCATGCAACAGCATACAACATATCCTATTCCCACAGCCGCCACAACCCTCTTCAGCTTACTCCGAAAACCCTTCTCTCTCATCAAATTCTGAATACAGCCTGACTCGAACCCATTTGACGAATCCAAACCCGAGCTCGAGCCCCAACTCAAACCCGCATCCAATCCAGAAACGCCAATTGTTGTGGAACTCCTGAACGACTCTTCGGAGCTTTCAGCCACAACTCACCCCAAAATCTCTGTGGCTTTGTTCGAGTCACCATTGACTTCGCAATACGCAGAAACGACGTCGTCAAGTGAAACCGAGGAGAAGACCTCTGAAAGTGCTCAAATCACCTTCTGGTCTTCATCTTCTTTGGCGACTGGCTTCGGATCTACCGAGCTCTTCTTCTTCCTTCTCCTCTTCATGTGCTTCATCACTGCATATATAGCTAGGGTTTGACGTAACCAAGAGAATCGAAAATGATAATTATAATGATGAATAAAACCCTAGCGTGAGAATAAAATACAATCAGGGATAATTTTGTTTTCGAGAGGATTAGGGTTTCTGAGATAGGTCAGTGCACCGGGGGAGGATCGGATCAAAAAATTTAAATTGGAGAGGCAGAAAAGGGGCACATATGAAGAATTAGATAAGGGAGCTTGGCTAATTTAGGGATTTATGAAAATAACATGAGGAGAAAATGAGAGAATGAGATAGTGAGTCGTGGAGGGACAGATATGTGGGTGGGGTTTGTATGGCTTCAATGGTGGTTGGGTGGGGAGGTGGTAGGGATGGGTTGAAGATAGGAGGGGAGAGAGAGCGAGAGAGAAAAAGTAAGGATTTTTTTTTTCTTTTCTGTTTTTAAAAATCTAATTTAATAATATTTTTAAAGAATTTTTTATTATTTTTATTTACACATCAGAAATTCTAACAATGAACTTGACGGACGGTGTAAATTGGCCAAATTTGAAAACTATGGGGTGTAAAATGATGAAATTAAAACCCGGTGACCCATATTAAGAATGACCTCAAACCTTGAGGGGCTCTTTGATGTTTATCCAAAAAAACCCAGCTCTAGCAACCCTCTCTCTCCATCTCTCATCCACCCTTGGTCGACCCTTCACAAACCCCCTCTCCCCAATCAATACCAGGCCCTCCCCAACCCAAAACATGATCAAACATCCACAACAAGATCAACTTCACAATCAAAACCAAATAACTCAATAGCCCTATAAGTTGTTGCTCCAAATCTATAATTACCCGAACCTAAAAAATCTAATTTGTCCAATCCAATCAAACTGAGCCATAAAATGAGAGAAATAGAGGGAGGAGGATGGGGATGACGAAGAGAGGGGGAGAGGGAGGAAAAGAAAGAGAGAAATATAAAGTGGGTCGCGTATGGCCCTAGTGGATTGGGGGGATGAGGACGAGAAATTGAAAGTCCAGGAAATTGAAATTCATTTAGTCCTCCCTCATGTCAATTGTAGAAGTCCTGATCTTCTTCTCGAAAGTCAATCCATTGTTCTTCATAATCTCAACAGTGGTAACAACAGTAGCAATAGCCATTCCAAGGGCAAAAAGCTCCACCTCATTGTTCTGCTCCATGTACCTCTTAGCAAGATTGACATAGAAGAAGAGGGCTTTTTGGTATTTGAGACCTGGATGCGATTCTTCTTCTTGTTGTATGATGAGTCTGTGACTTGCAAGTTGTTGACCCCCTTTGTGACACCTTTCATTGTTGCTTCTGCTTTTTTCTTCTTATTTTTGTTTTGCTCTGCAGAGAGAGAAGAAAAACCCTAATCTCCTCACAGTCCCTCCGAAATTTACCTGAAATTTATAGGTGAGGGTTATTGTTTTTGTTTGTTTTTTTTTGTTTTTTTTTTTTTTTTTTTTTTTTTTTTTTTTTTTTTTTTTTTTTTTTGTGTGTTTTGGAGGTGGGTTTGGGATTTGTAGTAAGTGAAGTGGTGGACAGTGTGATTTATTTGATGTTTTTTTTCTGTTTTTTTCTCTCTGATTTACTGGGAAAGTTTACTGTTTGGATCTAAAATTCTTGAGAATAATGGTAATTGTGTTCTTCAGTTTTTCTGAAACTTTTTGGTGGATGAGGTCTTCAACCTCACCCTCAATGTCGGCGATCGATGCCTCCTCATCGAATCCAATGGTGCGTTAGCTTTTTTTTGTTGTGTCGTTGTCATTTTGGGAAGTTGTTTGAATGAAATGGAAAGGCGGGTTTTAACAGCCAAGATATGATTCACGAGTGTAGCTAGGAGTTTCTGGGTTTTAGTTGGGGAGCCAGTCGGAGAGAAGGGAGGGCCTGTGGAGGTCAACGAAGGGTGTTTTGGGGAGGGAGACATGCTGGGATTTTTTGTTTTTTGTTTTTTGGTTTTGAAAAAATATATATTTATAAAATAAAATAAAAAATTATTCTTTAATTTTATTTCTGAAATGCCCTTCATGTGGACTAGTTCGAATGGGTTGTCAGGGTTTGTGGTGGGTCCCACTGTTGACACATCAACATTTAACGTTTGACCAGACAGTCAATCTAATGGACAGGGTGAATTAGTCATATTTGGATACGTTGGGTATGAAATTGATGAAATTGAAATATCGGGGCCCATTTCAATACTGACCATAAACCTCTATGGACTAAAGTGTAGTTAATCCTTCTTTTTTGGTCAAAGAATCAGGATGCTTTGTGTTCAATACAAAGACACCAATTCACATATTTGGGTCCAAAAATGGTGGCCCAAATTCTCCCCATGCACATTTTTGGGTTTTGAGTCTAAATTCCCCTTGGAGATGGTTGGGTCGAAACTTGAATTTGGGTTTAGCACACTCTCTCATCTTTTTCTTCTAGGCCCACAATTTGAGTTTTGACTTGAAAACAAACTCGAATCTAAGACCGACTGTCTAGGTCAGTTGTGATGTTTTGCAATACACACGATTCTAGTCAAATCCGCTAATGAGCAAAATTTCTATGTAATGCACAAGAACTTTCTGTGAGAAAACTTCTACTTATTGGGGAGCAATTGTTGTACCATTTTTATGCTTCTTTCACATCATGAATATAAAAGGTAAACACTTACACTAATTAAGATATGTTTAATTCAGCAATTGTTGATTTACATGGTTACAAAACAAACTCACTTTCTCATGAATAAATAAAACGCAAGCTCTCTTTCATTCCATATCCTGACTAAATCGAAAATACACCTCTCATACTTGATGTTTGTACTCACAAGCCTATGACCAAACTAGTTATACTGAATGTAGCTTAAGCTCATTGATTCCAATTTTGACCATGAACCATACTTAAATATGAATGGATCAATGACAACAAAAAATAAAACTAACATAAGTAATATATAACTCATGAAATCAACAAGCTAATAAGAGTTATAATTGTCACTAGTATGGTATATGCTAGTTTCAGTGAATAAAAATTGTGCCATGTGACACATTCTCAACAAATCAATTACATTCATCTCCTAGTTGATCTTATTCAAACTTTGTACAGTGGCTTTCACACTACAACTGGTGGGTAGCCCTCTCTATTGGAAGTTAATTAGGCACATACTGTAATGGTAGCTTACATTGCAGTCACGGAAAAAAATTTCAATTTTTTTAATTTCCTCCAACATCTTATATGTGTTTTTGCATGTCTGTGTTTTTGTCTATATAATCCACTATCACATATAATAAGAGAGCGACAAAGTCACATTAATTTTATTTTAACGATCATGCAAAACTACAAGGTAAGAATCAAACAACATTTACCTAAATAATCAGATATCTTGTGACTAAAAACGCATGACCACACTGCAATCTGTCACATTTTCTTTGCTTGTAATTCTTTAATTCAGTATAACTAAATTTCTATAATAGAAAAAGAAAAAAGAAAAAACTAAATTTCTATTATTCTATTTATCACATAAAATGAGTTCAGTGAAATGTCCATTCGGCTCTAATTGAGTTTTATGGAAATATTGAATTATGGCCCAATTGTTGGTTGATTTGGACTACACGAGAACTCTTAGCCATTGAAGAAGCCAACCCAACGAGGCCCAATTGTGTCATCTACAATCATGCTTGCTATTTTTTTAGTTAAAAATTTAATTAAAAACGTATAAAAGCTATTTTAAGAGCTCTATATAAAATTTTAACTCTAATTGTACTCTCTAGTTTAAAAAGTCATAAATACTGTAACTCTTTTTTAATTGATTCATCTCTATTAAAAAAATAATATAAAAAATAGCTAGCATTAATTAAAGATTTAAAATACTTACAAAAGAATAATGCTACTCTTACCACATTTGTATACCATCTTATGTAGCAACTGAGGTGGACAGCCACATCAATTAAAATTATTTAATATTTTCTTTTCTTTTATGATTTATTATAGTATTTGTTTTTCTAATTGTCTTAATTAAAATACACTTCATTGATTTAATTGATGTGGCATATAATATGGACATGCCACATCATGTGGTATAGAAATGTGGATAAAAATGTGGTAAGTGTAGCATTACTCCTTACAAAATAAAGCAACATTAATTTATAAAGAGTCACTAATACTCATTTCTCTCTCCTCAGATTTAAGAGCTCCTAGAAATCTTCCTATTTTAGGAGGTGAATATGGAGCATTGTTGGAGTTGTATTTTCTAATTCATTTCTAAAATTTGTCTAAGGATGTGGTTTAGATAGCCTATTATGAATGCTCTTAGGAGTTTTTCGGCTTTTTAGTTGGAGTTGTTTATTAGGTTCAACCAAATAAACCGAACATGTTTGTGAAAATGATGAGGGTTAGGTGTATGGTACGGAGGGAAATGACATTTTTACCGTTGCATTAAGTCAAATCCATGTGTTGTGTGAAGAAATTAACCAAAATTTACAAATGGCTGCCCTGGGATTGAATGCAATTAAAACTACTTAATAAAAGAAATTGGCTTTTTAAAAAAAAACTTCAATCCTAATAGTGTATGTGATAAATCCTCGTCTCGTAGTTTACCCTATCGGTTGTATTTGTATTAAAAACTTTATGTATCCATTAGATTAGGCTATGTCCCATCCCATGATCCCATTGCACATCTAATTTTGTTAAATAAATAAAATCGTCAAGCACACGTAGGAATATTTATGGGACAAAATAAAACAAATAAAAAAATCGCGGATGGTTTTATTTTAGCCATAGTAGGCTCTGGTGTATGAGTTTTCGGATCCTATTTCACACTCTGGAGGATTAGCAAGAAAGAAACGAGCTGTCGAGTTTACAAATTAAAAAAATAAGGTTGTCCGTTGAAAATTATTTCGATATCTCCCATATTCCCAACCCATTACAACACAATCTCAAACCAAGAAAGGAATTTCAACAACAACGACCAAAACCTTTTTTCTTCGACGCTTCCTTATCATCTTCCTCAAAAACCAGACAACCCGTTTCTTGCTCTGAGACCCAATTCCTCGTTTTCGATCTAATTCCAAAAGTTGTGATTTTTGGTCCTTTGCACGGCCTTCGCTTCTGTTCTTAGGGCGCCTTCAGGTATTCATTTCTATGAATTTCCTTTCCTGTTCGCTGCATAATCTATATGTCGTTGACTTGGTCTGATTGAAGCTCTTGGTTGGAGACAGCAATCCGATTGCGTCGAATACAGCTCCAGTTGCGCGAGGGGTCGTGAAGTTTGAATTTTTTGAACAAAATCAGGTGTCGTAGGAAAATAATCTAACCTCTTTCATGAAAAAGATTGTTAATTTGAATTTGGTTTGTTAATGTAATTGTTGCTGCCTGATTGCTTGTAATGGTTAGTAGGGATTTGCTGCATATTTTGCGTGTTTTCAATGTATCATTATGGTTGTAGTTCCTCAATGTTTTGTATTTGAGACTCGGTATTAGGTTTTGAGGTTTTACCTGCCAGAACTTATTCAGGTTTTAATCTTCTTATATAGAACGGCCTTGTTCATCGATGTTTGCGTTTGTTTGGCTGAAGACTTGACATGCTTCTGCTTCAGTTAATGCCTATATTCTAGGAAGCTGATTGTGTCTGAAACATAGAAAATATCTGTTTGTGTTTAGATGGGAACCCAATTTACCAGATGGATAATGAAACACCCCCATCAACATTTCTTGGCTGTCCGGTTGAAAACAACCTCACCCCAGTATGTAGCATCAAGAGCCAGAGATCCCACGTTTGAGAAACTAATGGATAAGTACAAGAACCTTCTCAAAGTCATTGCTGTCCAAGATCTCATCCTAGCAAACCCCACCAACCCTGCAGTGTCCATTGATTTTCTCTCCAGGCTCTCTCAAAAGCTCCATCTCAACCGTGGTGCAGTCTCCTTCCTCCGCAAATACCCTCACATTTTCCACATTTACCATGATCCCATGAAGTCCCAGACCTTCTGCAGATTAACCGACGCTGCTATTCAAATTTCTAAAGAAGAAGCAGAGGTCATCAATGCCTCGTTGCCACTTGTTGTTGATCGATTGGTTCGACTTCTATCAATGTCTCGTTCCAGGATGTTGCCACTCCGTGCCATTTTGAAAGTTGGCAGGGAACTTGGGCTTCCTGATGATTTTGAGGATTCTGTAATATCCAGAAACTCCCATCTTTTTCAACTTTGTGATGCTCATGAGCCCAATACTCACAACTTGAAACTGTTTGATGTAATTCCTGACAAGTTTACTGCAGCGGTTGAGAACTGGAGGGTAGAGGAATATTGCAAGGAGGGTTGCAATGTTGATAGGGCTGAAATTCAGTTTAGTTTTAAACATGGGTATCCTCCAGGGATGAGGTTAAGAAAGAATTTTAGGGCCAAGGTTAAGGAATGGCAGAGGTTGCCATATGTGGGACCATATGATGAGGTGTCTGAGAAGAAGAGGTCATCTAAGGCAGGAATGATGGCTGTGGAGAAACGGGCAGTTGCAACTGTTCATGAATTCTTGAATTTGACAGTAGAGAAGACAGTTGAAGTGGAAAAAATCAGCCATTTCAGGAAATGGTTTGGCTTTGATTTGAATATAAGGGATTTGTTCTTGGATCACCCTGGGATATTTTATTTGTCGACCAAGGGAAAGAGACACACTGTTTTTCTCAGAGAAGCTTATGAGAGGGGTTGTTTGATTCACCCAAATCCGGTTTATCATGCAAGGAGAAAGCTTCTGGATCTTGTAGTTTTGGGACGTCATGGCTTGTTAACTGATGAGCTGAGGTCCATTGCTAGTAACAAGGAGGCTGAGTCACTGGGACAGTACGATGGAGAAACCTGTATCTCTGATTAATTAGTACATTTTTCCCTTCCTGTGAACCTGATAAATTTTAGGACTTTACTTGTCAGAACTTTTTCAGTTTTGATCTTCTTATAGTGTGACAATTAATGTCGATGATTCACTTTTATTTGGCTGAAGAGATTATGCGATTCATTGTATTAGTGTGTGGCCTTGAAGAAATTTTGCTTTTATTTGGACATGATTCTTGGTGTTTCTATTTTATGCTTCCTGTTTTCACCTTTAATTATATTTTAACTTAACTTACAGAATTTGTTTTTCAAAAAAATATAATGCACTTACCTTTTAAACTTAATGCTTGTCGGAGGCGGTGAGTGTCTTAGCTTATTTCTAAAGATGGTGTTGGCTTTGTACTTTTAAATTTAAATGTATGTAGTCTCCTTTAATTTCATAATGAAGCACAATATATGACGTGCTTCAAGAAATACAATCTTGTGTTTTAAATCAGGAAATTCTGGAAGCAGTATATTGTAGTCCAGAAACACGAAGTATTTTCTCCTTGATATATCTACCCACCTCTGGTTAGGCTTGTTTGACTTATTATTATACCTATATCTTGTTCCCATGAATGATACAATGGCTTACTTCAGTCCCTTGGCCTGACTTTTTAAAGTTATTATCTTGCATTGAGGAAGGGGGCCTTATTCTGTGTATAAGGGTTCATGCCCTTTCCACCAGTAGAAGTGTTAGCATATCTATGAGTGTTGATATTGTGAATGTTAGGATTTGCGAAGACATGAGGATATCAAGTTTGGTTGGATTGTGGGAAGACTTCAGGGAGCCAGAGTTTCATGAAGAAAGTTAGTTTGGGCTCGTAGTAGTATTGATGTGTGTTCAGAAAATAAGGTCTAGTGTTTCATAAAGAAAGTTAGTTTAGTCTTCTGAGTTTCATGAAGACAGTTAGTTTAGTCTTGTTGCTGTGATTTTCTCTATTAATACGTATTTTCTTTTTTGGAAGTAAAGAATACGTCTTTTGGATAAGCTTAGGAATTTTTGCCATAAGCTTTAATACTTCTTTTGCTTTTGTTATTTTATTCTACTTGGGAATAAATATATTCAAGTATTCAGGTTCTTTTTTTCCAAAGTTCATTTCAGTTCTTCAGAGTTTCTAATGGACTGCAATCTGTCACTGCCTAGCATATTGGCCATTTAAGTTGTGGAGTGCTATAGTTTTCTATATTGATGTCTGATTGTGTTGGTAAAGCCTCATTTTGTACGTGTGTTTCTACACGTTGCAGGTATGCAGAGCCAGCTTGTGTGTAGTGGGTGTAGGAGCATTCTTCTATATCCTAGAGGAGCTACAAATGTTTGCTGTGCATTATGCAATATAATTACCCCAGTCCCTCCTCCTGGTAATATCTCTTTCCTTATCCTTTTTCTTAGTGGGTACTGGTTAAGTGAATACTTTCTTGTTCATGTTCATTATTCATGACATTTGTTACATTAAAACGAATTGGCTTGTGAATGGTGTCAATCACATGGTTTTTGTATCCAAGGTAAACCAAAATGGAGAATAAACATGATCATTTTGTTTTTTTTATTTTTTATTTTTACGTAGTAACTTTGATCAGTGGGGTTGTTAAAGTGTTGATGCATGGCCAAACCAGATGCAGCCTGAAGATAGAAATTATGTGGAAATAATGTAGAAGTTGAAGAGAAAGTTATCAGGATTCTTAGTTAGAAGATGAAGGGTTGAAATAAGAATTAAACGGGTGAAGGAGAGAAGACTTTAAGATAAGAATCAGTCTCATCAATTTGCCCTCAGGCAGCAGGTCCTCAGTTGTGGAGTATCCTGAGGGCAATCTTGTTGAGTTGCTGTTATCATTTGAAGTGCTTTCAATGGTCATTCTGTGTGGTGGGTACCTAACATGTGGGCAATTTTTTTACTGGAATTGTCAGAGGGCTAGTAAACTTATGCATCCAAGTAATAGTTCTTTGCTTATAAAGTCAATATAAAAAACACTATGTAAACATAAAAGCTCAAGATAAACTTTAATCTGGATTAGGAGTTGCATTTGTCCTGGTAGTAGCCTAACTGGTACATGCCACTTTTCATGCCTAGTGCATCCAGCATTGTGGCTAATTTTGCCTTCAGCATTTGTCAAGATTTGATGTTCTATGTACGTTAAACAGTGTAAATTCTACAATGGTTGATGCTTGGATAACTACTATGAATAGGGAAACGTCATATCATTGAAAACTCTTACTGAACTGGGATTTGTTTTGAACATTTTATATTAAAGGAAGCTACCATGCATGGTGGTTTTCAGAGTGGATGTTGTAAACAATACAAATTAATTGTGAGAGCACCCTCCATTTGGCTGTCAATATACATGTCAGGGCTAAGATAATTGTGCTGTGTGTTATCACCATTAGACTCTTATTTAACCTAAGACGTATTTATTTGGAAAGTCATAAGGCTTGGTTACAAAAAATTTGTGCAATGACCTTGCAGGTACAGAAATGGCTCAACTTATTTGTGGGGGTTGTAGGACGTTGTTAATGCATACACGTGGGGCAACAAGTGTGAGGTGCTCCTGCTGTCATACTGTAAATCTCGCTCCAGGTACTATATAAGCTCTCTTGCATATAATATGAAGTTTTAGTTGTTAAGTCAGGGCATTGTGATCCCCCCTCCCCCTCAAGTCAAAATGAAAAAGGGAAAGAGAAAAAAAGGTAAATTGTTCACTCTTGTAATCTGCAACATAGTAGAAGGTGATCGTGCAGCCTTAATGTTTTCCATAGTAAACAATCTTAGGGCAGTGACTGGCATTCACATGATAGATACTGCAGAGGAGTTGAGCATTGTCTGTGCATGCCCATGCATGTGTGATTGTGGATCCATTTCTGCAATGTTGTATACTTCTGTTTGGAAGGTTCTGGATTATATCTAGCTCACTTTTAGAAACTTTACAGTTTAACACAATGGATAGAGAAAAATTTAAAGATCGTAATTTTGAAGAAAGGAAATCCCACCTACTGTCTGACTAGTCATTTGTGAAGAATAATTGGTTTCATATAAACTTTTTTATTAAATGAAAGATCATGAGGGAGAATTCCCTTTCTACAGCATTGCTGTTAATTTTGCTTTCATGTTTGGTTTAGAAGCACACTTGGCAGCAACTTTTTCCGTCAACAACAGAGCTTGAGATTTCTGTTGTTTTGTAAACCAATTACTGAACTTGTCTTTGGTTTTATTCAGTAAGATCTTAGAAAATTGATAGTAATTAGAATATTTTATGATTGCAAATGTAGAGCTTTAAGTTTCTTCTTTGTTGGATTACTGTTTTACTTCATCAACCTGTTATTGACTTCTCCTCTCCTGTGGGTTTTATTATTATGAAAAAGCATCCAGTCAGGTTGCCCACGTCAACTGTGGAAACTGCCGGACAACACTTATGTATCCATATGGAGCTCCTTCAGTCAAATGTGCAGTCTGTCACTATGTAACTAATGTTGGTGTAAGTATAGATGATTTTTTTGAACCTTTGGCATATCACTGTTACTCAATGATTTATGTCAATATAACTTATGGTTGCAATATAACCGATGTTAATAGACATTGTTTGTGTGTGTGTGTGTATCTCTCTCTCGATCTTGATCTCTCTCTGGATTTTTGAACATTTTACAGATGACCAATATGAGGGTTCCAATTCCAGTGCACAGACCTAATGGGACAGCCAATTCAGGAATGGCGCCCTCTACTTCCGCAGTAAGTTCTTAAAAGCATACCATTTATATTTCCCAGATGAGACCATGTTTGTGGTAGTGACATTTGATGCTTAGTGAATCTGTTGAATATCTCTCGTTATTTTCTCCAGGCAATGCCCCATTCTCAGAGCCAGACCGTTGTGGTTGAGAACCCTATGTCTGTTGATGAAAGTGGCAAATTGGTAAGTTTGTTCAATTATGCATCCTTTCACATGCCTTTATTTTCCCTGTAAATTCCTTTCTCTTTTTCTCTTATTGACCAAACAAACATCTGCTGATGATAAAACTCTTAATCTCACAGGTGAGCAATGTTGTCGTTGGTGTCACAACTGGGAAAAAATAATACAGCGGGATTCTGCAATCGATTGCAGCTAGTTTTATTTCGCAGGGAGCAAATCAAATCCTTATTACACATTACTTGGAAGATAGACATCAAAATTGGTGTATATTTTATTGGAGTTGTTCATAAACACCTGTGCGAGAAACGATTTCAAATATGAGGCGTCAGATAAATGTATCATGTACTATTAAAGACTTGAATTGGAGAGGACATTCCTATATCATTCTTGTAATTGCCGTATCACCCGCGTGTTCAAGTTGAGTCGAGTGACTGCACATAAAGTATATGTATTTTCAAACTACAAATCCAATTGTCAGACATTTGTTTTGTATTTAAACAATTTATTTTGTTTAATTGTTGTTTATAGTGCTCGGACTATCTCTTCTATTTGATTTTAAACCTAGTCGGTTGATCGGCAGTAAATTGAGTTCGCATGGTGGTTGGTTGCTCATGAGCTGATCTGTATATATTTTTTCATACTACAAAACTACTGAACTGGAGCTTTGATGAACGCTTTGATCTTGCACTCACACAACACCAAACTCATTCGAGAATTGAGTTTATAACAATTTTGATAGATAGAGAGTGTGCAGGCTGTAGTATTCAAAAGGGCTTCAAGTTCATGATCATGCATGAAACATAAGAGAAATAAAGTTAGATGTGTAACTCCTGGTAATGGGCATGATGTGCTGTACTAGATATCATATATAGGTAGGTATTGCAAACTTCCCGGCATTTATGTGGTCTGGAGAACATGATTCGTCCATTGATGGTTGCCTTGATGCATTACAGTAGTTGTCCGGAAGATGTTGCCAATAATAATTCTAAGGTTGGTAAATTTGTTGGCCCAATGGATCTGCAGTTTAGCACGATCTCACGAGCAGAGGGGCCTTTGCTTCTTATTATAGTTTAGACCATAGGCATCTTCCTCAGACAATCACATATGTTACCAAAAGGCATTTGGGGTTAAAAAGTTTTCCCCAAAAAAAAACAAAAGAGTTTCCAAACTACCTACACCAACATACCAAAAGTTAGTGGATAGTTAGACAACTCAAAGAAACTAGATATATGCTTCACTTGGCTTCTTAAACTTAACAACTGATTTTGTTGGTCTATCCACCTTCCTCTAAATACTATAAGAAGACCCTCTATCTAGCAGCAACAAAATATTCACTTCTCTCTGCCACTCATTCAACCATGGCTATAGAAAATGGACAGAAACGAGACGATGGGTTGGCTTTTGTGGCGGTGACAAAGCCGACGGATTGGACCATTGTCATACTGAGGGTGGTGGCATTTTTGGCCACAGCGTCTGCAACTGTTGTAATGGCACTCAACAAAGAGACCAAGTCCTTGGTGGTTGCCACCATTGGGACAACCCCAGTTAGAGCCACCCTCACAGCCAAGTTTCAACACAATCCAGCAAATGTGTAAGCCTCAGCAGTACTCTCTCATTTTCTTTCTCCTCATGAATTATAACTATGTTGGTCATTGTTTATGAGAGAGTTTGTATTTTATCTGACTAAAAACAAACCGAAATGAAAAAAAAATTTGATCGATGATACAGGTTCTTTGTGATAGCTAATGGGATGGCCAGCCTTCATAACCTCTCCATGATCATAGTGCACTTTTTTGGAGACAAGTTCAATAAGGACAAAGCCCTTCGCCTGGTGATGGTGGCCATTTTAGACATGGTGTTATATAAAACTCGCACCTCCTCATTTCTATTCATGATCTCAATAGTAGCCAAACTTCTTTTCTTCACTTAAAACTTTTATGTAAAGCAAAATTAAGAGCTTAATCCGAATACTAAACTAATTTGTATTATGCAGATGACTGTGTCCCTGGCATCTTCAGGTGATGGTGCAGCAACCTTCATGGCACAGCTAGGGAAGAACGGTAATTCGCATGCGAGGTGGAACAAAATATGTGACAAGTTCCACAAGTTCTGCGACCAAGGCGGTGGTGCCCTCATTGCTTCCTACGTGGGGCTTCTCCTCCTGCTGGTTATTACAGTGTTGTCCATTGTCAAACTACTTAAAACAAAATAGACAATGTTGATGCCATAGCTCTCTTTTTTTAATGTATTAAATGTATTGCTTGTGCTGTGTGAGTGTGTGTTTGCTCTTGAAATGAAATGAAATGAACTTTCTTAAAATTACAGTCTTGAGTATATTATCTTCAAGAAAATCCATGCTAAATTTAGAGGGAAGAGCAAATAAAAGATGAATAAGGTACCAAACTTTGGCTTTTGTTCATTTGGAATTTCATCAGCTTGTTACCTGCCTGCTTGACCACTAAAGTTGGGAGTTGGCTCTTCAAGAAGGCTTTGCCATGAAAACAACATAAGAGTGCCTTTTGATTCCGTGTGCCCTGAAGTTATCTTGCTTTGTGTACTGGGACTGGAGAGTTTCACACCAATAACTCACCAACCTAAACTAGCTGATTTGAATGATTTTGCTGCACAAACCCAAAAAACTTAAAATAGAGAGAGACACAGAGAGAGAGAGAGAGACAGAGAGACAGAGATTGACATAATATGGAAAAGTTCTTCAAACGAATGATCATTTACCTAATTACGTTGATTTCACTTTAAAATGTAATTGTAACCACGAGATTTATCGAGTTCATTTGTGAGTAATTGCATGTATTCAGAGTTTACTTTAAAATTATATAAGAAAATGAATTGTGAGTTTTACTCGTTACTAAAAAGCAAATCGGAAATGATAATCTTTATTAAAATTTCTTAATGAATATAACTTGTTAGAGTTTAAATGGAATAATGCTCTGAAATTTTAAGATGAATGTATTGAGCTTTCTTAATTTCTCTCTTACAAAAAACAAAAATTTATTTTAGACACACCCTCTTCACACACATTGGGTTTAAAAGTGAGTTTTGGGTTGGGCCATTAAGTCTTTCTACATCAACATAAATTTCACAACTTCAAAATAATCGGCCCTCTATAGCCTTTGTTCACCACCCTCTCTCTCTCAGATCTGTAACTGCAATCTGCAAAGCAGAGCAAATCGCAATCGAAACAATGGCAGCAGTAGCAGCAGGACCAGACCACCTCTTCAATCTTCGCAACAACTTCTACTTGGGCGCCTACCAGGCCGCCATTAACAACAGCGAGCTTCCCAATCTCTCTCCAGACGACGCCGTCGAGAGAGACTGCCTCGTCTTCCGCTCTTACATAGCCCTCGGCAGCTACCAACTCGTCATTAATGAGATCGACGCCTCCGCCGCCACGCCTCTCCAGGCCGTCAAGCTCCTCGCTCTCTACCTCTCCGGCCCCGATTACAGGGTTCGTCCGATCGTCTTCATCTTCAATTTTCAATTTTTGATCCCTAGATTTCTGTTTTAAAATCACAAACAATTGAATCGAATCGAATTGGATTGGATGGAGATGTGATGAAATGAAAGGCGTCGTGTTTTGCAGGAATCGGCGATCTCGAGTCTAAAGGAATTGTTGGCAGATCCGGGCATCGGAAACAACTCTATTCTGAGGCTGATTGCTGGGACAGTCTTCATGCATGAACAGGACTACAATGAAGCTCTCAAACACACCAATGCTGGAGGCACAATGGAGCTGTACGTATAATTTTTAACTTCACATTCACTTGGGCCTTTTCATACTCTAATTTCACTGAAGATCATGTTTGGATTAAAAATTGTAGTTCAAAAAGATAACTTCACTGTTAGATTTGCTCTCAGCTTTACGTTGTTATTATCTTTAAAACGGGATGCACAGGAAATGCTTCACATTTTAGTTTCTTTAGCTTGATTTGTGATTATGTTTCTGTTCGTTCAGCTTTTAGCTACCTAGTCCCATTAGATCAAGAAAGGAAGTTAGTTAGAGGGTTCTACCAAATAATTCGAAAACCCTTTTCTTTTTTTAATAAGGAAAAAGTAAACTGAAACAAACTCTAAGGTCCCTAACTGTGAACTATAGAAACCAATTGCCTTTGTTTGCTTGTAAATTCTAGATGGCTTATGCAATATACGTCTTGCCTTCTGTTGGATAGTGCCTTCCTGACCTAGAAAATTAGTCTTTGATGTAATTGATAAGCTGCGCCTTTACTTGTTAATGCATTACCATGTAGTCACATGTCATTCAAGCGTTGAAGCGGAAAGCAGAAATATCAATACTGATGATTTTGCATTTCTCTGAAGCCTGATACATGCTGCTTATGTTTTTTCAGGAATGCATTGAATATCCAAATATTCCTTAAAATGCATAGGTCAGATTATGCTGAGAGGCAGCTGAGGGTCATGCAACAGGTTGACGAGGACCACACACTAACTCAACTTGCGAATGCATGGTTGAATCTGGCAGTGGTAATTAAGTATTTTCTTTTCCATTTAGTTCGTCTTGCAGACTAGACATCATAGTGCACTTTTGTAATTTCACATTCTTCGAAATCAGGGTGGTTCAAAGATACAGGAGGCATATCTCATCTTCCAAGATTTCTCTGAGAAGTCTCAGGTTACAAGTTTGATCCTGAATGGAAAGGCTGTTTGCTGCATGCACATGGGAAACTTTGATGAAGCTGAAAGCCTTCTTGTTGAAGCACTGACCAAGGCAAGTATCTCAGTAATAACTTCTTGGGTTTTCTAGAGATTTTATGGTGTCTATAGTTTGTATCCAGTCAAGTGCACAAATTTCATAAAGTTTAGGTCATAGTAAACAAAAGTACATGAAAACACTTTATGCATACTCAACTAAGATCTGACTATATATGCATATAATCAGAATTCTTATTTCTCTAGATCTAGTAAAAAATGAGTTCTACCACTACTTTGTTACATTGCGCTGCTTTTCTTGTTTCCCTCTATTTATATTTTCTCCATGTTCATCTACTTTCCCATAAACTCCCAAGTCATGGATTTTAGTGTTGTTCTATTAGTACATTTAAGCATATTCATATTGCGACTATGTGGGGATGGCATTGGATTGTATGTGTTTTTTTAAGATTTCGAAGTGATAAAGTGTCATTTGTCACAGGATGCAAAGGATCCAGAAACTCTAGCCAACCTCGTTGTATGCTATCTTCACCTTGGAAAATCACCTTCTCGTTTTCTCAGGTATTGGCTAATGTATCCTGCCACTAGAACACAAAATTTCTTTTTTGTCTCTTCCATAAGTTTTGTTATTTCATGAGAGGACTGGGATTATGAAGTTGTATATCATATAAACTAGGTGCTACTATAGAATATAATGCTGAATGATTGGATTGTCACTATTTTTCAGCCAATTGAAACTTGGGCACCCAGATCACATGCTCGTCAAACGGGCCGCAGATGCAGAAGAGGGATTTGACAGAGCTATCCAATCAGTTGGTTGAAATCTCTGAAGTGGGTTTTACACAAGAGCTGATTAGTGCTATTGTATACTTGTTACACCTTTTGTGACGGCTCTTCTTTTGATTTTTAAGCTGATAATATATAAATTTAATTGGAAAGATGTATTTGGAGACACGGATCAAATCTTTGTAGTGTTGGTTCTTAATCTCATTGTTGGATAAGGTACCTCATATAAAAATGTCAATTATGGGTTTGGTTTCATGATTTCAACAATGTGTATTCCAAGTTTGTGATTAATTGCAACTGCTTTCTGTTTTTTCAGAGTGTTATTTTGTATATATTGTGGTAAGCATGATTCTTGCCATTGTTGCATGTCAGAATTTAGTTGATGGGATAAGCCCTACATTCTTATTATCTTTTGAATCTTAATCAAAGGTGGGTCTACTTGCCACAGTTGGCTTGGCTTGATCTCCTTGAAACTTTGCATCTTTTTGTGGGTTTTGTGGATTTTGAATAAGTGGAAGCTCCTTTCTTTTCTGTGCTAAGACTACTGCTTTCACCTTCAACGTTTCTTTCTTTTCATTTTTTCAAGAGAAAATTGAGTGGTTCCAAATTTGCGATTACAAATATATTGATTTCCAGCCCTTACAAACGACCAACCTAACAACTTACCTCAACCAATCTAAATTAAGGGGATTGCCCCGACAGCCTTCAAAGGTTAACACAAGTATTCCTTCTCAAAGAAAATAGAATGTAAAGAACCAATCAACCCTTTATTCATACTTGAATTTTATCTATATTATTTTTTCAGAACGTGTACTTGATTTGAAGTGTATAATACGTGTATTATTTTGTATGAAAAGTGTACCAAAAATTTTAGTATTTTCAAAAAATAAATTTGTACATGTATAAATACACAAATCTACTAACAAGGCCGTGACAATGGAGTCCCTGAATATCTGGATGGAACAGATGTCAAAATTAAACCACTACGAACAAGCATTGGATACCAAGGAGAGAAAAGAAAGATAGGATAAAAGCTATACTGCTCCTGGGCATCATTATTGAACTATATCATCATTCGAATACATGTAACAGATAGGCTGCTCTCTTTTTTTCGGGCCACAGTATTGGGCTGCTACTACTACTACTAAAGAATAAACATAATATAATGAGAACAAAAAATTTATATTAATTCTGAAACCCCTCAGCCTCCTCTTTTTTGGTTAATGGGGAATTCTGAAACCCCCCCCCCCCCCCCCCCCCCCCCCTCACTGAGCTAAAGAAGTGTGGCTTTAGTCATGCACTGCAAGGAATATTGTGTCTATCTTCATGCTATGCAATGCCGTGACCATTTCAAAAAGACATTGCCAACGGGGTTCCGTTCAAGAATACATCACCAAAGGGGTTCCGTACCCATCACGGTGTGACTTTTGCCATCTCCATGCAACCTGCAAACTCTCTTGAAGATTGGTGTGTTGAGCTGTCCAGTTGAGTTCACGCAGGATCTTAGACGGGTCGCTATAGACCTCAGCATAGTCGCCAGGCCGACGGGGAAGGAAATCAACTTTAATGTCCACCCCAGTTGCCTTCTTGCATGCCTCCACGAACTCCTTTACTGAACTACCTGGTAATAGACAGCCACATACAAGCTTAGGACCAAATTCTGCTATTCACTACAAAATCTCTTGTACAATAAGAAATGCAGTTAAATTTGTATTGATTCCATTTACCCCTACCTTTTCCAGTGCCAACATTGTAGATTCCCACTTTACGGGGCAGTGCATGCTCGAGAGCTTTCACATGAGCATCAACCAAATCAGTGACATCTATATAGTCCCTTATGCAAGTGCCATCAGATGTTTTATAATCTGTACCTCTAACCTGCAAAGCACTTTCATTACTAAAATTGCAACCACTTCAAAGATCATTGGGAAAGATGACTTGAGAAAACTAACTATCCATTGTCCAAACATATGAAACATCCCAACTTTACTAGTGAGATGAAGATGATGAAAATGATCTTAGATATATGTACATGCTTTTAAGTCCCAAACATCTGTTTTCTTTTTCCCCTTTATGGCATGTAACAATGAGTATGAATTTTTTTTCAAATGATTAATGTAGGGTTTCCATAATTAAATACAGTGGGCTAGTCATAACTTTAATAACCAAACCTATAACTTCATCAATATCAGTTAATTACACAACAGCATACCTTTAGCCCAGGAATAATGCCGCGAGCTGCATCAAAACAAGCACCTGATATTCGTCCATGCTCACGAAGCTCAGGTCTGGGGGCTTCGCCTAATCTGCCCTCTGGATCCGACCCAATCACATTGAAGTACCTGAAAGATTCCAAAATTTGAAAGAAAAAAAGTTTCGTGACAAGTTGCTCAGTATACAGAAAATATCACATGGGCTTGAAGTTTTATTGTGCTCATTATAGAGGAAATGAGACAAGTTGCTGACCTTCCCTAATCCAAAGAAATATAGACAAAGATGAACATAATTGTGAACAAAAACCTAAGGAAACTTGCAACTAAAAGAAAAAGTAAAGCATACTAGCTTTGCGCAGAGAACCAATTTGTAAAATGGATTAGAGCCATAACCATCAGAAATCACGGAAAGGTTCTCAAGCTTAACAAAATCCCCATCCAAACCCCCGCATTCATTGCACCTAAGCCAAAGCCCAGGTGGTGCACCAAGGTTTCAAGTCCAACCGCCACATGACTTTAAAGAAGAAAAGCAGGACTTAAGCTATGAAAAGTTCAAGATGACAAAATGGTCAAAAATATTGCCACGTGATTCATGTTTCACTGGCAAAGGAAGATAACTTCAAACCAATGGTGACAAAATGGTTACTAAACAAGGTTACTCACAGGAAGGTACCTGCGTTAAGAACAATTCAAAAAACATCAAAAGGTTTGAAAATAAAAAATTGTTATTGGGAAACCAACCTGAGGATCATGACTGCCATGTCTGAATTCTTAGAGAAATCCAAGATAATATCTTCTGCCATCTTCTTAGCTTTTCCATATGGATTAATTGGGACCTGAATTATGCAGTCATGTGAATTTATTGCCATACCATCAAAGTCAACAACTAAACAAGTTTATTTCTTGGAAGCAAAACAAAAATCAAGGTATAGGACAACCCACCTGTGGAGTTTCTTCAGTAATAGGCATCTTCTCAGGTTCCCCATATGTTGCACATGTACTAGAATATATCAAAGTCTTCACACCATGTGCAGCCATTGACTCCAAAACCACCAAGGTATTCGACGTAATATTGTGGTAATACCTGTGCAAAAAACCAAAAATATCATTAATAAGATTATTTGCAAATGTTATAGCAAAAAATGCACCATTTGACTTGCTTATATCAAAGGATGGCCATATAGGAAGTCTTTTCTTTTTCTGGATAGGTTATATTAGTAAGGTATAAAAGGGAGTAGAATCAATGTGGACCAGCAGTCCACAAAGAGTTAAGAACTACCCACAATAAAACAAGCCGCCAGAAACAATGCAAATGAAAACAACAAGAGGTCATCAAAGAAACAGAAGAGCAAACGTCAAAACCTCAAAACTGAAAACAATATATAACAAGGAAGCTAACACCAAAAACAATATGATTCCAGCACAAGTAGAGGCATTTGAAAATTTTAATGTGGAAAAAGTTGAATATTATTAAGGAAAGCTGAATAGATTTCTTATTAAAATTTTAAAAATAATGGTGCAGCCCAGTGAAAGCAATTCAACAAATTCCAAAATATCAGTGTTTTTTGTCACTTAAAACTTCTATAGGCGCCCTCTTGTGGACTAGAATGAGTTACAATTCCTGTAACCCTTAGCGCTACAACTCATGTATTCTTATCCTTGCAGCCATAAGAACAAAAATCCAAAATTTCTTGAATCAAAGAAGCTCCACTGAAAACTCATTGAGCCTTACTAGCTAGACAGATCACACAAGTAAAACAAGCATGCTTTTTTGAAATTCCAGAAAGTCAGGCTTTCTGTCATCTAAAACTTTTATACGCTTTTTTGCCTTGTAGTAAAGGAAGCACAAGACTTTTCCTTTCTGTCAGCGAGAAATATAAACTACCATATCAACATCCAACATTACCCCCTAAGTTCCTAACCCTTAGCTGCAATTCATGTATTGCAATCCACATAGCATCACCAAGGGAAAAAATCAATAATTTCTTGAATAAAAAGAGTTCCGGTGAAAACTCATTCACTTTTACCACCTCATGTACAAAAAAACTGCACAAGCAAGACAAGCATAATTTGAATAATAGTAAATGGTCCTGCTCTAGTTCATGCATAGTACTCACTTAAGTGGATCAAGGGTGCTTTCCCCCACGTATGCAACAGCTGCAAAATGCATCACAGCATCAAAAGCATTTTCTGAAAAAATTTTGTTAACCTGGAATATTCAGTTAAGGGCTACATTGGAACTTATCCCTGTTTATTTGCATAAATATTTTGAAAATACTTATCAAGGACATCACAAGGATACAGATTTTGCATCCCCCAAGTCAGCATAAATAAACTGAAGCCTTCCAGGTTCAGGAAATAGTTCTTGGAGAACCTTGATTGCACCTAGGTTTCCCCGTGAGAGGTTATCCTGTCAAAAAAAAAAACATATCCTTAAAGATATACAGTAATTATCAAGTTAAATTACAAAGAAGACTCGCAATTTAATCCAAAAGAAACCTACCACAATAGTTACACGATATGAATCCTTTAGAAGTCGAAATGCAGCATGTGAACCAATATATCCAGCACCTCCTGTTACTAGGACATGGGTTACCCCTGATTCATGAAGGGAGAACTGGACAGAAATAAATTGTACATGGTAAGAAAAAGTTCATAGAACTTCCTTTCTTGTATCCAAGTTTTCATATCTAAGTATTAAAAACAAACAAAATACGCAGAATATGTGGCCAAACCAACAAATCAAAAACAAACAAAAAAATATGTGCTATCACTCTGTCAAACAACAAGAAGATTGCAGAGGACACTTCAATTGAACCCAAGCAGGTAATAGACAAAAAGCGAAAAGAAAACACGCTGGATCAAGTTTGATAATCCCAACCAGAAGCAAGATGATAAAATGATGATAATGATTTCTCCTGTGAGGATGACTAAAATTAACATCATCTTCTGATCCCTGTTATGATGTCCTAGAAAACGGTGAGGCTATTTGGACCCCTTAATTGTTCAGACACCCTCATCTATTGTACTATGTCCTTGGATGCATGGTTGCCATATATTATGGCAACTTTCATTAACTAGACAGCCACAAAGACACTTTTGTGCTATTTTGGAGAAACGCATTCAATATCTCTAGACACATAGAAATCACAGTCCCATACAACTTAATAAAATGTGAGATGTCCTATGTATCTTAAGAAGTAATAGTATTCTTCCACATTTAAATGCTCATTCTTCAAGTTTAAACAATAAAAGCAAACTATTGTATCATTAACACTGTTAAAAGCAAAGTCCAAGCAACCAAAGTGTTATGCCAACATACACAATAAGCATATAGGACAATAAGAAAACCTTCACAAGTTTAAATTCATGGAAGATTGCTTTTAGCGGCATGGTAGATAAAATAAATAAACAAGCGATAAGTGTGCTACAATTGAACTGAAACAGGCATACCAGCCTATGCAACTGAAACATTCTCTAATATGTCAGACCTAAAAACTAAAACAATTATTGTTGGGTAATGGTCAAATGGGGCAAGAGTAGTAAAAATAGATATTGAAAATTATCTAATCAGGGAGGGATTATATTGCATTAAGAAAAAAAGGATCATTAAGCTGATAATCACTTTGATACAAAAATCGTAGGATTAAGGGATTACCATGCTTGGGGTATTGAAAGATGGGGACTGTTTCAGCATGATAATGCATAATGCTGTAAGGGTAGCAGCCAGAAGAATTTTTCCTACAAAATTGTTCTTCCTCTTGGGATCTGGATAATCCATGCCTACAAGCACAAGAGGGTTCAGTACATAGGCTTAAAACTTTCAAATAATTCAAGCAGAAAATTCCTACCCAATGCAGTTAAAAAAAGAAAAAAAAAGAGTAAATTAGAGTATTCTTTGAATACAAAGACCTACATAATAAACACATTTCGAGGACTCTTATTTCAGTTCAACCTCCTTCTAATCTCCTTTTATCAGAAGGCACGGTGATAATAACAAAATTCATTCTTTTTAGAATGGTGAAATTGAAAAGCTTAAACTAAAAGGCAATAAAAGAAAAGCTGTATATATACCAAAATAATGTTAACCACTTGACGAAATTGAATTAACATGACAGAACAGAAAAGATTATCCAAGGAAAACGAAATGTCACCTCCAAGGGACATGGATCTATTGGTCCTTGACTGACTTCTGGCCCTGCCAAAATTTAGCATTTGGAGAATGTCCTCAATGCTTATAAACAGGAATCAAATTTTATGCCTCAATGTCAATGACCAAGTATAACCTATCCTTGAATATGCTTTTGGTGTAATGAACTGCAGTGCAAACCAAACACAATCAGCAAGAAATTCAAATTCATGGGAAAATTTATTAAAACTCAAAAGTGGTTATTACTGGGCCCTCTCTAGAAAAAGGACCAAACTAAAAAGTTCAAATCCCAAAGGGAAAAAATTTCTGAACAGAGAGACACACATAGGAGCCCTGGAAATTTCACCGGTCATCTTCAAATTTCAAAACAGAAGAAAGAGACGAATTCCGAATTACAAGATCCAAGGAGACCCAAAAGAACACACCCATATAAGTTTTTGAAAAAAAAACATCAACAGGCCCAGCATTCCCATATATATACGGGAATCACATGCACATCTTTTGATTGTCAGAACATGTCTGCCAAAGGAAAAAGACGAACTTTAAAGGACCATTTTTCAGAGGTGAAACCGTTGTCTGGAATCTGAAATAGCTGAAGAAAAACAAACCCAATAAGGTAGAGAGACCCAGAACAAAACCCACCGTGAAAACTCGAAATTTCGAGATCCAAACAGACCCACCGGCAATAAACACCACAAATTTTACTCAAGAAGGGTAAAAAATCAAATAGGTACCCAGTTTCTCTGTGATGATCACAGTTATTTATTGTTATAAACAAAAGTACCTGAAGGCTGAAGCAAAAAAACAAACAAACAAAAGCATTAATAGGCTCTGATGCACAGAAATAGAAACCGAAACTAGAAGGACCCAGATGCAAAAACATGACAATGAGAACAAAAAGCTTACAAATTTAAGGGCAGAGATGCATGAATCCAATAGAAAAAAGCAAAAGGAAAATTAAAAACGTACGAGAGAGAAAGAGCGAAGAGAGAGAGAGAGGAAACGTACAATGAGCAGAGGAAAAAGAGAAGAGGGTCACGAGCTGAGGTGTCTTTGTTGTTGTTGTTGTGGGTGGCCTTGGCGTTTGAAAATAAAGAGAGAGAGAAAGGAAAGGAGAGGCTTGTAATTCTAATAGGCAGAGATTTCTCAGCGAGTTCATGTTTGTGAGCTGTTGCGTTCCTATTTGTTTTGTGCAGAGAGAGAGAAGAAAAGCACAAAGAAAATCGTAGACTTTGAAATTTCTATAAATAAAAAAATAAAAAAAGATTTACAATTTTTCCTTTAATTTTTTTTAGAGTTTAGAATCTAATCTCTCTGTTTCCAATCATCTGCTTTCCTATGAATGTCTTTTTTGCGACGAATGCGGGTCGAGTTTCTCTACACCCACCAATAACATGCCACCACCTCCCTTCCTTTTTTATTTATTTCTAATCTTATGGACCCACCACTTTGTAGGACCCGTTTTCTCCATGTCTTGAGACAGCTTCTAATTTTTTGTTTATTGGTTTTTTTTATTTTTTTTATAACTTTTCTCAAATTTTCTGTTTTGGTAAAAACAAAAACAATCAAGAATACTATCCAAAGAAAGGAAAATTAATAATATGAGTGTTATTATGAGATATACTGTACCCACAATTATTGTGTTTCTTTTGTTGGGGGTGAAAAGACCATTATTGATTTACTTTTCTTTTCTTTTCTAAAATTTATGAAGGATCAAAAAACGTACACACACAGTATCATGAGAGTTTGAACCCAAAGACCACTTAGAAGCACACCAAAAACGACTACCCGATTGGTATTGATTTACTAGTTTAGTAGTACTAATATTCCTAGCATTGAAATAAATCTGAAATTCTTGACATAAGAGAAAAGAAATCTGAAATTCTTGACAAAAAAGAGAAAAAAAAATCTGAAGTTCGAATTTTATCTCTCATTAAGGAAAAAATATATATAAAATATCATACTCAAATTATGTAATTAATTAGTAGTGGAAATTTGACTATAATTTTATGTAGTAGAACTAGGGTTTTGCACTTTACTAACTGTCGATGGCCTAGAGAAGCCAAAAAATTCATAAATCTATACCCAGAATCTCCTATCTGCTTGGCCACGTGTCGTCAAAATGAGGTCTCAATTATGTTAGAGATAAACTGATATAATTAAAGAACTAATTACGTAATTAATGGATTGTATTATATGATATATTGCGACAAAACAAAGCATAACAAGGGAGGTAAACTATGCTGATAATTACAAAGTACAAAGATTACAAATTATCTTAGGTTTAATCACAACACGACAAGAACCAACTTGAATTTAACCTAAGTAAGTTTTCGTTGTTACCTTACCTACACCTACACACTGGCGGATCTACAGAGGCGCAAGGAGGTGCAACTGCACCTCCCCTCGCCGGAAAATCAGTTGGAGAAGCTGGAAATGCCCCTCTGCAATTGCCCACCAGCTGTTCGATTATTTGCTCCAAAGAAGCTCCAGGCAGCAGCTCCTTTGCGCAGGCTACAGCGCGCAGGGCTGCTTGGCTTCTTTTTTTTTATTTTTTATAAGTGATATGTCCAAAACACATAGTTTTGGTCCAAGTGAAAACAAAAAACAAATAATAATAATAAAATAAAAAGAAAGGACCAACCTCAAATGAGTTTCAATCAAAATTGGATATCCCAAATAAACCCTATCATCCCCAACTCTTAACCTTACCTCTCCACACCTGAACCACCATTACCCACACCGGCCAACTCCCCAACCACATTCCTTTTTTCTCAATCCTCCTTTGCCTCCATCATCCATTAGCTTTTCTCTTTGTGCTTTTTTCATTATCATTGGCTATCTCTCACTCTCTCAAACGAAACCATGAAAGGATCTCTCTCCCTCTTTGTATTCTTTGATTCATTTGGTAGAAACCCATTTGTTTTTAGAAGCAAAAGAAGGGTTGTGAAGTGGGCATAAGCCATGGCAACTCCTAAACCAGAACAGATAAGCCATCCACCAATGGACCAACCCTCCACAATTTGTTTGGAAAATTAATTTCTCTCTCAAATTTCAAAGTAATTTCTCTTTATGCTTTAATTAATTAAGATGGATTGTTAGATTTTGGTTAATTGATTGAGTTTTTGTTTTGGTTTTTGTATAGATTTTTTTGAATTTATTTATTTGTATATATTTTTAGTTTTTAAATAATTAATAAAGATTGTTGTGGTTTGATTAAATGATTAATATGGTGAATTGGTTAATATGATTAATATTGTGTTTTTAGCCTTTTAAATATCGTTTAAATTATCAGGTTATTTGGTTGTTTTTGTTTTGTTAAGCTCTTAACCTTTGAAATATTGCCCCTTCCTTAAAAAAATTCTAGATCCGCCGTTGCACCTACATGATTGGTTTTTTTCTCTCGTGAGGTCAAGGACTTTGGAATCTATTATTACAGGTCGGTTTGACCATTGTAGTTCAGAATCAACATGAAGCCCAAGTTTGGCCAAGCATCTCCATGATCACCGTACTCATTTCCTATGATGTTTTAGAAAGTTGGTTGTTGCCTATTACTTTGTGTGTGTGGAGTACCTCTCTAGGATGATAGGATCGATGAAGTGATGTTTAGAGTGACATTTGAATTTTTGTCCCTCATTTTGTAACACACAATAACTTTTATATTTCCAAACGCTCGAGTTTTTACGAAAATAAAAATGCATCTTTCGGCAACCAATATTAGAGTAAATAACTAATCTTATTCTGAATTATAAAGCTTGACTACGAGGATTGCAACATGAAGAATTAGACCAAAATATTAGTTTAAATATGAATGAATTTTTTTATTTTTTTAGCACTCATGCACATGCTAGCATGTGGAAATGTAAGTGAGTGCAACTTTATATGTCTGTCACACTTGTACTTGAACATGAAAAAACTATATATCAATCAAGAACTCTCTCAACTTCCCTTCCCTGCATATACATTCCATATAAATTTTTTTTTTTTTTTTTTTTTTTTTTTTTTTTTTTTAATGTTTTGCCTCCTTGTTTTTGCCTCGATAGTCGTGTATTATTGAAGATCTTTATATTCCTTAATATTCCCTTAAGCTTAATTAATTAATTAACTGAATAAAAATATGTAGAATTAATTCCCTCAACCTTGCATGTCCTGAGAGAAAGTAAACCTCCATAAATATCAACCCTATCATTTTGAAACACATCATTCATGAAATTTTAATTTCTGGGGCCTTCTGGTTTGAATATTCCCTAAAGGCGACCCTGCCTGCCTCTCTATAATTATAACTAGCATACCAACCCCTCTCTCTCTCTCTCTCTCTCTACAGATTCACAGAGTGATGATGGTGGGCCATAATCTCTCACGGGTTGCTACAAAATATTGTATGTGGCACTCCCCATGAATGAATGATGGAAGCACACTCCGAGCTTAATTACTGCAACTTGCCGACAGTGTTTATCATACTTAATTACATTGTTTAGTTCATCTAATTACGAAAAAAAAGATTGACTTTTGGTACCATATAAAGCAGCTTTGTGGGGTATATTATTAGTGATGTTGTTTGGTGCCCCTTTAATTTTGGTACCAAAGTTGATGTTTACATCTGGTCTGCAAGCTCTGTATCCACCGCTTAGTTTGGCTTAGGAAGTACTTATTAATCACATTCGAGATTGCTTGACATTTGCAGAAAATGGTTGCTTCACATTTACATATCATTCTTAATCTCAATTTGTGATTACTTAAATTAATTAATCTCTCTCTCTCTCTCATACACACACATATGAGCATGTGGATGTGGCCTTTTTCTTTTCTTTTTTGTTTTAAAAGTAAAAACCCTCTGGAAACCCAACGCAAAGTGAAGCAAAACTCATATGTTGTCACTTTAATCACATTACAGAAGACTATATTATCAAACGTAGGTTGACCTGATTTTGGAAACTTGAACACCCATCAAATAGTAAGGAAGTAGTTTATATCTAATGTGTGAGGCTATGAGTCCGGCTTAATTAGTGGTGAGTCTTCTTCAATTAATTAGTAGATCGTATGGTATAATTCTCGAGTTGAATTGTGCTTTTATTGAGATAGAATTGTCGAGTACTTATGATTTTGAACAAGAGAGAACTATTTCGAATTTCCATCTCTAGTTTTTAAGTATAAGATAAGTATTATGTCACTAAAGATGTAATAAGTTTGTTTTTTCTTTAATCAGAAGAATAAAACAAACTTTAATTAGTTAAAGTGTGTAATATAAGCAAAAAGTCAGATCAATGAGCAAAGATTTACCACTTTTCCACGTCTACAACCAAAGGAATTAAAACAGAGTTGAGTCAGTCGAAGCCAAAGCCATCGTGCATGATGAGTCAAAAGCTGTGAAAGACATGCAGCAAGCCGTCCAAAATGGGATGCTAAAATAGAAGTCTAAAATAATGAGAAGAGGGAGTGGAGTGGGAGAGAGATTCATCTAACTTTCAGTCAAATTCATGAGGACGACTTTATGGTTGAAATGACATTAAAAAAAAAAGTGTGGTTAGTACTGGGGAAAACCTAACCAGGCCGGCTGCTGTTGCATTAATAAATAACAGCCGTGCATTTTGCTTCCATTCCATGGAGTACATGGACCATGATATACCTACCATGCATGCCAATTGAGTAACAGTATATTTTAAAGTCTTCAATTATGGGATTCGTCAAATGAAAACATCCGGGTAGTGCTCTCGTGTCTTGTATTTCAATCATACGGACACAGGACCACTTGGAATAGTACACCAAAGGTCTGAGTCAATTTAACTAACATTCTGCTGGTAAAAAAAAAAAGAGAGACTATATATAGATATGTATTTTGTATGCAACATACATTACCCTAATTGGAAAATGTCAAGTTGGTTAGGCAGCCCCTAATGCAATGATGAGTGACCCTAGGTTTGGACTTAGTTTAGTGCACTTGAACAAATTTTGGCGTGATTGATGAGGATCTAAAGTGTTTCCCTGGATACATGGCAAAGAATTATCTCCTAGTTGTTGCTTTGCTTGTGGATGTTGTTTCTTCATTAACAAAGAAAATGTACCGATCTCGAAATTAGAACAAACCAACAAAATGCATGAAATGGAAAATTGTACTTTTATTAGGTTTAATTCCAAGACTGAAGTTGGAAGTTTAAAAGCGCGGCATGGTGTTGAAGTTGAAACAAACAACCATATAAAGAAGATCTGACAGCTAGGGCCACCATATTTATCTTCGTCGGCATCTTTCCTATTATAGGAGAGAGAGTTACTTGTGTGAAAGGGATATAACACTATTTTACTATTTCTGATTAATCACGGCCTGTCACGTGTGATAACATTTTCACATGATATTCTATTATTGATTGTGAATGGCAAAATAGTACCATCTCCGTTTCATACCAGTTTTTCCTGCTATTATAGGCATTCATTAAATGAGTTGGTGCCCGTTGATACTTAAAAAAGTAAGTTTATCTGTTAGTTTTCCAAAATAATGTATAATTATAAGTTTATGAAAAAGCTTGTGAGGTTTTTTGTTTTCTTTTGATGTCAACTTTGTGAGTGAGTATTAATATACACTATCATCTAATTTATGCTATTATTGTAGAAGGGTATATAATATATATTTAAAGTCCATTAGAGATTAATTATGTATATTTTTTAATGATAGAGATTAAATATTTAAATTCATAAAGTGTCAGAATTAAGGAGATTTAAGTAAATGTATATATCCATCTAATAATGAATATAATGCAGACTAAAATTAATTATATAAATTCGGCAACTAGCTAGTATAAATAGTCAACATAAATTTGGTTTGCATTATTGAGTTTTCTTTGGACCCATGGACTTTGTCTGCATGGATGATGCCTGCCGACCTTTTTCCACAGAGGAAGGCCATCTGGCACTCAAAAGGTTAGTCAAGTTCGGCTCTTTCTTCTTTGGCTCATGTCGGCTATGAATACAAATTACAAAGTTAAAAGATCACTTTGTCGTTGGGTTGGGGCCTTTTCCATATCATTCTTTATCCCTCCCTCTCATTCTCATTTTCATGGTTAACTTGGGAGGCGACTGAGGCTAAAGATTAGATCCCACGTTCACATTGATCTCAAGTTTTCAACAAGCCTCATCGTGGAGAAAAACTTGTTTGCACCCGTTTCATGAAAACGGTTATCTCACACATACTATATTATGAGAATGACACCTTATAAGATGCTCATTTCATAAAATAGTTATCTAATAATTATCATATTATGTGAATGACAAGCGAAACAATATACGAGATGCCAGTTTCATAAAATAATGATCTCACACTTACTATTTATTATGCGAATGCCACATGAAACCAATGTTGTTAATAATTTAGGAAACACAAACGACAAGAGATAGAGAGCTTTTTTGTTGATATGAAGTAAATTATCATTGACTGAAACACAACTTAAATAACATGTACAAAATAACTGACTCAGATAACAAATGTATAGAAATTTTTCCCCTTTCTCCAATATCGCCGCTCCTCGTGAGTCACATCTTGAAAAGAACAAAAAATTTTGAGAAAGAGTGGCATCCTTTAATGATGGAGTTGTCACCACCATCGCAGGAAAATTATTGATGAAGACAAAAAATTATTTTTCCCAACAAAGGGTAGGTAAAAACTGACATTCGCATTATATAGTTGTAGTTGGACTCTTTTTTATTCAGAGATAATTATCGATAATATTTTAATTATATATCTCCTCCTCAATTTGATTGAAAGATTTGAGGGGGAAAGTGAAGGAGGATAGTGAAATCCATGATGAACCATGACCCTCTATATCTTTTGGGCCTTAAAGTAAAACCAAAATTGATCTTTGGGCTAATTTAAATATTCTCATTTAACCCAAATTTCAAAATTAGGCCCAATTTGTTATCGATCCAAACACTCACATTTTGGGCCAATTGTATGTCATTCGCGTTTTAGGGTTTTAGATAGTTTTGGAGGCTGATCTCAAATGCTATAAATTTGCAATTCTAGGGTTTGCGAAACATCATTTCGGGGCCGCTACCAGAGTACAGAGGCATCTCAGTGCGAAGCCATGGGAAGAGTCATCAGAGCTCAGCGTAAGGGTGCCGGTTCCGTCTTCAAGTCCCACACTCACCACCGCAAGGGTCCTGCCCGGTTCCGGAGCCTCGACTTCGGCGAGCGCAACGGCTACCTCAAGGGCGTCGTCACTGAGATTATCCACGACCCGGGTCGTGGTGCCCCGCTCGCCCGAGTCAGCTTCCGCCATCCTTTCCGATACAAGAAGCAGAACGAGCTCTTCGTCGCCGCTGAGGGTATCTACACTGGCCAGTTCATCTACTGTGGGAAGAAGGCCAATCTGGTCGTCGGAAATGTTTTGCCTCTCAGATCGATCCCAGAAGGAGCTGTAGTCTGCAACGTCGAGCACCATGTTGGTGACCGTGGAACCCTTGCTAGGGCTTCTGGTGACTACGCTGTTGTTATAAGCCACAACCCTGATAACGACACCTCCAGGTATCTCTCTCTCCAATCGTTTTGTTTTTGTTTGATTAATTTCTTTGGTATTGCGATTAGCATATGAAGTGTAATTATATCTTCTTTTATGATATATAGTTTGTTTTTCAATAATGAAGCGTGAAAGACGACATTTTTATTGAAAATCCCACTTGGGTATATTCAGACTCACAGTCTAGGTATAACCTATAACATTAATGGACAGTAGCTGGTGTTTTGTCTCTTGGATTTTGTTGAATTGGGGGCATTTTGAGTTCTGCTTGTGGTGGCTAGTCATAGCGGTGTGGATATGAATAAAGGTAGTAGTAAGATCGGATTTTGAATTTTAGATGGATTGGGTCTCAACGTTTCATTTTAGATGAAACAATGAATCAATGTGCTTTTTCTGATAGAGATTATGATTGGTTTATCTTATTGTTCAGAAGATTGTTGAAATAAGGAAAATTAGAGGGGAAGAAAGTACTTGTCAATAAGAAATAATAAGATTGTCGAATGTGATCATTCGTTTTTTGACATCTGTTACTGAATGTACTTTTCAATTTAGCTTGTCATTAACTTCTCTGTTTTATTTCACAACGTCTTTTACTATACATTGATGATTGTAAGGTTTTATTTCGTTGTGTTTGCCCAAATGATGGATGGTATTTGTAATTTGCTTGCTGCGTTTTTTTTCATGTATTTGGTGAGGGACTAACTGATTATGCCTGTTTACATGTTCTTAACAGGATCAAGCTTCCTTCTGGTGCGAAGAAGATTGTGCCAAGTGGCTGCAGGGCAATGATTGGGCAAGTTGCTGGCGGTGGTAGGACTGAAAAGCCAATGCTCAAGGCTGGTAATGCATACCACAAATTCAGAGTGAAGAGGAACTGCTGGCCTAAGGTTCGTGGTGTGGCTATGAACCCAGTTGAGCATCCTCACGGAGGAGGTAACCACCAGCATATTGGACATGCAAGTACAGTCAGGCGTGACGCTCCTCCTGGGCAGAAGGTTGGTCTCATTGCTGCAAGGAGAACAGGAAGACTTAGAGGACAAGCTGCTGCCACTGCCTCCAAGGCTGACAAGGCTTAAGACCAATTTTATATTTATATGTTCTGTTTTTGGACCACCAAATCCTTTAAGATTGCTCAACATTACCATTTTTCCTTTCTCTGAATTTGCTATTTTGGTATTGTTTACTTTGTGTACTAGTTTTTATCCGACACTAGTGGGTTCATTTGGCAGAAATTTTGTTTGGTTGATCCTTTATGCCCAAGTGTTCAATAATTTCAAGGCTTCATATAATTACAATTTAAAACGTTACTCAAATTCTCATCTTAGAGTTGGTGAGATGAGTACTTTTGACCTAAACAGTATCGGTATAGGTTCCACCCAACTTGTGTGTTGTGAGGTTGCCAGTTTAGTTTTATGGAATATGTTAACAAGCAAGGTTCATACAGAAAACATGAAATTTATTTGAAATTATGGTCATATTAGATTGATTGTAGACCTGTGGTCTCTAATGGTTCATGTGGGTAAGTAATTCCAAATGACCAAATGTATTTCTATTGGGTGGGGTGATAATATACTAAATTCATATATATTACATGGATGCTAGGACTCAAACTTATGACTTTTCTTGAGAGAGCATTTGCTTTAAACCACTAGTGTAGTGGGTTCTTTGCCCAAATGTATAGATTTAGCTGACATTATAATGCTAAATTGTTTGCAAATTTAGTTTTGTTGACAAATTCAAATTCTTCTTTTCAAATACCTCCATTCAAATCTTCCCATTCCTATATTTTGATTTCATGCAATGGACATTCTGGATATTACTATTGTGATAAGTCGGCAACTTGGGATTGCTTCACAAGATAGGAAACGTTTTTATCAGAACGAAAAAGAAGATTACTTTAAATATGAATACTATTCATCAAAGAATTCATAGCTGGTTCTGTATGAGTTGTACATACAGTTTCACTTGGTTTAAAATCAGCTCCCACTAAACAGGTTCTATCAAGTTTTCCACAAGCTGCCATAAGATTTTGAAAAACAGGGTTCGACCTATCAGTTCTGTTGATAAGAATGCTACCCTCATGAACTAACCGTACAAAAGTGTCTTTCTGAAACCTTTCTGCATTTTCCTTGAACAACTTCAACCATGCATTCTTCGAGAAGAATGTCTGCAGCTCACCAAGATTTGGATTCGTAATACAGGAGAGAGCAGCAGCATAGTCATCTTTCTCTAGCTTTGTGCAAAACCTTTCCTTGACGAGAGGAGGAGGTGGACTCCGGCCTGCCTCCGTCAAGTGCGTCCAAGTTATGTCCAGTAGCTCACCCTGAAAATCATGAATGGATCCCATTTGTGAATAAATTATAATTGTAAATCCCTTATTCTGGGTTGTTGGGGTAAAGAGAAAAGTTAACCCAAAAACTACAACCATGCATCACCCAAGAAGTTTTATATATGATAATATTAATGTAAACATTTGCTTCCTACACATTTCGAAACAAGTGCTGGCCATATCCCCGGAGGTGAAAGAGAAAATATTAAGAAAATAAATGATACCTTTCCAGCTTCGCTAGCATCCAATATCATCCGAAGATGGCGTTTAGCATTGAAGTGATACCCATGGTGTAGCATCATTTTGTAAACGAACTCGAAATCGTCCCACCTCTTTTCTATGATGCAGGCGTCTAACAAAGTGTTGAACGTGTAGCTATCTGGTATCACCCGAACCTTATAGTCAGATTTGCTGCTGATATTATTCCCATTATCTAACATCTTCAGGAACAGCTCTTTTGCTTCTTCAAACATCCCATGGTCCAAATAACCTTTCAGCATTGTGTTGCAAGTAACAAGATTTGGGGAGCAAAAGTTCTCCATTTGTTTGAAAACATATGCCCCATTTTTAATGCTTCCAGCGTCCAAACAAGCTTGAATTAAACCAGTGTAAGTCACTACTAGAGGCTTATTTGCAACCTTACATATCTTCTCAATCTGTTACAAGAAAGAATGACACAATAAGTGATCCAACTGTTAACTATGGATCAAATATGAGAACATATTATGTATACTACCAGGTAGGTCATAGTTGAGCCACATCCAATTAATGTAAGCATAATTACACAAATACACAAAATATTAAGAATACAGGGCAAATAATTATCAGCACATCATAGCATTGGCTTTATACAACATGCTGGACAACATGCATCTTCTCCTTTACATCAGATCTGTATAATAATTTAAAAAAAAAAAAAAAAAAAAAAAAAAAAAAAAAAAAAAAAATGAACAGTGCAGTGTGGGGGGGGGGTGATGACTTTCTGGCCATTCCCTCACTAATTGATAAATTAACATGAAAAGGTAAAATCACTATATGACTTATTTATTGGACCCGAATTCTTTTATGATTGACAAAAATCAGCCTTGCAGCATGTTGCAAATCAATTCTTGGAACATCATATCCGTATAATGCATGCTGAAGTGCCAAGGCAAAAAAAGAAAAAGAAAAAGGGAAAACAATAACACAATTTTCACTGATATAATGAAACAGACACAGCTCAAATTACCTGCATCAGTGCTTCTTGGCACCGTCCAGCACTACAAAGACATCGAGCAAAGTCATAATAAAGAGCTGCAGAACCTACTATTCCTCGTCTTTCCATGTTCTGAACAACCAATACAGCTTCATCTACTTTATCTTCTCTCCAAAGAGTGTTCACAATAACTGTATTCATAAGGAACCATCAATATTTATCCCTCTATAACGAAATGCAAAGAGAGACAGTAGTCCTGTAAAATCCCATAAAATACCTCTGTAAGTTAAAGCATTTGGTATAGAAGATTTCTGCACTTTCTTGAAAAAATCGTGGACCAAGTTGTACTTGCCACATGCTAACATCACCTGATTCAGTGAAAACATTGTCAGGTGTGCATAATGCGAAACAGATATTCAGGGTAATCTAGCAGCCTGGTACAAGAAAGAAACTAGAGGTAACTCATACCTCCATGACAAGTCCATATGTTGTAGTCGCAGGCTGTAGGCCTTGTTGCTGTAACTGCTGCAAAACCCAAAATGCTCCTTCCCATTGTTTGCGCTGGACACATGCATTTAATACCTGCATATACATACAAAATATTATACCAATGTATACAGAACTGCACTAATTTTTACATCAACTACCAAGCTCTTCAAAGAATGTAAATCAATCAGAGGAACCTCTTCTATTAGCAATATGAAATCAAAAAGGATGAAGTTAAAAGACATCCTTTTTAGCTTAATAGGTGTCATACGAAGGGTGAAGATGCAATGAATGGGAAAAACCACGTATGCATTTCTAAACTAATGTGCACAAAAACTCTACAATTATGTACTGTTTAAGAACTTTAACGGTAACTATTTTAAGGGTCCAACTGATTGTAGGCTGTGCAGCACACTGGTTGACACAAGTGTCACAACCTGACATGTCCAACACATCAAAAAAATTTATTTTAGTATTCTACAAATGAAAACTATTCAATCATTCTGATCACAAATCTAGAAAAGGCTTCAAAGAGAGACTTCAGATTTGAATGTGTCAGCCAACTAATAGTCACTTGCGTTCTGAAATAAAAAAAGCAATGAAGTAGTTATAAATCATAATCTTCTGAACATAAATTATCACCAAGTACTACTTACCGCATGGAAGACAACAATATCTGGTTCCAACCGAGGGTCCCACTTCCCAAGTGCCCCTGTTTTGAACTTCTTCTTGGGAGGAGATCGCATAGTATCAATCACATCAAAAAGTTCCCTCATATGTCCCGCTTGTCCAAGAGTTACAGCAATAGAATGATAAGCTACCAAGTCAGGATATGAGGACATTTCTTGCTGGAGAGAAAAGAAAAAGTAAATATAATATTGGTCGGTGAAAGTACTCCTCCCTTTTAACTACAAATGTCTTTCATGAGCAAAAAGCATACTGTAGATAATAGCCAATTTTTGTGAATTACCAGCATTGCATGAAATACATTAAGTGCCTCCACAGGTTTCCTTGCCTTTCCAAGTACATCAAGTGCAGTTGTGTATATGTATCTGAATTTTAAAAGGGAAAACACTTCAAATACAATGATTAATAACTAACAAGAAATACACACCACCTGATTTCTACCTTACATTACAAGAAGTACAATCCCAAGCAGCATAGATTATAATGCAATGGAATTATTCTTCAAGAAGTATTCCATTATCCCTAGGAGATATTACCAAGACATTGCACTAAGTGAAAAAGAAGTCACCATAAATGACAGATGATCTATCTGTACAGGATTCAGAAATAGTATTGGTGATACCTAGAATTTAGTCCTTAAAGTTCCATCCTCTAATTGTGACTTTTTTTTTCTTCTGAAGAAACTGGGTTGCAGCACTAGAATTCAAGCCCGCAAAAATTGACACAGAAGAATGAATCTAAATGTTGAAATGTTGAAAGGGAGTCTAAGGCTCATGAAAATTGCCATACTTTATTAAGCAGGAGTGCATGCCAATCTTTATATTTAATGCTCTACTCTTTTCATAGGCAAGAATACCTGAGCTTGTGGGATTTGAAACGCTCACGCATTTGAAGCCACTCAATGACTTGTAACACCCGTCTCCAGTTTCCTAGTTTTCCCAACAGCTGGATAACTCTCAATATTGAATGATCTGTGAATCTGATTTGTGCACTTCGCATCATCTTTGAAAACATCCACTCAGGCATGTCAATGTCTGCACCATTCAGCCTGTTAAAATAAACATTAATGAGATAATGTGAAACCCTAACTACAAAAATTAACACTTGACATGAGATATTAAGTTTGGTAAATTAGACAAAGGAAAATAGAGAAAAATCCAGGACATGACAAGCAAAATTGCTTATGAAGATGCCAAAGCACATGACCTCCCTAAATAGTTCTAACAGGAAAGAATGCTGTATCAACTCACAATGACCATTCTTCAACCCAGATTCGTTAATGGGTATATTTTCCCCTTAAACAATTTATGATAGGAATTAAGTACAGAAGTAAAGTGTAGAATGCATGACTTCCATGTTGCATAAACTCCAGACTGGTGACAGTCTTATTAGTTACTTTTACTGAGTGGACTGATGAAGAAAGAAACTACAGACAACTTGTGTAACATAATACATATGGCTAAATAATGCCAAACTTAGCTTCACTTGCAAGCTGCTCTATACCAAAGCAACTGGTAATATTAATATAGCCGAACAGAAGAACATAATAAAAACATCAAAACCATCAGCTCAATCGAAGTGAATGTCATCTTTGTTTGAAAAAAGAAAAAGAGTAGCAGTAAATTGTCAGCAACAAGGTAAAGCTAATGCCATCAATCAAGAAATTTATACTTCCAATATAAGAAAGGAAAAAGACATAGAGTACATACCATTTTGCTAGCTTCTGGATCCTCTCCTCCATTTCCATTTGTGAAACCCGTGGCTTGTCCATAATATCACCAAATTCATCAAAATTCTTAAATGCAGCTCTTTCCACCTCCATGCTATTGTCATAATTTTTTTTGGGGAAATCCCTACCACTCTTAGTTAACTTCTCACTTCTACGAGAAAAACCTCTATCAGTGGCTTTCTCAGCATTGATGTGGTTCCTCTCAAGTCCACCTTGAATTTTAACACCAACTTTCCCTCTCTCGAAGGATTTATCTGTTGACTTGTAAACTCTTAGGTCATCTTTCACATTTCGTGCCATTGTACTTTTACCTCTGAAGTTCAACTCTGCTTCTAGCCTACCCGAATATTTTGACCTTCCATCTCTTGCCTCTCCCCTTATCTTCTTCTTTTCCTTTTCATCCCTGTTGCTCTGTCTGCTATCATATTCATCCTTAAATCCTTTAACTCCTTGCCTTTTGCTTTTTCCCATAATTCCGTTTCTATTTCCAAGTGCCTCATTTTGCTTTGCAGCTTTTGACGCCTTCTCTTGATTAGAATTCCCTTCAGACTCCCCCAATTTTACATGCTCTTCATTACCCTCAGACACCAGACTCCTGGAAACACCTCTACTCCTCAAATTATGCTTTGGATTCTGCTCTTTTGAGCTGTCCTGCTTATCTCTATCACTTCTAAGTCTAACGGTCCCCATAACCTTCAAGTACTGATCAAATGATGGCTTAAATTCAAACTCTTTCTCTAGAATTTCACCACCAACCGACCTGTTATCAGACCCTTCCTTCGACACAGCACTAATAACTGTTCTTCGATTCGGAATTTTAATACCAAAACCCCGATTCTTCTTCACATTCTTCTCATATAAGCCAACACAGAAGATGGATCTCCGAAAAAGCGAAAACCCAGATAAAGGACCTGGCTTTGAGCTACAATTCGCAGCGAAAATATCATTTCTTTGAAAATTGGAGACGCCCAGTTGAGCATTTGTCATAATCATTCCCGCCATTTTCAATTTATCCAACGAACCCAAGTAACATGATTTCAAACTTTCCTAGGCCATGTTGAGCTATGAAGCGAAACAATTACAGAAATACATAAAAGAGAAAGCATAGAGCGAACGAACTACGAACTTCAAGTTTAAGTAGCAGAGCAGCTCAAAGAGGAAATGGCTACCGTGAAAGCAGACAGACAGCCACGGTCTCTGTTCTCCTCAGAGCAGGAGGACCCTAATAGCTGGAGAAGAGACAAACTGATTATGCTCTGAAGAAGAAACTGGTTGTCGCTCGAGATATCGATTGAAAACCCGGGAATGAAAATCAACGAATAACTGTTGGACTTGGAGGTGTAATAGCTTACTACTGGGGCAGGTTTATCCCAATAAGTGTATGAATTAAGGCCCATACCGTGTTGCTCTTTAAATTGGGCCCGTATTATGTGTTCAGATGATTCAATCGGTCCCAAGATAAAGAAATATGACTCCTTTTATTTTATTTTAATACAAGCGATATTGGGCGTAGAGGGTTCAAACACTATGCATGTCGAACCAAGACAAATTATCTTCCAGTATGCTGATGGTAGTAGGAATAACACTACTGGTCCTATTGGCACTGCATGTGTGTTAAGAGATGCAATTGGTGCTTGGCTTAAGGGCTATTCTATGAATTTGGGTATTGGCTCTATCCTTGAGGCTGAATTGTGGGGTTTTTTCTAGGGACTTTCCCTAGCTTGGGATTCTGGGTTTTGAATTGTGGAAGTGGAAAGTGATTCCAAGGTTGCAATGACTCTTCTTAATACTCTCACTATTTCTACCCACCCCTTATTCAACATCATCAATTGCTGCAAATTAAAAATGAGTGATGATTATAACTGCTCAATTAGACACATTTTTCGTGAATAGAACTGTGCAGCTGATGCTTTGGCTGCTAAAAGTTTTGATTTTAATCCAGTTCTGCATATCTTTGATGGGGTGCCAACTTGCATTACTGACATTTTGGCTACTGATACAAGGGGAGACTCCATGCCTTGTCTTCTTTGTTTTTAATTGGCTTTCTTGTTTCCCTGGGTGTTAGCCCCCTTTGTTCCCAAAAAAAAACACAATACTTTGGACGCAGAACTACTTGTTGTTAACCACTTAAACTACATGCCCCTAATTTTAAATTTTAAAAGCTTTTATTTTATTAAACAAAGGATTTCTTAAAATATTATAAAAAATAATTAAAATATACAAAATTAGTGAGAGATAAAACCATAATTTCATTAACAAAATTAGTAAGCGTTTTTGTTGGTGTAAATAAAATTAGTCAATTTTTTATTTTTGGTAGGAAACGCAATTACAACTTAAATCCCCAACCCCCGGGTGTGGGACCGGGGCGCTGAATACGACCGTTGCACGCCCACCCTCGTATTCTTTCACTCTTCACGGAGAATGGAGAGATTCAAATTTCAAAAATTCAAAGTCGGCCTATAAAGAAAAGCTGCCACTTTAACCGCATAGCTCTCAACTGGTCTTGGAATCGGAGCTTTCATTACTACTACAAGTCCACAAGCAAGCGCCATTTCAAGCTTTACGCCTTCCGTTTGGTCCCAACAAAAATATTTGAACTTTCAAACCCCATTTCATTGCACAACACAGCTCAAATCATGAGCTCACTCTCTCAGTTCAGTATGTTTTTCAGTGTTATTTAAGGCCAGTTTGTGAAACCTCAGCTTTCGGTTGAATTTAGGACCACCCCTATTTCAGTTGAGTGCCATTTTCTAGGCCCTTTGTATAATCATTTTGGTTTTGCACAATGAGAGAAGAGAACCCATCAGAAAGCAGAGTAAGATCGATCAAGTTTTCTGACCAAAATCAGATACCAAAGTGCCAGAATGTGAAGGGCAATAGCAACGCTTCAAAGTTAAGGTCTGCTTCTTCATGGGGTTCTCATATTGTGAAAGGGCTTGCAGGAGACAAGAAGACCAAGGTTCAACCCACAGTGACAAACAAGAAACCGCCGCTAATGGGCTCTGATATGGCGAACCAGAAGAACTCATTTGTGCCTTCTCATCCACGCGTCAAGCGTTCGCTCATTGGAGACTTGTCATGCTCAGTCAATGGTAATCAAGTTCATCCTCAAATGCATCCCACCCACCGGAGACAGTCCTCTAGGGACTTATTTATTGAGCTTGATCATTTGAGAAACTTACTTCGAGAATCTAAGGAAAGAGAGTTCCAGTTGCAAGCTGAGTTATCGGAGTGTAAGCGAAATCCAAAAGTTTTAGACCTTGAGAGGGAGCTTGAGGTGAAAAGGATTGAGCTTGATGGCCTAGCTCGAAAAGTTGAGTTGCTGGAAGAAGAAAAAACTAGTCTCTCTGAGCAATTATCGGCATTAACATCGATTCTGGACAGGAATGAAGGAGTGACATTGAAAAAAGAAGAACAAGAAAGTTCAGTGGCATCAGCATCAGGGAGTGTGGAAATGGAGGTTGTGGAGTTGAGGCGCCTGAACAAGGAGCTACAGCTTCAGAAGAGAAATCTTGCTTGCAAGCTTTCTTCTGTGACATCCCAGTTGGCTTCTCTAGCAAAGGCTTCTGAGGTACTATCCTATCAACTTTACTGATTGATTACTTAAATTGGGTAACTAAAGCTTTATGCTGAGCTTGGTAGTATAACTTTTAGATGATTTTCTTTTTCTTTTCTATTTTCATTAGCTTTACTGGATTATGTGAGTTAGTTGTCCTGGTTTACTTTGTTTGCTTACTGCAATTTGTATTGGTTATTATCAGAGTGACATTGTTGAGAAGATCAAAGCTGAGGCATCTGCGCTAAGACATACAAATGAAGATTTGTGTAAACAAGTTGAAGGTTTACAAATGAGCAGGTTGAATGAGGTTGAGGAGCTAGCCTACCTGAGGTGGGTGAATTCGTGTTTACGAAATGAGTTGCAGAACTCCAATTCATGCTCCACAACAAATTCTGATAAGCCATTAAGCCCAGGTTCGTTTGAGAGGAGTAGTAAATCTGCTGGAGCATTGCCATCTAGAAGCAGCGAGTATTTAGAATACGGTAGTATAAAGAGATTGAATCTAATAAAAAAACTAAAGAAATGGCCTATTGCTGATGATGACCTGCCCAACCTAGAATGCCCAGATGGTCTCTTGGATAAAAGTTGGGTTGATTCAGAGGAAGGTAGAAGTCCAAGAAGAAGACACTCAATAAGTGGATCTAAATGCTGTGCAGAAGAGTTGGTGCAGAGTAATAAGAGAAGGCAATCTGATGGTTTTATGTGTGTTCAAGAAATGGAGAAGGATACAGAGCCAGTAGCTTCTGAAAATTTTGATTTATTCTTCGGAAATTGTCATGAAATTAACAAAATTCCAGCTTCATTAGATGTTGAGAAAAGGGCCTTGAGAATTCCAAATCCCCCTCCAAGGCCTTCATGTTCCATTTCTAGTGGAACCAAAGTGGATGGTTCTGCCCAAGTTCCACCGCCGCCGCCTCCACCTCCCCCGCCACCTCCTCCCAAGTTTGCAATGAAGACTAGTACCACAGGAATGGTACAAAGAGCCCCACAAGTAGTTGAGTTTTATCATTCACTCATGAAGAGAGATTCTAGGAAGGATTCTTCAAATGGAGGAGTTTGTGATGGCCCAGATGTTGCAAATGTTCGTAGTAGCATGATTGGAGAAATTGAGAACCGATCATCACATTTGCTTGCTGTAAGCGTTCGCTTGCCAGTTGTATTTTTCTGTTTGAAGTTCATTTTCTACTAAAGCTATAGTTTTCCATTGTTAAATGCTTGCAACTTCCAAGCCTTTTTCGGCCATTGAAATCTATCCATCCAACTGCTGACAAGATATGGAGGAAAGAAATTTAATGCTCCCATGTCTCTCAGTAATGAGAGGGAGTAGGACTAAAGTTAGTGTCTTGAAGTCATAGGTTCTCTGGTAGACTAATGCAAATTCTTATTGATTGTAATCACCATTTCTTTTGCAGATAAAGGCAGATGTTGAGACTCAAGGAGAATTTGTGAATTCGTTGATCAGAGAGGTGAACAACGCAGTTTATCAAAACATCGACGATGTTGTGGCCTTTGTGAAGTGGCTCGATGACGAACTTTGCTTTCTTGTAAGTGTGATCTCTTTCATGACCTGGTTAACTTGATCTACTGTAATATAATGGTGGATGTGTTTCAAATGGCACTGGGAAAGCTAAGCAAATATGAACAAGGCAAAGTGCTCAATGTTATATGTCTGATCTTGCTGATTCCTTAATATTATGCTTGCATTCTGTTGAAAAGGTGGATGAGAGGGCAGTCCTAAAGCATTTTGATTGGCCAGAAAAGAAAGCCGACACACTGCGAGAAGCAGCATTCGGTTATAGAGATCTCAAGAAATTGGAGTCTGAAGTGTCTTCATACAAGGAAGATATAAGACTGCCTTGTGATATTGCACTAAAGAAAATGGTATCGTTGTCTGAGAAGTAAGAACCTTCTTTGGTGTTTTTGCTAGCAATTAATCTGTGGTAACTACAAACTTATCAAGTGTTTCCTTACCTCTTGCAGGATGGAGCGTACTGTTTATAACCTTCTCCGGACAAGGGAGCCCTTGATGCGTCATTGCAAGGAGTTTCAGATACCCACAGATTGGATGCTTGACAATGGAATTTTAAGCAAGGTAGACTTTTGTTGTTGTCTTGTCTATAAATGAAATACTCAACGCCTTTGCATCACATATATGATTCACTGCCAATCCTGCAGATAAAGTTTGGCTCAGTCAAGTTGGCAAAGATGTACATGAAGAGGGTGGCTATGGAACTTCAGTCAAAGGCGGCAGCGGAGAAAGATCCTGCTATGGATTACATGCTGCTTCAGGGAGTGAGATTTGCTTTCAGAATTCATCAGGTTAGTAACATAAGAACTAAACATAGTAAAAAAAAAGTGTGCGTTTTATTCCTTTTGAATATGTAGAAGATTGAGATATGTTTCTTGATTGATATGCAGTTTGCAGGGGGATTCGACGCAGACACAATGCATGCATTCGAGGAACTTCGTTACCTTGCTCATCTTCTTAACAAAAAGTAAAGAGGGAAAGGAGGTGGAAGGGGAAGGATTTAACAGAACATTTTTGGCTTACCATCTTAGTAAGCTTCATTCCGTAGAAAGCAATCTGGCCAGACAACGTGTTTTGGTGTAGTTTTGAGTTTGGCTGTTAATGAGCTTGGTGTGAGAAATAGGAAAGGATTTAGGTTTGGGTTAATACTTAAAATTACCAGAAGTGAAATGATATGTTACATGTATTGCAACGCTTCTTGTAATATGTAAGTTCAGAATTATACAGACTTTTAATCCTTCAAATCCCACAAACTTTTAATCAAGAACGGCTCATTAGGTATCCAGTAAAAAAATCGACAGACTTGCTTGGCCAATACTCAGAACTCATTTTCATTTAACTATTTGCACCAACCAATGTTTTTGCAATATAATGTGACAAATTTGTACATTCTCACACTATCAACCTTTAATGGTCTAGTCATCATCCTATGGATCGCAGTCCCTAATCTTCGCATCTAATATTCTCCATAGTGTAGGCCATTGTCAAATTTGAACCAAAACGTTCTGTAAACTGCAGAAGTGAACAAGACAAAGTTAATCTTATGCGATACCACTCAAAGTCCATACTGTTTCTTCACGGCATAAAATGACCTCAAAATGCAAAACAAGAATAGAAGCAGATACAATCCCCTGTACCCTCAAATAAGATACTAGCACCCATGATGAGAAAGAGTAAAAGTTCTTGAGAAGAAAATGGACACATAGTTGTAACTTGTATACAACTGGTTATATCTGGGCTCAAGCCGAAACAAAAAGCTATTAAATTTTTGGCTTCATAGAAGTATTGCCTCAAAGGACTGCCTGGTATCAGGATAAAAAGTTCCTGACCTTGACTGCTCAGGCACTAGGCATGAGTGAGGCCTATATGAACTCACCAGAGCAGGACGTCCTAGTATCACGGTAATGCAGTCACATTATATTACACATACACACTAAGCAGGACGTCCTAGTGTTCCCTTTCTACTCCTCACATCTGATTCAGAAAACTCTTACACACATTCCTCTTATAACAAACAGCAGGTCAAGATACTAATCCGACTAGAGTAACGTCGAGAATCCTGTGGCACAATAGATCAAAAAGCAAGTCGATGTGGGAGTTTTAGCAGCTTCAGTGCTCCCCAGTCAATCAATATCTTAATTAGCTTTGCACACTAAGAAACTATCAACATGGAGTAACTCAAGCTGGATAATTGCTAGCCTAAAACTATCAATTTGAATGAACATGCATATAACCAACAATAAATGGAACTAGACTGACAACCAGTTTTTGGGCAAATACCATCTGATGAATGTATTAGAATGAAACATTGCAGAAAAAAAAGCCAATAATTCAGTTATGAATGTAATTATATTTAAAAAAACACAAAAATTCAGTGATTTGCGAATCACCATTCTAGTGCATCATGGGCCAATAACCAGTTGATCGTCAACAACCCATCGCTGCTCCACAAACCCTAATCAAAGTGAGCAGCCGCAGACAAAGTAAACGATTCGACAGGAAGCAAGAACTGCAACGGCGATATACGCAGAACACCAAATGCCAGCCGCCAACAACAAATTCAGCGCATCACAGTAGGCCATAAAAAATACCCCTCACACCTGAACCATCAATATCACATAAAAACCACCAAATTATATATAACACATCAAGCAACATACAGAAAAAAATCACCAAAAAGGAAATTTTTTTTTGACAAAATCTAAGGCGAGCTGATCAAAAGTTCATAGCACTGGAACGCAATATACATACATCAAATTGTTTGTAATCGATTGCCGATTCTTCTTGATATGATACTCTGAATAATTCAATTTAGAAAAGGGAAAGCTTTGATGCAATTCCAATGCAGCAATCAGAGAGAGAGAGAGAGAGAGAGAGAGAGAGGTTTTATTTTAACTTTACAACCTTATAATGAAGGGTTTACAAACCAAGTGGGCTTGCAGACTTTTGGGAAATCCGCAATGTTCAAAATTCAAATACGGGCCCATACTTGGGCTTACTTTGTGTGGGCCTACATGTAGATGATTGTTTATTCCCTTAATATTTTGTTTTAGGGCTAACATCATTTTACCTCATGAATGTTTGAGGTCATTCTTGAAATGGACCACAAAGTTTCAATTTTGTCAATTTACGCCCCAACGTTTTAAAATTCGACAAATTTACACATTCTGTCAGTTTGACCGTTTAGTCTTCTGTTAAATGATGACGTGGCAAACGCAGGGTCCACTTTTTAGCTTCGGTGTAATTAAATATTAAGAAATAATATTTAAAAAGAATTTAAATTTTTTGACATATATTAAAATAAAAATAAAAACATATACCTCTTCTCTCTATCTCTTTTATCTCTCTTGACATTCTCATCTTTGTATCAACCCTCACTCCATCTTGCTTAACACAACACATAAAACCCATCCGCCACACCCCATTCTCAACCTTCAAAATCATCTTCGACCCTTTTAACAATTGTCTCTTTCTCACAGTTTTGATGCTGGTCGTCGACGTACTGCTCGGCTCAACTGTGCTAATGTAAAGGAAGCTAGAGGATGGGATTCTCGAGTCATCTGCGAATCTTTGGGAACCTGGTTTTGGTTTGGAGAAGAGTATTTGGTCAAGATGAGGGAGAAGTGGGTGTTTTGGTCGAGATGAGGGAGAAAGAGGGCGGGATGAGGGGGAAAGGGTTGCGAGAATGAGGGGTTTGGTCGGGATGACGGAGAAGGAGATCAAAAGAAGGGGGTAAGGAGAAAGGGTTTTAGTCAAGAATCAGGATGAAGGAGAAATGGGTCGGGATGAGGGGTTTGATCGGGATAAGGGTGGGGGGGTTTAGTCGGGATGAGGGATAAGGAGAAGGGAGTGGAAGGGGCGGTGGGTCGGATGGGGGTGGGTGTATGGTCGGTGATGGATTGTGAGGATATGGGGGATAAAGTGGTGGTCCATGGTCATGTACAGAGATAGAAGAACATAGTTTTTTTTTGGGCTAACGACAAAAGACACCCTGCAGGTTTGGGGTGGTTCTCAATATGGACCATAAGGTATCAATTTTATCAATTTACACCCTTACGTTTGCAACATCGTCCAATACATCATTCTGTTAAGTTGACCGTGTGGTCAATTGTTATGTGCTGACGTTTCTACTATGAGACATACCTACTAACTAGCTAATTCATTAGAAAATTTATATAAAATGATAACATAACATAAAGTTTTAAAAAAACATCGTCTTCCTTCAACAAGCCTAGCGCCCATGTTCACCCCCTCTGGCCCAGCACCCTCCTCCATTTTCGAGCTCGACGGTCTGCAAAGTTGCTGGTCTGAAGTGATGGCTTTGGGACCCTAGTTCTTTTGAGCTCCAGATCAGGACTGGTTCTTACTGGAATTGGGTTTTGGTGTTTCGTCGCCGAGCCGACACCCAAGAGAGAGAGGGATATAGGCTGGGGTTGGTGTATTCAGATATACCAATAATGGTAACAAACATAGATGGAGAAGCAAACAAACCTTTTTTGCATTCAGATTCAGGAACCAGCGTCGCCGCTTGCATTGAATTTTGAAAACCAACTGCTTCAAGTATCACAGAGTCTTCCATGTGGTTGTCCACCAAAGTAGAATCAACCATTTCTTTCACAACCATCCAGAGTCTCTGTAGTATCACATACATGAAACCTAGAAGCTAAATTGCAAGCTTTGGTATTTTCTAATACCAAAAAGTGAGGAAATTTCATCCTGTTATGAGGTTGACAAGGCAGTTACCAAACCCAAACACAAAACTAATCTATCCAATCCAGAAGAGATTTGAATTTGAAAAATTTGCATCAACCTAGTATCATACTTGTTCAACTAATCACACCTACAAAATGAAAAGGAGATTACAAGTTTCAAACCACGAGCCGACGCAAATTTATTCGTCATCTTCCCAGCCTTTCCCCACCAAAGCAACCTCTCCCTCTCTTTGTCCCGCTCTCTATCTCCGTCCCACTCTCCTCCCAGCTCCTCATCCTTATCAATATATACAAATTATGCTTGGAGGGAGGTCTGGAGGGAGAGCCCAAGTGAGAAAGTTGTGCTTGAAGGCTCATTTTCTCGCAGAACAATTAGCACCCTCGAGGAGCACAGAGCCCAATTAGAGAGCGTGATCGATGAGCTTGGTCTTATCAGTATCGCAGGACCTAGACTTGAGAAGCCTCTCGAAGGAGAGGGGGGGAATCGGAGAACTCGAGACGATGGGATGGGGGAGAGAGGGACGGAATGCGGCTGTGCGTCTGGGTTTTTTATTTTATTATGTATATTTGGTTTTTGTTTAATTATATGTTATTTTATTATTTTATCTAATAAATTTTTTTAGAATTAATTAATGGGTGGGTCCTAGAGTAGACACATCAGCATTTAACGATTGACCACACGATTAACTTAACGGAATGATGAAATTGGACGATGTTGCAAACGTAAGGGTGTAAATTGATAAAATTAATACCCTGGGGTCCATATTGAGAACCACCTCAAACTTGTAGGGTGTCTTTTGTCGTTAGCCTTTTTTTTTAAAATTAAAAAACTTTATTGATTTTTTGGTAGTTGAGTGTTTAGAGAGAGGGGATGAGAGAGAAAGAGGTGGAGATAATTTTTTTTTTTATATATAAAAATATTTATCATGTGAGAAAGGAGAGAGAGAAAGAGGACCCACCTTTGCGCTTAACTGAAAGCCAAACAGTCGAACTGACGGAACGTGTAAATTGGTCGAATTTTAAAACGTTTGAGTGTAAATTGACAAAATTGAAACTCCGTGGCCCATTTAAAAAATGACCCCAAACCTTTCGGGGGTAAAATGATGTTAGCCCTTTATTTTATATTTTAACAAACATAGGATATTTACAAAATACTTTTACAACGAGCCAATACACTCACAACAATGAGGCTAGCTACAATTAAGTATTGAACTCATTACAAATATATATCATCATCGTCATTCCATCATGTGAATCGAACATAAAATCTCCACAAACTAAGTGGAGACAAATACTACTACTATATTAAAGGGTAGTTGGTAATTTAATTTTATAATTGAAGTAAAGAAATGTTTTACTGGAATTATAAATAAGCATTATTGTTTGATTATGAAGTCTAAAATTGTCGACCGTGTAAGTCCAACTGTCCAACAAACACAACAAACAAAATATTTTTTCTAGCTCGACAATGAAGAACGAGACTATGATGAAGACATTGACGAGCGACATTTTGCTCCCCATTTTTGTCGTTTGATCCGTGAACTAATGTGAAGACTTCTCTTCAGGCAGCGTTAGATTTTGAAATAAATCAAACATTTTAAATGGTTAAAATTTTGTTTATTTAGATGATTATTTTGTATCGCTTGCATTCTTAAAAATAATATCCAACTTGTTTAAACAAATAAACAAAGTTTATCCCACAATTATACTTTCAGCTCTATAATTTTTAAAGTTTATAAATCAAAGTATTTGTTTCAAATTACTTATCCGTATAAAGGAAGAAAGAATGCATAAAATTTAACTGGTTTAAATAACCAATATAAAATGTTAAAAAAATGAAGTTTTTCATGCCTATTGATGATGAAAGACTTTGATGCAATGAGAGTAACATCTTTTGCTATCCTCAGTCACTAACGCAATGACACGTAAGATAATTTTTCTGCATATTAAAGTGTTATTAATTTGGGATAGCAAAACAATATTATCTCCGTTACAAGTAAGTTTTTCTACTATTGATGTGATAAAACTATCAATTATCGTCACAAAAATAACACCGAAGTTACTTTTTAACATATATGGATCACGAAAGTACAGATTGACTGATTCAGTGAAAACCTTGAATTGCTCAGTTAGAGATGCAGTCTATCAGTCCATTGCCATTCATTTCTATCCCAATTGAGACTATACTTTGAGCAATACGTAGAGATCGAATTGGATATAAAGTAATTAATGTTACCATATATATATATATAAATATAAACTATTTATTCTAGCTCACTCTTCATTATTTAAATAATTTTAAAACTTATGATTGATGTGATGAGTGCACAAAACCTTTGTGCAAGAATAATTACCTGTGCGGGTAATTTCTAAAAACCATGATGCGTGGTTACAGGTTTGAAAAGCAAAGGAGGACATGAGACTCTTTTGGCATAGACTATATATTTACTGTGTATGATACAGTTGCTGGCATATGTTGGAGCATTCAAAAGGGCAAGCAAGCAAAGCAACCCAAAAGACCAAAATGAGGGATTTGCAGAGCTGAGAATCTTGGCGACCCACGTGCGCAAGCCCAGCGCTAAATCTGGAAACAATGTGAAGAGGGAGGAGGAAAAGAAAGAAACAAGGCCTCTGTGTTGTGTGTTTGATTGATTCTAAATCAATGGTAACAAAAAGCAGTGGACAGAAAATGAGTGCCCATATATTGATTTGACATGCTTGACAAGATGTAACATAGCTCCCATCTCTCTCTCTCTCTCTCTCTCTCCAACTCAGTGCTATACAATAAATAGATTCAAAGAAGCAACCAAAAAAGTCTTATTGGTTGCACAGTCAATCTATATGATCGATCCGTGTACCCCTAATATAATCTTGTTGGGTTTCCATTTACCCTCCATAAATGCTCTCCTTTTCAGGATTCTCCCCCTATTTTCCTTTTACCTTTTTTATCAGCTTTTCCTTTTTGAGTAACATACAAGAAATAATAAGCATTATACGTATAAGGTACGTAAGAATCCACCAAAATATGTTACGGTCGGTCGCTTATGAATGAGTGTATCAGTTGGAAATTTTTGACCATCAATGCATGTGCTGATTGAATAGACTTTATTGACAACAAAAGCTTGGGAGATGATGGGGGAGCACAGAGTGTACAGTTAGAGTCCGTTCTGCCCTAGCTAGGCTTAGGCCAGCAAAAACCTAGCACAGTAGCAGTGCTTTTGGGAAATAAATGTACACTCTGCATGTATAAGCCAGTTTAATATTGGAACTGAAAAGTAGGGGTAGCAATTTCGAGCACGACCTAGAGTTGGGGGAATGAGGGCGCTCAAATTGCCGCGCTAGAATTAGGTTTCCAAAGGTTACCCACCAGTCCCATCCGCTGCCTAATCAGTCTTTTAATTCGCAGAAAATCATTCGTCCAGTTTTAGTGTTTCAAAAATACAGAGAGAGAGTAGAAAAAAGCAGGTAAGGTTTCGTATATGTGATCGATATGACGTTTATGAAGTGACATTCAAACTGTCATCACTTGCTTGCGCGACGTGGTTTTGTCTTTGCATGGGGCCCCCTCCTTTTGTCTCCTTCTCTTTCTTCTTAATAATGTTTCCTCCTCAGCCCCTCCTCCCCTCTGCCCGGCCCCTACTTTATATACCCCTCAATACACTCACACGTCTCTCGATCCACCCAGCATATAAATTTCCAACCCCAAAGAGAACAATATTTATACTTGTACCCATCGCACTTGCTATGTGAAATTCCAATCTCTTCAATTTCTACACACACACACGCACTTGCTAATTTTTGATATGTCAGCAGCAGCCGCCGCCGCAGCAGCAGCTGTAGTCTGCCGCTCCAGCTCGACCACCAGCAGCTCCAGCGGCGCCGACAACTACCACCACCACCAACAACAAAACCGACTGTTAGTCACGCCGTCACTAACGGCAGCGCCGCCGGTGCTGAGCAGGTATGAGTCGCAGAAGCGGCGTGACTGGATCACGTTCGGGCAGTATCTCAAGAACCACAAGCCGCCGCTGACGCTGTCGCGGTGCAGCGGGGCCCACGTGCTGGAGTTCCTCCGGTACCTAGACCAGTTCGGGAAGACCAAGGTCCACGCGGACGCTTGTCCGTTCTACGGGCACCCCCACCCGCCCGCGCCCTGCCCCTGCCCGCTGCGCCAGGCGTGGGGCAGCCTCGACGCGCTCATTGGCCGGCTGCGGGCAGCGTTCGAGGAGAACGGCGGGCAGCCTGAGACCAACCCGTTTGGAGCTCGGGCGGTGAGGTTGTATCTGAGGGAGGTGAGGGACAGCCAGGCCAAGGCCAGGGGTATTGCCTATGAGAAGAAGAAGAGGAAGAAAGTAGGGGCATCGCAACAGCAACAGCAACAGCAACAGCAACAGCAACAGCAGCAGCAGCAGCAGCAGCAGCAGGATGAGCTGGGGGAGGAGCAGCAGGGGCAACAGGGTAATTTCGGTTCATCAGGTTATGGCTATGGTGTTCTCGGTGGGGGAAGTGATGGGTCAGCAAATAGGGTTGTGCTTGTTGGAACTGCTTCTTCCACTACTGCTAGGGGCTCTATGATCCCTTTGTCAGCGCTAAACTAAATTAGCGAGTAATTATCCCCTTAATGATATAAATATCTTAGCTAGCTAGCTAGTTGCATGATATGAAAAGAATGTAAGGGCTTTTGATATTTTGTGTTAATTAACCTTTTCTTTAATCTGGCAACTAAAAATAGACCCTTAATTAGTGCTAGATCATCTTTGATTAGCCAAAGGGTTTGTAGTTTTTGTTTTTCCTCCTAATTTATTTGTTTTAATTAACCAAAATTAGATTTTATTACGAACAAAATAGAGAAACAACAAGTGCATTATTGTTTGTATTATGAAGAAAAAAAATGTGTCAGATCAATAAGTGCATTATTGTTTGTATTATAGACGGTGATAGGGAAACAACATTAAGCCAACAGTACAATTCTTCTGTTGAAAATATGACAACTAAAATCAGAAGGCTCTTCAAATCAGACAACATCTTCGTTAGAAGCCAAACGAACTAATTTATACATTATCTTATTTGTCTCTCGAAATATATAAACAAAACTTGAATAGAGGAAATTGTTTGCAGACATGGCCTTAGGGCCAGTTTGGTATTGTTGTGCTGTGAAAATAATCGCTGTCAAATTTGCTGTGAGAGAAATCAGCTGTGAAAGAAAGCAGTTTGGCGTTTGGTAAAATTTTTGTTAAAAGTGTTGTTGGTATTAATTTTACGCATAATCAGAAAATGATTGCCGCATAATCATTAAACTCAGCGCCTCTTCGAAACTGATTCCTGCATAATCAGAAAATGAAAGCACTTTATTAGCTGATTTCCCTTATAGCTTTCTCTCACAACAATTTTTAACAATAAGTAATTTTCTCACAGTTTACCAAACGGGTTGGGCTTCTTAAAATTTTTAAAAAATCACTTATCACCCCAAATAAACAATGTCAAACTGGCACTTAGTAAAGATTGCTAGAATGGATGTGTTTTTCAAATCTGCATCCTTCCTCACCTTTCATAATTTAGATTAATTTAAAGGACCATCGCTTGTTTTCATTTATGTTTCTATGTAGATGGAAGAAAAGAGGATAGGTTAAATCAAAGTAAAACAATCTGGAAAAAAAAAAATCAAACTAAAATAAATCATATATATATATATATATATATATACAGTCCCCTTCTATTCAAGGATTCTTTAAATAATTTTATTTGAGGGACACCATAAGGTACCATACAATTTTTTTTTCCAACGATCCGAACCACCTATTTTTTGAAGTCTACACTCATAGATCATTCTTGCAAAACATTAGACAAATTGGAAACATTATCATACAAAATCAATTAATACGGTGCTTTAAGAAAGTACTAAAATTTCAATAACACAATTGAGTGGTCAAACAATATCGGATTCAAGTGATTTTTTGTAAATATGTTTGAAGTAGTGAAATACAAAGCGGAATGGGTGCTACACGGATGTCTCTCAAATAAGCTAATTTAAGAGATCCCTCAATGAAAAAGGACTTGTATATATATATATATATATATATATATATATTCATTTTGATATTTTATTCTTCTTATCATCTCTCATACATATATAACTAGATCGTTTAAATTCTCGCATTTGTTCTTTAGTAGCTGAAACGGTAGAGGATATGGTCTACATTTTTTTACAATATCTTAATTGTGTGCTATTATGCTGACAAAATCATGTTCTTTTGCTTTAATAAAAAAAAAAAAAAAAAAAAAAAAAAAAAAAACACTTTTTTTTGTCTTAGTCAAACACCCAGTGAAAAGAGAACTAAGGGACACTGTTAGGCTTAATCCTGAAGTATATCTTGATTATCGCATGTGCATAATTAAGTTGGTTAATTAAGTAATTAATTAGGATAAATTATAAGTTTTATTAGGGTTGTCCCTTATACTGAGACATATTTTTACATCCACATATAATTTATATAATTAGGAAGACTAAGATCTCATATTGACACCTCACATTTCCTATCTTGACAAAGTAGTGGTCGAGAAAAGGCTTCTGCTCTGTTATATATTTATAGGACAAATATTTCTTCCAACTTTAGTCTACTGACCTAATGAGTCATCAGTCGTATATATGCGTTTCTTCATCTTTCTGTATATATTATTTCATATTAAAATGCTTTCCCTTCTCTCCTCCTGAGATTACACAACACTGACAAGGCTTTCATACATCTTATACATTCAAAAAGATTATCATACGCACGTTTTTTTCTATATTCTCTCATATGATTCTTTTAGAGTGCCAATAACATCTTTCGAACACAACGTTTGTAATCACTTTTCATTCCTAAGCGTTAATTTATGATTTCGGAAAACCGGAAGCCATGTGACACAAGCCTATGTAACACAACTACTGTAGATATATATTCCTGTCAACTTGTGAAGGAGATGATTATGAATGTTGCATCATGCTTGCCTGGAACACAAGTTATTGGGATGCATCATGCTTGCCTGGAACACAAGTTATTGGGACTTAAAACTGTAATCGAGTCAATTTGAGCCAACTAGTTCACTTGAAAATTTAGGACCCGTTTGGTAACGTTTTAAGGGGTTGTTTTCATTAGAGAACAAAAATGAGACAAAAACACGTTCAGTAGCCCAAAAATAGTAAACACTGATAATGTTTTCATAAAATGAAAATAAGTTCATGTGTACTTGTAGAAAATAGAAAAAAATTGTTTTCATTCTCATGGGAAACGTTTTCATAAAAATAACTCACATATTATTATTTCAAATTGTATTACCAGACACGTTTTCATTGTTTTTGTTTTCTGAATATGTTTTCTAATTAATCTACAATCTACCAGACGCATTTTCATTTCTTGAAAATGCAAATTCGTTTTCTTATTTTCATTCTCTGAAAATATTCTAAGAAAACATTATCAAACAGGCCTTTAGTTTTTGGTAAGGCTGGGCATTTGGACTCGAAACCCAGCCAAACCGCCCAAACCAACCGATGGGTTGGGTTGGTTTGGTTTTTTTTCAATTTTTTTTTGTCATCGGTTTGAACCCAAACCAAACCGAAGATATTAAAAAATATTATATATAATATTATTATAATAAATATATGTACATATAGATATATAATACATAGTTTCAATCTTTTCTTTTTCTTCTCTCTCAATCTCTCCGTTTGTCTTGTCTTCATCAGTCCCTCTCTCTCTATTTTTGTTTCTTCTCATTCTTCTTATATTTGTCTTCACTCCCTCTTCTTCTTCTTCTCTCACTTTTCTTTTTCTCCTATTATTATTATTCTTCTTCTTCTCCATCTCTCCCTCTTTTTTTTCTTCTTCTCCTCTCCATCGGTTTTATTTCTTTTCTCTCTCTCTCTCTCTCTCTAAGAGCCAAAAAACCGAAACCGAATCAAACCAAACCACCAAGTCCGGTTAACCGAAGTGGTCAGTTTTCATCAATTATGGTTTGGTTTCGGTTTTCAAAATAGCCAAACCGAAATCTATGGTTCGGTGTCTGGTTGAGCCCAAAACCGAACCAACCCAAACTGAGCACATCCCTAGTTTTTGGCGTAGTTAGGTACATTGTCTTTAACTTATCAGTGTGGTACTCTTTCTTTTTCTGAGTCCTAAAAAGATGCATGCTTTCGCCGATAAAGAAAAAGCATACATACAGCTCATGAAAACTGCAGCCCCGTTTGTACGTACGTTGCCATGTCTATTGGGCACCACCCTATTATATAGAAGTACGTGGCTTAGGCAAAACTAATGATTCTGATTTGGACCTAATTAAAGGTACAAATAAATGATTCTGGTAAGATAAGGGGATTAGGTCCATGGAAATATAGGTTGGGTTGGGTTCTGTCCTAACTTTAAGCAACAAAAGGTGGTGGGTTTAGAAAGTGATTAGCTTTCCTACCCGCCATTGGTCTCTCGACGACTAATCATGCTCTTGACCCTAGGCATGCAATCAAATATCTTTGTGCTGTAAAATAATGTCTAATCAAATGATCAAAGATTTACAAACACCAGCTGTGCCTGGCTTAATAAGATGAGGCAAATGCCAGTAGAGTTACGAAGGGGAAGTGAATTTTAATTTTGAAGGCATTTCATGCACGACATCGACATGTCCAATGAAATCCTCCACAAAACTGGTCTTGTATCTTATGATTTTTCAAAACCAAGAGGTTTTAAGGACCAAACCCAAAAAAAGAAGAGAGGTTTTAAAAAAGTGATGACTTGTAGATCTTTTGGGTAAACATCACTTCTCCATTTGTTGTTTGGGCCAACAAGGCAAGCACTTCGGAATTTTTGATAGGAAAAAGAACTTCTAATTCATGAAACTTTTCCTTATCGTGCCTCCAGCCAATGTAATTAAACACTGAACCCACAATACAGCTAATATAATTATACCCAAAATCTTTTAAACCCACAAGATTATTTTTTATAAGTCCTCCTTTGGTGCAAATAACATGTGCGTGAACTTGTCTGCTCTTATTTCTTTTTTCAGAAAACCTCGACAGAACGAGGAAATTATATTTATCCAAACTCAAATAGGAAAAACATAAGGGTTGGGGGTACAAAACAACCGACCCCTCACATTACAATCCTCAAAACAATATAGTACATTTGAAAATTCATTTATTCTCTTCCATGCATGAATGAATTGTAATAGTCTATACATACAGTTTTACCTTATAATATCATATAAATTCATAAATTTAACGTCCTTTCATCCAAATAAAGCCTTAATTTATATGTATGAACTATCGCTATATGATCGAACTAAGCTAATGACTTCAATTATTATGTAGTACTAGAACATAACTACGTATCATAATATGAGTCGACGCACTGTAATTAGTGTGTTTAGAAAAAACCAATAACTAAGCCATGTCAAGATAGCCGGTTATCAAAGGATTTCAGGCCAAATCTAACAACAAGGCACCAGTGGTCTAGTGGTAGAATAGTACCCTGCCACGGTACAGACCCGGGTTCGATTCCCGGCTGGTGCAGCAGTGTTTTTAATGTCATTTAAATTTTTTATCTTTTGTCAACAAAAGTTTTTCTTTTTTCGGTGATATTTTTCTCACCCAAATTTCACCTACTCATTGAAAAGAAAGCAATCTCAAACCATGGTTTAGTTTCCCACGCGTTTTCAAAAAGACAAGATCAACCCAGGTTACCCAGAGTCCCACGTGGACGGTCGCGATTCAGCTGCCCTCAAAAAACGCGTTAAGCCCAATTTCGCGCGCCTTTATGCACATCCGACATGGCAAACCGGTCCACGTTCGTGCCGTCACGATCGCCGCCACGTGTCGGTTCTCAGACCCCAACTGCCGGTCATTTTTGCCTTCCTTTACCGGTTGGAAGGACCACCTTAACGCGACGGCAAGGTCCTTATCGACGTCATCGTGACTCTCACGACTCATAATAAACATCGCAAACTCCCCTATTTCCCCATAATACCCTTCCCTCTCTAGACCGCTGTCTTTTCTCCACAACGATTAACGAGAGGGTAGGTTAGTAGTTTCAAAACCCTGTCTGAATTAATTAATTAAAATGGAATTAAATTATTCTTCTTTTTCCCCCTGAGTCTTGTTGTGAGTTGTCTGAGTAAAGAAGGAAGCAGAAGAGAAAGTCCTTAGCCTGCTCTCGGTTGAATCATTCAGTTAAGAAAAGTTCTCACGTGAACTCCCGATGCGATCTCTGCAATCAGTTAGTATTATAATTTCAAATTCACAAACCAAAAACATTATCTTTTTTTTCTTTCTTTTTATGCTTGTAATTTAATCAATATATTTTCAACGGTTGGGGATTGAGTTTAATTGGATAATTGTGGATTGAATCGCAGAGAGGCCTTTGAATTTCAGCTATGGATTCTGCACGGAGTTGGCTTCAGAAGTTCCAGCCCAGAGCGAAGAAGAAGGGAGCGGAGAGTACAAGAGACGAGCAGGAGAAGTCTGCTTCTGTCGATGAGGCGCCTTCAGACGTGACCAAACAGAAGGTCGAGGCAGCCAAACAGTACATTGAGAACCATTACAAGGCTCAAATGAAGTGCTTGCAGGACAGGAAAGAGAGGTGACTAACTATGACTCGGGTCAAAATTGTATAGCGTTGTTGAATTGAAGCGAATGCTGTGGAATTTTGGTTTCAATTTGGTATTTTTCTGTGGAATTACAGGCGTTGGATGCTGGAAAGGCGGCTTGCCGATGCCGATGTTTCGCAGGAGGATCAGATGAATGTTCTGAAGTATTTGGAGCAGAAGGAGACGGAGTATATGCACCTTCAGAGACATAAAATGGGGGTTGATGACTTTCAGCTTTTGACAATTATAGGAAGGGGTGCATTTGGAGAGGTTCTCTTCTTGCTTGCTTGTACCGTTGTATGTTGTTGTCAGTGGACTTGTTTGTTTATATCAAATGCATTGGCTTTATATTGTATTTGCTGCAAAAAAATGCAGGTGAGAATTTGCAGAGAGAAATCTACTGGCCATGTGTATGCCATGAAAAAGCTCAAGAAATCGGAGATGCTCCGAAGAGGCCAGGTACTTCTTTACCAGTGGTACCATTGCTATTTCATATGCTTTAAATTAAATCCATAATTCTGGCTAAATATTGCTTCTTAGTTGTGTGAAATGAACTTGTCCGCCCAAAAAGAAAGGAACTTTTAATAAATATTTTTGTTTCTCTACTTGTGTGTGATTCATAAATTCATCTTCATTCATACTTCTTTTCTTTCATGGAAGGTGGAACATGTTAAAGCTGAAAGAAATCTTCTTGCTGAGGTCGATAGTGCTTACATCGTTAAGCTCTACTGCTCCTTTCAAGATGATGAGTTTTTGTATCTTATAATGGAATATCTTCCTGGAGGTGATATGATGACATTGCTAATGCGCAAAGATATCTTGACTGAAGATGAAGCCAAGTTTTATGTTGGAGAGACAGTCCTTGCCATTGAGTCTATTCACAAGCACAACTACATCCACAGGTTGTTATGTCATTTATTTTTGCTTTTACTGAGTTGGCTCTCAATCACCCACTGATTAGACTTGGAATATGGTTAGGGTAGGCAGACGCAGAATCTTGTAGGTGGTTTACCTACTGATATCTAAACATAATATCCTACTTTCAAAATGTGTGCCCTTGAACTTTAAAATATTTTCGTATGGATTTAGTTTTGCCAATGATGTTCTTAGCTAACATTTTCAGAAGGTTAAAATAAATAAAACTTAGTCCTACATGTTCTTTGTTTGTTTCAATACTGGTAACAAAGGTAAAATGATAAATGTTACTGACAATCATTCTGTCAGATATTTAATTATGATATAATTGATATGAACCTTAAGTTATTTACATGTAACCTTTTGCGCAGTTTTATGATCTGACAGTTATCCTTGAAGTTTGCATGTGTTGGCTTTATTTATTACATAACTGTGCTTATTTTAGTTGCTTATGAGATGAACACTTCAAATATCGTGTGAGCGTGAATTTCAATATCTTTTGTAGGGATATTAAGCCTGATAATTTACTACTCGACCGTTATGGCCACATGAAGCTTTCAGATTTTGGGTTGTGTAAACCTTTGGGCAGTAATAGCTTTCCAGATCTTAGTGAGAATGAAAATGCAGGTGGAAGAAATTCGAAATCCCCCTCTGAGAGTCATAAACATTCTAATCTTCCTACAACACCAAAACGAACCCAGCAGGAGCAGTTATTGCACTGGCAAAAGAACAGGCGAATGTTGGTATGTTCTGTCTTTTCTGTATTTACTCATATGTTGTGAGTGGCATCGGTGGGCTAATAGGGATGAGATTTATTTTCTAGAGATTAAATTAGAGTTGCTGTGGTGGGACTGGGGACATACATTTAGCAAAGAAAGTAATACATGAATTGAAATGAATTAATAAAATGAAAGAGCAATTGTGGCTTCTTTGTTTGGCAAGCTCATAAACCTTCCAATGTGGCCAGTACTTTCCTTGCCTGTGGTTCCCTTTGCACAGCTGTGTACCTATCGTCTGAAGGCTTGTAAGAAATAACATAGTTGATTTTAGAGGGATTGCTTTTTGGGTCATAGAGTCTAGTTGCTGTACTCTTTAAGTTGTAGGCATAGTGTTTTGTATTGCTGGTCCAGATAGTTGGATCTCTTGTCTGTGACCTGACATTAGATTGTAATTGTCGACTTCGATTTAATAAATTCTTTGTTTCTCATAAAAAATACAAAGGGTAATATTAGACTCCCATTGCATGCTTGCTGTCTTGGAAAATTTTGCTTTTTTTTTGGGAGGGTGGGGGGCATGAATTAGAACTTTGGTTGGAGTGTTTCTATGGCCGTGCGCTAGATTATGATTCTGATATTTCTTCTAAATCTTGAGGAAGCAAGGAAGAATAATATATTATTCAGGAATTACTTAAACTGGTTCTTTGTAGTGACAGAATGGAATGTGCACTCACAGATATTACTTAAAAACGGATGCAGAACAGGAATAATCTTATGGGAAAATAAATTATTGTCTTGCTTTGCTGTGTTTCTTACAATTTAAATTTCGGACATGAACTTGTTTTTAATTTCTTTTGTGCATTAATTAGGATCTGCTTTTGTTTTGGTGTTTTGTAATAAATGTCCAGTTATTTACATATAAATGGCCCTTTCATATGCCATTTAGGCTTACTCAACAGTTGGAACTCCAGACTACATTGCTCCGGAAGTATTGCTGAAGAAAGGATATGGAATGGAATGTGACTGGTTAGTTACTTTTCCCACACATGTTTCACCTTAAGACATGTTTCCGACTGGTTAGTAATCAGATATCTCTGTCAGGTGGTCTCTTGGTGCAATCATGTATGAGATGCTTGTGGGATTTCCACCTTTTTATTCCGAAGAACCAATGTCAACATGCAGAAAGGTAAATTGAATTTTGATTTTTTGTTTGACCATTTGTAATATGCAACATTCAGATTTCTGAATAGGTTTAACAGTCCAGATTTAAGAAATGGAGTCTTGCTATATCCTTAATAATTTGTGACTATTTGAATTCTGGAACTATAATTATTTCTTAAGCCGTATTAATTGGGAATCTCCTGCTGACATCTCATTTGTATATTCTTATCAAACAAATGGTTAGTTATGCCATGCAGATTGTTAACTGGCGAACTCATCTGAAATTCCCAGAGGAAGCAAAGCTCTCTCCTGAGGCTAAGGATCTCATTTGCAAGCTCCTCTGCAATGTTGAGCAGAGGCTTGGGACGCAAGGAGCTCATGAAATAAAAGTTAGCATACATGGAACTCTTTCTCATTATTGGTTGATGGGTGTTTTATTTTTTTAAGGAAAAAAAGTTGAAATGTTTTTCCTTATGTTAGGCACACCTGTGGTTTAAAGGGTTACAATGGGATAGATTATATCAGATGGAAGCTGCTTTTCTACCAGAGGTTAACAATGAATTAGATACTCAAAACTTTGAGAAGTTTGATGAGGTGAGGAATTTTTCAATATGGTTCTTGTGTTCGTGCAATACTATTTACCAGCTTGCCATTATCTTAAATGCTGTTCCTTTCATGGTTGCAGTTGGGGACTCAAGCAGAGACTTCATCAAAATCTGGTCCATGGAGAAAGGCAAGTATCAAAGTTCACTTGATTTTGCATCTGTATATTCAAAATACCTGTAGCGCATTAGTGACACTCATTAGGGTGGTATAAACACAGATTTATGGTTTAAATGCAGTTTTGGGATCTTTATTCATAAAATAAGATGTAATTTTTCAATTCCACTTCCTTTTCACCTCAATACTTATGCTAGATATGTAACTTATTTATATGTTTGTGATCAGAATTTTCAATCAATTACTACAGATATACACACACATTGTGTGGGATTGCACCTGATTTTCACAAAATTCATTAGGTTTATGCAAATCGTTATATCTTATCAGAAAATACAAGTGATTATATTATATCATAGATATTTGGAAAATCAAATTTTATCCTATAAATTTTTAAAGGGTTATACCTAATTCTTCTTGAAGTAGTATGGTTTAGCCTAGGCTTGCTTCTGTTTCCAGCCTCTCAGATGTTACTTTTTTCCTGGGTTGAGTTTTCCTTTTCAAAATTGGACATGGCGCAAATGACAAAACACATCCTACTTTCTTATTTCTGTGCTAGTGCTAGTCTGTTTTGCTGTCTCTGTTCACTGATCAATCATGTACTTTCTTTCATTCCAGATGCTTTCTTCCATGGATACAAATTTTGTCGGTTATACCTACAAGAATTTTGAAATTGTTGATGAGCATCACATGCCTGGTATTGGTAAGTATTACCCGGTAAATTGTTAAACAAAGAAACTAGCTATTGATAAGAATTAATGTGTATAAATAGACATAAACCACTATATTTCAATTGTTAGCAATTTTATCTGTGCTGAGGGCGTGGCATTTGGCCGGTATAATCTTAGAGCTTCATTGACCTTTAAATGCACACTCTGATGCAGCTGAATTGAAGAAAAAGAACAACAAGCCAAAGCGACCATCTATTAAGTCATTGTTTGGTTAGTGCTTGTTGCAATCAGAGTTTCTCAATATTATCTTTTTAGTTCTAGATTGTATTGCCATTCTCAAACCTCCCCTTGGTTTGCTGTTTTCCAGACACACCTGATCCTCCAGACCCATCAGTTCAAGGAAACTCTTCCCACCGTTTGCCCAACCAGTTGGGTGCCTCAGAAGGCTCTCAGCCGTCACGGCAATCTGCTAGACCCCCACAACATCAACACAAACCTCCACGAAGATAACAAGAAAAGTGCACATTACTAGTTATTTCCCACAGGTGGAAGGAAATTGATAGAGAAGTTTACAAAACTGCAAAGGCAAGATAGGAAAATGGTAGCTGAAAGGCTCAGTTTAAGTACTTTCGTAAGTATAATCGTCTTGTGCATTATTAGCAGGGATGTCCATTTACCACATAATCACTTAGATTAGAGGAAAAGATGTCAAGCTTCACAATTAGGCCCTGATAAATGATTTATTTGTAAGTTGTTGTAGATTGAGGTCATGGCCACACTGCTTTCGTTGCTTTTAGAGTAGGCTGATAGCACATATAGTCGATTGTGTCCAAATTATTGTCGACTTCTAAGCTTATAGTGAGCTTTGTCGCGATGATTTATGTTGGTGTAAAGGGTTAGTGACAAGCATATGGTTTAGAAGTGAGTTAAGTGACACTTAATTATTCTTTCCCACCCAGGCCATGTAAATTTTTCCATAATTTTTCTTGTAAACTGCATATGCAACCAGGAGCATTTTCATAGATTGAGAACCTCTGACTTGCAGCAGTCTTCTGTCTTTTGACTTGTTGCCGCCCTTCCCTTCGGTGATAGGCTTGATCCAGAGTTCAGATTTATTTATTTGTTTTTGGTCTTGGCAATTATTCATTTACAAATCTGTTTAGAAGAGAGGGAGAGATGGCGTCATGGTAAATAAAATAAAAAATCATCTCTCATCCTTCATGTGATTTGCCAATAGAATTCTTAAAAATTACATGCTTATTTAAATAAAATAAAATCTCTAAAGAATTTTAGAAATTAATATTTTACGTAACATTTATAGCTATATATTGAATTTCATAATCCACTAAATGAAGTTAAAACAGGTCATTTTATCTCTCACCTTTCTTATCCCTCCCTAAAACAAATTTTTTTTTAACTTACTGAATGGTCCAATTCTTTCCTTTTAATTTCTTCACTTCCTTCTATTGGTGTAATTGATATTATAAATTTATAATGTGGGTGGATGGTGACACGTTTCTCGACCGTTACATTGCAAGTCGAGGTCATTTTTCATTAGGCTAGACCTCGTTGGGTATACATACATAAATTTTAGAATTAATCTATCGTGACATGGTTTTATTAATCAACAACAAATTATTAATCCACTAAACAAACAAGAACAGTGGTGCGCAACTTAAAGATGACTTCTATCCATGCTGTCTGCTGAGCTTTCAAAAACTGCCATTTTCTTTATTTACCCAAGTACTTAATGATTAGCAAAACCTTGAATTGTGTTTCCTATATGACAGAAGGGATAGAGAGATAAACAAGAAGAAAAGAAGCACAAAAAAAGATATGCAAGGACTGCAGTTTTCCTCAACTTGAACTTCACTTTAAAAGGGGCATAGATAGATAGGATACGATCTCTTAAAACAATCCCCAGAATAAAAGACCAAAAGCTTTTTTTAACTTCTTCTCACCGGAAGTAAAGTCATTATAATTTATAATCACATGGGGAAGGGCCACGTGGCACATCAATCAAGTGCTTAATTATCCCCTAAACCCTTAATTTAATTATTAATCACGTTATATATGAAAAGAAAGACAACTGTTGAGTTCCCCACGTATGGGATTATGTTAGATTACAATATTATTCTCATGGTTCCCCAAAAAAGAGAAGCTTTGGATTACCAAGAGGCAAGAAGCTCCCTTGTTTCATACATTAAGGTGCACTGCCACACTATGGGCCAACCCTACTACAAAATAAACAAAACCAAAAAATATATAAATTATTCTAGCTAGCCAACTAGCCAAAGTCTAGAATAAGACTAGACCAATTTTTTTTTATCTTTTTTTTTAAAAAAAATTTAAATTTTATGATATATAGCTAAGCCTAGGCAATAGACATGCACTGTGGTTGGTGGTGAGGAGCCAAAACCCCACCCCCCATGATAGGCCTTGCAAATTTCCTAGAAACTCTTCTAATTGCTAAGCAAGGACTTCAAAAAACTTGCAAGTGGAAAATTAACTTGTCATCATGTTATTGGCTGCCTAGAATGTCCATAATTTATGGGTGTTGATTTTTCTACTTTCTTTTTATTGATTTACACTCAATTTTATTTTCTAATACTTTTTATTATAACAAAAAGGGAAGTGTAAGTTGACAAAAGAGAAGCGAGAAAATCAACTCCCTAATTTATTGTAATACTGTTATGAAGACCGGAACACATCAAAAAGGCCAAAAAGTGTCACTTGTTTCGTTTGAGAATGACATTGAACACTTCTGTTCATAAACGTTCCTTTAAAAGCTCTTCTGTTGGTTAAAAATTATATTGAAAATCCAAGTGCTTCATGAAGAAACATAATATGCAAAAAACGATTTTGTGAGCTAAAAACACTTATAAATTTCAAAAACGCTTTTGAATATTAGAAAACATTCTTTGTCTTTTCCTAAGCACTCCCAAACAAGCTATCGCCAACCTAAAAATTGCCAAAGGGAGGAGAAAGATGGAAGATGTTGTGTTATGTTATTTTAATGTGGAACCCCACTTTGACCTTTTCTCATGTGGGACCAAGGGATTTGGAATGTGATATAGCCATCGGGCAAGGACAAAAGACAGCTGGTGGCAAGTAAATCACAGCCGTCCATGTAGAGGATAATGGGTGGGCACCACTATATATTATCAACCAATATATTATACTATCAGAGAGGTCAGTCATGTCGGAGGCTACACGGTAAGGTTGCCGGTAGCTAAACCTTGTGACGTTGAGAGGTCTGAAAATAAAATGCCTAGGCAAAAAAAAAGTGTCATGGTGTGTCATGCGTGCAAATCAACAGCCTTATCATAATAATCCCGACTCTCAAGACACCTCATTTTTTTCATAATTTATTCAGAGCCACATTCGTAAGCATCCACCAAGGGTTGGAAGAGCCCTATGAGTCAGGGACTGCATGGTTAATTAATATTATAATTAGGGTATTAATTATATTTAATTAACTGTGTGCGCCTGCTTCACATGGCACTGATGGCAGGATGCTAAGGCCTAGGGATTCTTATGGGAAGACAAAAACCCTGTAGAGTTCTGCACAGAGAATCCCAGTTTAGTTTTGTTCTCTTGTGGGGAGGAGTGGGAGGAGGAGAGCTTGTCATGCAAGAACGTGGGGCAAGTGTTTGTCTCAAAGCCAGTCAATAATGAGTTTGCAAATTAAAATTAAAATTATAACTTGGATTTGGACCACTAAAATCTTAGGATCCTTTTCTTTAAACGACCCAATATTTTTGAACTGGTCCAGAGAAGTCAGTTGGTATCTTGTTTTTAAAACAAGTTTTAAGCATACCATCATGACCAACTTGATCATAAATATGAATTGGGTCCTTAGCTAGATAGCTGCTTGCTTACAATTTATATAAAATTACATGTGTTAACTAGACCAGGAGTACTTAATTAGCACATTTCTTCCATTTTGACGTGGAGAGCTACATAAGTTGGAAGAAAATTCATTAAACATAACTCTCCAAAACACGCATGAATGATTATGAATCAAGAGTTCGTATTGAATTTAGGCGCGTGAATCACCATGTTCACATTAATCAACAACTATCAATTATCAATTAATCATATTTCTCTTTCTATCAATAGGGAAAACATAATTCCAATTTGGGATATCCAATAATTGAAAGAGTAATAACACTAAATCAATAGTTAATTAGTTGGCGGGCTGCATATTAGTTACCCTTTTACTTTTCAAATTCTCATATCCACTTGTTATACATGAGTGGTAGAATATGAGAATGAAAATTTATATGTATCTATTGCGAGAATAGTGAATTATTATATGTCGTGAGACTCACAGTGAAATTCACCTTAATCAACAACGGTCAATTATCTAAAATCATGTCATAATAACTGACACTGTGTGTTAGGTTGAACTAAAATACAGATTCTCAATTCCACCTATTATGTTAGTGAGTGGTATGTACAGTAAGAACATGTGCCACACAGAGACATGGAAAGCAATAAGAAAATAGTGAGGGGGCTACGGATGGTAACAATGGTCTTTTGAAGAATTCCAAAGCCAAAAACCTTCAAGTGCCCTTGAGAGAGAGAGAGAGAGTGGCTGCTACCTCTGGTCGATTCTCAAAATGTCTAATCAAACATATATATAAGGTCGGTGATTCCCTCTATGATCATTGCCCCATTATACTTTGAAATTCTAATCACAACCCACCTCTCTCTCCCCCACAATATCATCCCCAACACACCAATAATTTTTGTATTTTAATACTAATAGTGATAGAGGGAGACGTTTGGGAATTTATTTCTTGAAATTAAAGAAACCCCCCTAGACTTTTTCTTTTGTGAAGGCCCTAAAAAGGTCTAATCAAAACCTGATATTAATCTTTTGAGCCTTGAAGTGGTCATGCAAGACTCCAAAAAGGAACCCAACTTTTGGACCGAAACAGAAGCCATTTTATCTTGACCTATAACAGCAGAATTAGAATCAAATTAACCTTATATATTAATTAAGCACGCTTAATTACGATTCTAACTCTAATAATCCTTGTCCTTCATCATCCCGACATGTTATATCAGACTCCTAGTTTATGTGCCTCACTTTCATCATAATCACCTTTTTGAAACCGTAATCATACTCACTATTTTTTAATTAAAAACTATTCATTAATTAGGAGATCATATTATAAAGTGATCCGTCTGCTGATTGTTCAAAGCAGCACAAAGTTATTAATGTGGAAATAAGTTGTCATAACAAACACCCTACAACTTTGTGTGGAAATTAGGGTGGCTTATGAAATAGTTGAAAAATGTGAAGAAAAACTCTGAAATCCGGAGAAATTACTGCGTATCTAATATATATATATATATGGTCATTAAGTACCGAAATATGATGTACCACATCGTCACAACTGTGATGTATCGGATACACCCAATAATTTTGGCTATCCTAGCATCTTTCTCTGTATCTCAATAGGCATACAATTTCCTTTTATTCTTTTTCTACTCCAAAAATCCACCTTGAAAAGAAACAATAAGAAGACAGTTTGTGGCTTAATTTATTAAGAAAAAACCGCTTGCAATCTCTTTCTCAACTACTTCAAGAAACTATAATTTAAAAAGCCAACATCAAATATTTTCTTTGAGCCATTCTCTTGTCACCACACAACACAAGTGAATATCTCCAATAATTTTATTCATGTTGTTTTTCTACAACTAAATGCAATAATAATTTAGAGTTCAACCTTAATACTATTTCTTAAACCCAAAAAAAGAAAAAGAAAAAAAAGTACTCAATCATCAAATTCCTTTGCACTAATCTTGCGATACTGATTTGAACCTTGTTACCAAAGAACAAGAATTTTGAAAACAATCTTCTCTTTTTCTTGAATAAAACCCTAATGCTTCCTAATTTACTGTGAAAGACTGAAAGGTACCTCCATGCTTACTATTCTTCTTCTTCTTTTTTAACCTAGTGCCCTTTTTTTTTTCCTCTTCTAGAAAATGTTTTCCTTCATACCAATTCTTCTAAATCTAGTGTAAGCGTGCGCCTTTTGAATTGCATGGAGGTGGAAGAAAAGGGATTTTTCTGAGTGAATAAAATATAATTAATAATTTTAATAATGAAGATGATGATGATAGTGATGATGACTATGACAATTATAAAAAAATAAAATAAAAGGCATATATTCTTCCTCTAATATCAATATTAATAAAGAATATTTAGCCTTTGTATTTTGTTGATTACCTTAATTACTGTCATATTTTCTTGAGCAGCATTAATATTGTGATATTTTCTTCTGGCTCTAGAATAACTTTGATTAGTTTGACTGCAGTGAGCCCTTTGGAGTATATTATATATACTTGTCTACTATGTCTTTAGCATAGAAGGGAATATTTCAGATCAAGATTCCAATTTGAAGGTTTTATTGATTCCTATGAATCTCTCGAATAATTATTTTTTTTCCAGTTTAGATAGTGTCTTTTTTCTTTGAATATTGATTTCCAATAGAGTTTTTTGTTTTGTGGTGCTATCTTTTTCCCTTTTAACACTCATGTAAATGTACTATAAGCAGCTAGTGTGAGAAGGATATTTTACTCGATTACATTTTACAATAATGTTATTTGTACTATATTTATTGACCATATTGCTGACCACCTCTCTCTTTAATAGAGGTGTGAGATCCACCTGTATTAGAGAGGTGATCAGCAATGTAATCAGTAAATATGATCCAAATAGCAACGTCCTGCATTTTATATTACCAGTGTTTCATTTCCATTATATATTTTCACAAAAAAAACATTATTTTATATTTTATAAATAATTCTATTTGTGAGTGAGATTCTAAGAATATTAATTGGCATAAGATGACAGATATATATTACTAAAAGGAGGTGCAGTAACTTCTAGGTACAAAACATAATTGAAAAGCCAAACTATTTTTGTACTTTCCTTCCTATAGATCAACCATGAAAGCAATGGAACTATATGGCTAGCTTTGCATTTCTTAGTAACTTACACAGCCGTAAAAAGTAGCATGCACTATAATAGGTTAACAATTTGGCTTTTTAATTCATGTATATGTTTGAATATACAAGTGATTTCGTTTTCTTTTACCCTTCACGCATAATAGATGTAATAAGTAAAATATAAAGTTGTAATTTGTATTTTTGGTGAAGCGGACACATTATGGACACAGTATGTTCGTCTCTCACGCAAATATAGTGCGACATATTAATTGAGTAAGTGTTGTCTTATCAAATTTATGTTGACATGCGATAAATTTAGACAACACGTTTGAACAAAAATCATGCTATGATAACATAAGTTTCTATGAGAAAAATTCCCCGGCAAACTCATTTCTGAGGGGTGGGCAGAGGCAATGGGCGGGTCCAAAGCACCATATGATCATCACCAAAGGTATATATTGCCTCCTCTCCTCATGCTAAGAGTTGTGATAATATAAAAGAATGGAGGCAGGCAACTAAAAATTGAAAGAAACGAAGAACACTGTTGAAGTTTCGAAACGTTCCTCCGAGAAATGCGGCTTCTTGCCGCCTCTTTACTTCCCTATCACTTGTTTCTGAAACAAAGGAGGGCCAAAAAAAAAAGGTAAAAAGACTTTTGTGCAAAGGTCTTTATTTAATTTACTGACAGAGGAAAAAAAAACAGAAAATATAAAATATTACATTATTTAAATATAAACAATAAATTAATAAAATAAAAAACAAGCACTACAGTTAGCTCGATGACAAGTAGTTTATTATTAGCAATTCGGCAATTTCATATTAAAATAAAAACTCTCTCTCTCTCTCTCTCTCTCTCTCTCTCTCTATTTGTTGCGTATGGAGAAGAGCTGTTTTGTATGAAAAGTCAGCTGCTCCTCTCTCTCTCTCTCTCTCTCTCTCTCTCTCTCTCTTTCTTTCTTCAAAACCATTCTCTCCATCATCACACCTTTGTTTTTGAGAAGAAGAACATATAAAACAATCCAACATCAGCCTTCAAAACCCATTTCTTTTGCTCTCCTGCTTCCTAAAAAGCTTCCTAAAAATCAAACCCCATCTTCCCAAAAATACAAACACTTGTACTAGATATATTAGTCCATTCATATCACTCTGCTTAAATCAACCCAAAAAAACCCCAAATCCAAAACCCAAGAATTGCATGCCTTTGACGTCTATTTGGGGTCCAAAGAACTCAACAAGATATACACTTGATGTTGCAGCTTGTGCCATAAAAGCATGTGCAGCTTGTTCATGCCAATTACTAGGATGGAGAATTACCAAGGTGATTTAACTGATATTCTTAGAGCTGGCAGTGCTGCTACTTCCGCCGCAGGAGCTTACCATTCTGATCATCTTCTTCATCATCATCATCATGAACCTGAAGCCGCCGCCGACAGCTGGCACTTCCCATCTGACCATCCTCCTCCCATGAAATTTTCCTCAGCGTCCTCAGCCATGGAGGAGGAGGAAGAAGAAGATTCCAAGGACAATTTTGGCGATCCCTTTTCATCCTACATGCGCGATCCACTTCTTCATGAACTGGACATATCGTCCAGCTCCAGCTTTTTCAGCAGCCCCAATTCCTCATCAGATATGAATATTAACATCACTTCTGTGGATGAAGCTGGCGGTACAAGTAGCACTTTTGGCGGTGCACATATAGTTCTTGCTCCTCCTCCTCCTCCACCTCATCACCACCATCTTCATCATCATCAACAAGGTGGTGTTGTTGATGGGGATCCAATAAAGAGGCCTTGCAACATATTCTCGCGGATGCTTCAGATCTCTCCGAGTGCAAAGGTCCCTGTGACGGCATGTGACTCGCCGTTGCTGGGTGCAGCAACAGCAGTGTCGTCTCCACGGGGAATTAGTAAGGCGGTGTCTGGTTCGATATCTGGTGCCATGGTTGGAAGCGACATGATTATTAATGGGAACAGCTCATCAGGAAAAGGTTGCTTGCTCGAGAACGCCGGGGTGCAGATCTCATCTCCACGGAATCCGGGCATCAAGCGAAGGTGAGAGAGAGAGCATTTAATATTTTTCTTACAACTTGACCATGTTTCCCATGAATTAATTATTACTCTACCACTTAATTATATGTTTAATAATTAATCCTGATTAGTACTTACATTATCATCATCATCATCATCATCATATAGATTAACTACCTTAATGAGAAGTGGGTTTTTTCTTCTCCTTTTATTGCAACTAGTGTTTTGATTGAAACATGGTGAACTGAAGATCTAGAAGATAGGGTTTTGTTATTTAAAGTATATTTTTTGGTTTGACTAAGCTCTAAAGTCTTGAAGAGCTAGTAGGCTCTCTATATGACTGTTGTTTCAGGTGAGATTGTTAAGTATTGTCAACATTACTAGCTCTATAGCTACCTAAACATGATATCTTTGTGGGTTTTAATCAAAGCATGAAAAGGTGGGGTTCTTTGCTTTGTGTCAAAACAACAATCACACACTTATCTTTCGTCTTTTCTTTTCTTTTTTTATATCTGGTAACTACTTTTCTTCCCCAACCCACCTGAAGGGATCTCTCTTGTTCTGATTGATATTAGCCTTCCTTTGGAATATACAATCCATCTCTTCCTGCTTCCTAAAGAAAGCAATCCAAAACAGTTTAATTTCAACGAAAAAGGTTAATCTAAATGTCAAGTCCAAACCATGCATATATATATGTGTGTGTGTGTGTGTGTATAGAGCTAGACCGCTTAGCTTAATTAAAACATAAACATATTAATTATCTTAATCTAATCATATGAGCAGGAAGAGCCAGGCAAAGAAGGTTGTGTGCATTCCAGCGCCTGCGGCGGCAAACAGCAGGCCAACTGGAGAAGTAGTTCCATCTGATCTGTGGGCATGGAGAAAGTACGGTCAGAAACCCATCAAAGGTTCACCTTATCCAAGGTCAGTAAGTTTTACTTCTTTGTCTCCGTTTGTCAAATAATAGAAAGTTCCTAAGTAAAACTGAGGCTAAGGCATATCTCACTGACAACCATGAGGGGTTGTGTTCCCTTTTCTTTCTTCATATATCTTTTCGCATTCAATGCAGTATTCAATGCAGATGAGTGAGTTAATTCATTACGAGTGTAGCTAGCTCAACTAGTGATGAGGATATGAAGACACATATCTTTATTTTAATTCGAGTGTCTCTCGTATATGAGGAGTTTGTGTGTCTAGAAAATGTGTGCGTGGAAAAGAATAGTATGCGCGTACGCATTCGTAACACTTTTACATCGTATGTATCGTAAAATACTTTTCATTTAACTATTACAAGTGATTTATGATGAAAGCAAAGATATAATGAAGGATTTTATCATCATTATAATCGTCATGATAATCTATTATCAATGCTATTGAACATGGTTTCAAACTTAATTAATCAATAATTGATACTACTTGCAGGGGTTACTATCGATGCAGCAGCTCAAAGGGTTGCTCAGCAAGGAAACAAGTAGAGCGTAGCCGGACTGATCCAAACATGTTGGTCATCACTTACACTTCTGAACACAACCATCCCTGGCCAACTCAGAGAAATGCTCTAGCTGGCTCAACGAGATCCCAGCCATCCAAAAACGGTGCCGGTTCGAAGACCTCTTCCAATAGTTCTCATCAGCCTCATCAGAAGCCAGCAAGCCCTACAAAGGAAGAACAAAATGAGACCATGAATGATAATAATCATGTGTCTCCAGTTATCACTGCTGGGAGTGCTTCAACAGTGAAAGAAGAATTTGAGGACATTGAGAAGCAATTGAAGCTTGATCATCATCAATTCAACGGTGATCATCAAGCAGGGTTTCCTTATAGACCATCAATGCCTGATGATCAGTCCAACCAGTCTCATCACAATGAGGACTTCTTTGCTGATTTAGGAGAAATTGAGGCTGATCCACTAAATCTCTTGTTTTCACAATGTTTCACAGCAGATGAGCAGCAAAAGGGAAGCAAGGCTGCAGCCTTGGATCCATTCAATCTCTTTGATTGGTCTGGGGATCAAAACACCAACAACAACAACAACAACAACGCCACCTCATTTGGTGAAGCAGCTAAGAGGCGCTTATAACAAGACCAAGCTCACCACCTTGAAAAGATATTATCAACAACAACAACAAACAAACAAACCTCCCCTACAAAAACAAGAGTTAAGAGAGTATACTCTTTTTAAGTTAGTTTTTTCTTTTCTTTTTTGGTGGTGCAGTTTTAAAAACCTTGTCTTTCTGGTTTGAATTAAATTTTACATGGGGTGGGGGGGGGGGGGGGGGGGGGATGACTACTTGCTATTTTTTAACCTTTATTTTATTTTTTTTTAACTTTTTTTTACTTTTTGGGGTTCTTGTTATTTACCAGAATAGTCAGGGATTAGGGAAAGAGATGATCAGTAAAAGGAAGAAAGTGAGAGTGCTGGTTGGTTGATTGGGAGCAGACACATTCCTTTAGGAATTTTGGTGGATGGGACAGAAAGCTGAGGAACAGAAGGTTTCTACAGTAGAAACAAGTACATCCATCGGAGACATGACTGGAAAGCTCAGTCTCAGTGTGAAAGGAGATTTGATATGAAGATGGGACTTGCCTTCATTATTCATCTTTTAAAGTGGGAAAAATTATTCATCCGCAACCTTTGGTCATGTGGGTGTGGGTATTTTAAAAAGGAAAAAAAAAAACCAAACTTTTATAATTTTTATTGCTTTAAGTGAGAGATTTGAAAGCAAAAAAAACAAAACAAAAAAAAAATTTGAAAGATGACAAAAGAATCTAGGGAAGAAAAGAAAGAATTACTACCAAAAAAGCCTGACCTTTCTCATCAATCTTGTCTAGGGATGTGTAATTGTGAGATAAAATAGCATGCTTTGGGTTCCTCAGCTTTCTGTTTCTTTTATTATCCACCCAAGTTCTTGTGCTTACTTTGGATATTGTTTTACTTAAAAATGTATTAATAGTACTTATCGAATATTAGACTGTTTTTGTCTTTTCAGGAAACAAAATTAGCATTCCTTAATCTCATCTTAGCATCTTTTTATCTTTTCCAACAAATCGAGGTTGGTGCTTAATCATTTTGCATGCCAAACAGTCATCTAGCTAGCTACTTGTGTTGTGGTGGTCCTGTGAATTTTATCAGCAGCATGCACGTAAATTTCCTTTTTTAAAGTTCTGACAAAGTTGTTGGCCTCTGGCTGCCTGATTTTAGGCAGTGGTTTTCAAAAATTAACTGAGGAAACTATAGACATGGTCATCATCATGTACAATTTACAAAGAATTCTGTTTCTGTATCTTGAAATGTGCGTGTGAGCAGAAAAGTGACATTTGGGTGTAGACAAAAATATGTGCAAGGACCAAATCTAGTACTGATACTTGGAATATAATAAACCTTAATCTTATATACGTTGTACAAGAATAATTTAAGAAGTCTTCTTTTCTTAAAACAAATTTAATCTTGTACTATATATATTTGTTAATTATAGATGGTTTCATGCAAAACCAGATAACTTTGATGCCTCATTTGTTAGGGAAGATTAGATTGGACTATAATAGACTAGCAAAGTGGCTATATTTTATGTGCAATCAAGGACTAATATGGATATGTTATCTAACTTGGTGGATAAAGGAGGACTATCTATAGAAGTTGATCCCGGGATAAGTTTTAGTCATTAACATCTTATAGATAATTCTCATTCTTCCTCCAAGCTAGGCAACATATCAATATTATGCTTTGAATGCTCATAAAATATAGGCATTTTCTAGTTTAGTCTAGTCCTCCCTATCAAACAAGCCCTGAGGGTTTAGGGATCTTAGTAGATATGAGCTAAATTTTAGTGGATCTTCAATTAATCGAACAAGAAATTTGGAGCTATTTTATGGCAATTTAGTGGATGTTCTGTTATTTTTAGAAATGAGGACCAAATCAATTTGAAGTTATCATTCTTGTAAAAGTAAACAAGATTGATCTTTTGTTTTTTATTCACTTGTTTTGTTGATCCTAATCAGGAAGCATGAGAAGAAGAGGAAATGATCTCAAAGATTAGATATACACCTTGTTTATTAGTGAAAAAAGGATAATATTAAGCCGATAAAACAAAAAAAATTGTTCTAAATGCTTTTGGTGATCCCAGACACTAAAAATTTAGGCATACATGTTACAAATGCTCTGGCAGAAATCGATCATTGTTTTCTCGAATTACATTCACATTTGAAGCTCTAAGCTTCTGACTACTTCACGGTGGTATTAGTGTTTTAACAAACTTGGCAGTGAAGTCTTATTTATTAAATTTAGAAACCTAGAAATGGGGAATGGTTGAATTTTCATTTATGTAAATTACTAAACATAAGCAAATACAGCACAGCAAAAAGTTTGTTTAAGTATATGTGAATGTTGATCTATTATGCATATTACATTATTGTATACCATTTGAACATAATTTTTTATTCTCCTTTTTCTTCCTATTTAAACGCTATTATATAGCCAACGGGTGTAGTATAGTGAAAAAGAGTCTTGATTGCAGACTAGAGGTCTCATGTTTGAATTCACATAGCATCGTAGTTGTGTGCATTTGTGAGAGAAATCTCTCTCTCCAATAGTTTAGACTACCACTTATATTTAAAAAAATGATGTTGTATATATGTGGTCATCTTTCTTTTAACACATGTCATATTTGCCCTTGCATGCACCTGGGAACATTGTGCCTCCTTGGTAATGGAAACAACATTCAATCAATTTATTGGGAAATAGTGACCCCAAGTAATGTCAAATCCATCAACTTTAGTTAAATTTTCATATATGCCCCTCAAAATTTGACACTTCAATAAAGATCAGTCCAAAAAGTCACCCTTAAATGCTTTCACATTCTTGGTTGATGGGGGGGTAAGAGTCATTATGTATTTGAACGAAGTTGGGTGCAATTTGGTTAATGGGAGTGACTGTGATCATGATTTTGAAAAGAAAGAATTGGAGTTATAATTGATGGCACACCATAAAGTTTCATGACCATTTTACTCCTTCATAAAATATTTTGGTAATTTTTGATACACTTTCCGAGCTTTCTCATCACAAAATCTAACAAAAATTAATCATATGCACTTGAACACATCATTCAATGTCCTCATAGATGTGTTTTGGATTGCATGTTATTGCACTATTAGGTCGGCAAGAGCTTCCTAAGTTAAAATTTAGCTAAAAACACACCAAAGTTATTTTAGGAGCTCTCTATAAAATTTGAACTCCAATCATACTCCATAATTTAAGGAGTCATAAATACTATAGTTATTTTTTAATTCAATATAATTGGTCTATCTCTTTTAAAAATAATATAAATAATAGTTATAATTAATTAAAAGTTTAAACTATACATAAAATAAAGCAACATTAAATTATAGGGAACTAGTAAGAGTCATTTCCCTCTCTTCGGATTTAGGATCTCCTAGAGATCTTCATATTTTAGGAGGTGGATAGAGAGCGTGGTTAGAGTTGTATTTTTCCAATTGCTCCCTAAAATTTATCTAATAATAAGATGATTTAAGGAACCCATTATGGATGTTCTTACAAAACTAGTATTCTTATCAAATGATTTTTTATTAATTATTAATTGCATGCACAAAGTTTTCATTGGTGTTTTTTTTTAATTATTAAAAAAGTTCTCTGCATTATGAGTAAATTATAGAATCCAAGTGTCGATAATGTGTCATGAAATAAGTTATTGCAATCGTGATCTCACTTTAAACTATTTAATTCCTAAGTTATTATCACAAAATCTTTCACAACCTGTACGATTTATTTTTATAATGTTCAATGAAGTCACCACAACAGCGGAGAAGGGCCAGATGTCCCCCAAGAACAAAGAAAAGGAAATGACTGAAAATGACTCTAGGGTGTGATGTCTTCTGACAATCAAGTAAGAAATGTAAATTCTGACAAGTTCTAGTATGGAAGTTGGGAGAAATTTTCGTGTGCGTCCGCCCTCCTTTGCTTAGCTAAAATTTTGGTTTGAATGATGTCAGCTCAAATTCAATTATATATAGTTGATAAAAAGACATCAAATTAAATAACTAGTCTATGTATGTGCAATAAACTTTTGAAGATTGACGAACGTGAGTTAGGTTAATTGGTCAAAACAATGTGACCGTCTTTATCAATTGGCCAAAACAATGTGATCGTCTCTTTCGCACACAAATTGGTCTATCATCACATAATTTCAGTTAAAATGTCATATCACATTGTAAAGAAGAGGTAAAAAACCATTCGAAGTTTTGGTGAGCACAAGGATTTGATCACCTTATCTCTTATTTTGTGCGCCATCTATTATTAGCGTGGGACCTATAAACATACCGTCGGTCTCATCAACTTCAGTCTTTTTGTACATTACTACATTATTGTTTGTTGGCCATAATATGACTATGATTTTTGTTGACGCTTTCAAAGTTACAAACCAACTTTCATTTGAAAAATGGTTCCTCAATAATGATACTATTATGACCATATAATTATTTTGTCTAATTCTAAATATACTGGTTTGATGGGAATTAATTCAAACATTTTGTTAGCATAGTTGCAAACTCGCAGTATGCAGACTTTCCAATAAAGAAAAAGAGTGATTCGTCTACTACGTTAATAAAATAACGGAATGAATAAAAGTCATTTGTGTATGTGAGTAATTATATTTAACAAATTCCTTAATTCAGTATCCTTAAAAGATGATTTGACCTGATTAGAACACAGATGATGATGATTTGCTTGATGGTTGAGCTTCATTCTCCATGTCATATTGATTGGTTGTGAACAAAAGTCAAGTCACTTTCTTGAACTTCAAATGATATACAATAGCATTTAGAACTCACGTTCAAGCCTATACGGGCTGGTCCATTGTGATTTTTTAAGCTTTCTCGAGTTTCTTATTTGGGCTTTTAGATGACTCAAAGGCCAGAATCCAAACTCAGTTGACAACAAACTAGCCCAACCAGTTGCCCCAAATAAAGAAAAAAAAACACAGTTTCTGTAATTTTTTTTTTCTGGAAGCAAAGTCCAAAATCAATGAATAAAAATATTTCAAAGGTGGCAGATTATCAACCACATATGAAGTGGTACGTTGCAAATTTGCAATGAATGAAGTGTTAGTTAGGAAGTAGAGCAAACCAATCAATTAGTAGTTGCAAACTGCAAACATCAACAGAAAGATCGGTTGGTCTCTTGTTTTGGGTGGACAAACTGAAGATGTACAAACTGAGACACTTGTTTCTGAGCCAACAATGCTCGTTCATGGCGATGACATCTCTGAGACTGATGCGGGTAAGGACCCAAAGGGCCTCGTTTTCTTCTTCTGCTGTGAAATGGGAAGGTGGGGTTTCCATGGTGCAGGGTGCATCCAGAGGAATTGGCCTTGAATTCGTGAGCTTCTGTTTCTTTTATTCATTTGCTTTGTTGCATACATATATATTGCTGTTTTGGCAAACGGGTTGTTCTGTTTCATGTTGAGAGTTCGATTGAGATATAGAATTTCACTTGACAAGTGCCAAAATATGTAAATCTAGATAGAATCAAAATTGCCCATTTCATTGTATATCAAGAAAAAGTTTGTTATTGATGAATATGTTATCACAGTGATTACAACAATTGAAGAGTACTATTGACATTGCTTTGAAATAGCCAGGTTGGGGTTTGCAGGCTGGAAATTCAGTAAAACTAGAAAGTGTGGTCTTTGTATTGTTTACTGGAAAATGTATTTTTGGGATTTTTTATCTTCAGTTTCATTTCAATTTCCCTGTACAAAAATAGCATTTCGAAAAGAGGATGGTGGGCAACTTTTGGTTCAATGACAATGCCAATCCGAATACTTTCTGTAATTGTTCTCTTATGGCTATCAGAATGATAGAGTTGCATTTGTCATTTGAAGAGGACTATGAAGTTGAATTATATTCTAGTGATGCATTCGCAGTTTTATTTTCAATTTTTGGGGGTACTTTGCATGGTTATATAAGACCTCCGGCTGACTTGTTGGTTGGTTTTACCTTCGGAGGAACCGGAGGAACCTGTGGTACTCTGCAGGATTTCCATGTAATTAATCACCCAACACTTGATATCTGAGCTCTTATTGTTCGTGCAAGATGCATCTCCAAATTGAAATAGTCATATTATGTCAATATCATTTCAGACATAACTGGTTGTAGCCTGTAGGTTCTCACTTTCCGTCTGTGACACTTTTCTGCTTAAAATTGTGACAGTTTTCATTTTATGTGTAGGTTAAACAGTTGTTGGAGAAGGAAAAAGGTCATGTTATTGCCACTTGCCGTAATCCTAGTGGGGCAACAGGTCTTCTTCATCTGAAAAGTAAATTTGCTGAACGCCTCAGCATTCTACAATTGGATGTGACCAATGAAAGCACCATAGAGGTTACATAACTTGGTTTCTGCAAGTTCATTTCTTATCTTGCTCCATTCTGAAAGAAAAGTAACCCTTGAAGTTAGATGCATTTCACCATTTCCTTTTTCTACCAACACTTGGTAAATTAGTTTGCCTGCTAGTCAGCAATGAGTTCAAATATCAAAATTTGGCACTTTGAGGTTTTCTTGATTACTCTCAACTGTGCCGTGGTAAATTTACTGAAGAAAAAGGATCTTTGGTATTTCTTTGTCATTTTGGAATGAAGATGCATCAATGAAACTTCAGGGTACACTTCCTGTCTATAAATGGATTAAAAAAAAAACTACTTCCTAAATGTTTGTTTGTGTCTTGCATTTCAGGAATCTGCCAAGTCTATCAGTGAAAAATATGGCTCTTTAAACCTTCTCATTAATGCATCTGGGATTCTTTCCATACCTCAAGTACTGCAACCAGGTATGCATATTGGATCATTGCTTGAACAAAGACTTTGAAGTCTAATCATTATCTAGAACTGCAAAGTCTTACTCAGAACTTTATCATTTGTGTAAAAGCCAGACTGTCATTTGTGTTCTTTTATTTCCAGTACAGAAACGACGTTGAGGAAAGTAGAGAAGTCATCTTTGCTGCTTGCTTATGAGGTTAATGCTGTAGGTCCTATTTTAGTGATCAAGGTATGCTCACTTGAATTTCATTTTCAAACTTGACTTGGTTCTTGAATAAAATACACATACTATTTCAGAACCAAAGTCCTTGTAAGTTCCCTCACATTAATCTTCATGGAAGTGCATATTAGAGTTGGCTAATTATTGTAATCTGTAATTTGTGCAAGCAGCATATGTGGCCTCTCTTAAAGGATGGAGGTGGCTTGGGAACTGAAAGGGATGTTGCAGTTGTGGCCAACTTAAGTGCCAGAGTGGGATCCATAGGTGATAATCGCCTTGGGGGTTGGCATTCTTATCGAGCTTCAAAATCTGCACTTAATCAACGTATGATTTCTTGCTTAAGGTCTCTTAACATCAATTTTTATTTTTATTTTGATCAAGCATGTTTAAATCAGATTGAACTAATTGTAGTTTTGCAGTAAACTTAAATAGTTCTGTTTCAACTTTATAATTCTGTTGTCCACTGTATTTGCAGTGACAAAAAATATATCAGTGGAATTTGCGCGAAGGAAGGATCCAATTACGTGCATTTTATTGCACCCAGGTACAGTGGACACAGATCTCTCCAGGCCATTTCAGAGAAATGTTCCTGAAGACAAACTTTTCACAACAGAATTCTCAGTACAGAAGCTCTTAAGCATCATCCACAATGTGAAAAGCCATGAAAATGGAAAGTTTTTCGCCTGGGATGGTCAGGAAATTCCTTGGTGACCATTGGATTATTTCCAAATAGGAAACAAGAAATAAGTTTTTATTGAGTTGAAATATTTAAGCCTTCAATTGTCCCTCAAACAATCAAAGCTGTTAAACAAATTTGTTTGAACCTTCAATTGATATCAGAATAAAAAACATTGCGCTTTTACTTTTTTACTTTTTTAAGTAATTATTTGAACCAAAACCGTCGTATGGTTGAAACTTCTACAAAATTTATAGGTTAACAACTACATTTTTACATCAAAAACAGCTAACAAATAAATAAAAAATTCGAGATAAGCTATTCTGTCTCTGATGAACCATGTTGATACAAATGAAGATAGTTTCCTCCTTCACGGGTCATGGCTATGCGATTTATTCTTCAGGTTTGAGTTTCCTCCATCCCTCCCCACACCTGTCTCTGCTGCCTTTTGAGGCCTGCATTTGGGTTCTCTTTCATAAGCTTTTTTCTAAGGAAGATTGTTTTTCTTTTCATTGGAGGGGATCACTCCCCTGACCTATGGTGAAGTAAGAAACAAAATCCTGTGAGGAAAAGGAATTAAGAAGAATGCTTAGATTTCGTTTCACAATAGAAAGAAAGTGAAGGGCCGATCAAGAGAGAGAAGATACCAAATCTTGTCTGTGACTGTGACTCGCTTGTTCTATATGGTGATGATGTAACAATAGTCAGCTGCAAATATAACATGTGCTCTCGATGATGAAACCAAAGGCCATCTGTTCCAGCAGCAAAAGGCACTTGCAAAGGTAATATGCCTGTGAGATGAAAACCTTCTGAAGTAGCCTGCCAGTGATGCAAACCTAGCAGGGGCAGTGAGGTTCTTGAGAAATGCATGCTGCAGCGTTAAAACCTGATTATGTCAAATTTTAATGAACATTTGAGAATAGATAAATTCATTGGAAACCTAACAGACTCATAATAGAAATGCTAAATCTTGACTGACCTTCTCTTTATGGTTCCCAAGCTTCCATAAGGAGAATACCACGTGAAGAAGCACCAAGAGAAATGTTTTGACTTTGTTCTAGGCAGTATAGAAAGATTTTTTGTTACTTGCTACTTCAACTTCATCATCAATTACCATAAAATTATCATCCTCCATACCGGTTTGCTTGCCCTTATCATATTCAATCCAGCTATAACCTGGATCCTTAATGACCTGTTTGTCACTCATTTGATCTCTCACGTCCCTTGCCTCATCCCATCTTCCTAAAGAAGAATAAATATTGCCCAGAAGCACATAAGGGGCTGAATTATTTGGGGTCAAGCGGAAGAGTTCATCTGCTGCTCTTTTTGCTAACCCCACATTAACATAAACCCTACAAGAGCTCAGCAAAACCTCCCATATAATTGGATCATCTTTATATGGCATCTCATCTATCAGGACTTCTGCTTCATGGAAACGACCAGCACGACCTAGAGCATCAATAATGCAAGTATAATGATCCAAAACTGGCACCACTCCATGTTCTTGTTCCATAGAATTGAATATTTCAATGCCTGCATCGACCAATCCGGAATGGCTACAAGCAGTCAAAACAGCAACAAAAGTTATACAATCAGGTTTCTGACTTGATCCAATCATGTCCCCGTAAAGCAGAACAGCTTCATCTCCACGTCCATTTTGAGCATACCCATGTATCATTTCATTCCAAGTAACAGTATTTTTACTAGGCATCATATCAAAAAATTTCCTGGCCTCATCTACATCACCACATTTGCAGTACATATCAATGAGAGCACTCCCTACAAAGAGATCACTCATATATCCATCTTTTGTCATCTGAACATGAACCTGCTTCCCTTGAAATGAAGAAGACAGCTTCGCACAACAACTCAGTACAGTAGCATAAGTGAATTGGGTAGGTCTCATCTCATCATGCCGCATCTGCTTAAAGAAAGTGAAAGCTTCCTTATCTTGAGAATTGAGCGAAAGACCTGCTATCATAGAGTTCCAACAAACAATATCTAATTCAAGCATATTATGAAATATGTGCTTTGCCATTTCTGTCTGACCACACTTTGAATACATTCCAAGAAGTCCACTTGCAACATACACGTCTGTTTGAAAGGCAGCCTTTTGTGAGGCAGCATGTATTTCTTTTCCAGCCTGCAGAAGCCCCATTGCTGCACAGGAGCTGAGGGCAACTGCCAAGGTAGTTCGATCAGGTGGCACATGTTGAAACTGCATTTCTCTGAAAAGCTTGATTGCCTCCTTGTGGTCCCCACTCTGAAAATAGCCAGAGAGAATGGCATTCCATGAACTCACATTTGGGCATGAAATGTTATCAAACATTTGACGGCCACTTTTTATATCACCAGACTTGACACATCCTGCAAGCATATGAATATAAGTAACCTCATCTGGTTCAAAACAGCAAGATCGCATTCTTTGCAGATATTCTAAAGCTTTCTGAGTCTCGCATATCTGGCCATACCCAGATATCATGATATTCCAAGACACATTACTGACTTTTGGCAAATTAGCAAAAACCTTCTCAGCACTATTCATATCCCCATTCTTAGCGTACATATCAAGCAATGAATTGTTCAAATGAAGATCTCCCTCAAATCCAAGTTTAATTGTAAGACCATGTATTTGTTGTCCATTCACATTACATGGAAATCCATCACCCTGATCATCAAGACGATACTCGCCGCCTCCTCCTCCTCCTTTCGCACAAACACCCAAGATGCTCGACAACGAGACAGAATCAATACGAACCCCTTTCCTACACATCATTCTAAACATTTCCAAAGCCTCCATGACTCTGTCCGTCTGCACTAACCCACCCATGATAGCCGTAAAAGTAACTTCATTAGGCTCAGCCATGTCACCAAAAACCCGAATTGCATCCCTAATAAGTCCACATTTTGCATACATGGAGAGTATAGCATTGCCCACATAAATATTCTCCTCAAGACCAATTTTGATGGCAAGACCATGACATCTCCTACCATGCTCCACATCCAACAATGCTCCACACGCACTAAACACACTCGCCAACGTGAAACGGGTAGGCATGAATCCCTCCAAAATCATTGTATCATAAACACCCAATGCAGTTTCCTCTTGCCCATGCCGGACTAACGCACTAATCAGAGTGTTCCAGGAAACGGTGTTTCTCTCAGGAAATTTCAAAAACAACTCCTGAGCATCCTCTATACTCCCAAAGTTACAGTAGCCACCCAATATGGCATTCCAAGAATACACGTCTCGGTGAGGCATTTTATCAAACACCCGGTCTGCATAACCGATATTACCACATTTAGAGTACAACTCAACGAGGCGGTTAGAGAGGAAAGTATTCGACAAGAGGCCATTGCTACGTAATATGAAAGCATGAATGAGCTTGCCGGCCAAATGGGCTTTCTTGTCTATGCAACCCTGCAAGAGATTTGCTAAACTGGTAGCTTTGCCTTCCATGGATTTCAAAGCTTAGAGAGCTTGTTCAACATTGCGATATAGTACAGTACCTGAGGTACTTGTTCCTTCTATCCACCAATGACACTAAGCCACGTAGGCACAAACAAATTGTCCTACAATTCTTCAAATAAGTGCGTGAATATATGAGAGAGAAGCGCGAAGTTTAAATCGGATATGAACCCTATGACTCCTATCCTAGGGTTTTTAACAAAGATTGAATTGAATTGGGAGCCAAACCTGAATGATGCGCGATCGAGGAGGCCTGTATAAATAGAATTTTCAACGGTATAGCCGTTCACCAGTATAGCTGAACGGCTATACCCTATGAATGGTATAGCATAAAATATTTTAACGGTAACGCCAGTCGGCTATACTCTGTAAATAGAATTTTCACGGCTATACCCTATAAATATTTCTCTTTTTAATTACTTTATTTAGTAGTTATATTTTAATTTTAATTTACCTAATCAATAATTAGTATTTAAATATTTTCTTAAAGAAAAAAAATTAAAAAATGTAGTTACTATTTATTAAGTAATATAAATTGTGAAGTTAATTAAAATATTTAATACTAATTATTCACTAAATAAATAATAATGAAAACATAATTACTAATGAAAATAATCAAATAAGGCTGAGATATTATTTAATTACTAAAAAGAAATTTTTTAGTCCGGCAAATATAAATTCATTTTTTTTGTTGGTGCAATGTGGAATAAACGTATAGCCGCGCGGCTGTACTATATAAATAGACTTTTTCAAACGTATAGCCGCCCGGCTATAATCTGTAAATATAATTTTGATAACAGTATAGCCAGTCGGCTAGACTCTGGAAATTGAATTTTTTTAAAAGTATAACCACTCGTAGTATACTATGTAAATAGAATTTTTCGAAAGTACAGCCGGTCGGTTATACTCTGTGAATAGAATTTTCCAACAGTATAGCCGCCCGGCTATACTCTGAATATAATTTTCTTTATATGTATTTGAAGTTCTAATATATGAAAAACAATGGAATTCTTTACCAGCTGGCTTTCATTATTTTATTTTCTTCTTCTTTTTGTTTTGCCACGCAGATAATCTTCGTCATTTTAGGTTTTCATGCAGCATCACTCCATTTATACTCCGAGCTAATTGCAAAAGACTTCAGGTTTGCTTCTGTGCGACGTCGTTTGGCCAAAGAACCGTTTGACAGAGCCAACAGCCGCCAAAACCAGACCAGAACTCGAGTCTCAATGGAGAAAGGTGGGACCTTAGAATTCCTGCTCTGATACCTTGTAGAAATTTAATAGGAGAAACACTTCGTAGAAGTTTTCTTGTATATATCATAACAGGAAGAGTTTACAAAGACTCAAGCATATATATACACAAGGAGAGAAGAAACAGACTTCAATATCTCCTTGAATCACGCCCTTAATTTAGGGACGGATCACAGCTACCAACAAGGATGGCAGCCGTGCACAACAAGGTATATACAGTAGCGCACCAGGTTATACACCGGGAAAGAGTCCTTACCCGATTTGACTTCCAATACTACGAGAACGTAAGGTCAAATTAAGGGTCAAGAAACCATTTTGACCCTAGTATATGTTTATTTTTATTTTTATGAATGACCTTGTCAAGGAACCAATATGTCTTTCCTTTTTAAGACAAGTTTGTGTTACCTTTGTGAGTTGAGCAAGAAAAATGGGTTCCTCAAGATCATTGTTTTTCTTCATTACTCTTGCTATTATTATCTTAAACCTTGTTGCCCCCGCCATATCCCAATACGATGGTATGTGCACAGAAAGAACTGATTACTGCTGGAAATGCTCTGATACTGGCATCTACACACCAGGTGACAAGTACCATGAGAACCTCAACAGCCTCCTCTCCTCCTTCTCCTCCTCCAACACCCAAAACAATTATGGGTTTTACAATTCATCATTGGGGCAAGACCAAAACCAAGTCAATGCAATCGCATTATGCAGGGGAGATATCTCAGAGGACTCTTGTCATGCTTGTCTCAACAAGTCTGCTGATGTTCTCTTGCAAAATTGTACACGTCATCAAAAGGAAGCAATCGTATGGGCTGAGCCTTGTATGGCGAGATACTCAAACAACTTGATATTTGGTATTGAACAAGTGGACCCTGTTCAGCATGTGCCTAGCGAAAAATATGCCAGAAATGACCTGGTGCTTACCTCCTTGTTGGCTATTTTAAGTGACAGAGCTGCGTCAGGGGATTCTCTTAAAAAATTTGCAGCAGGCCATGCAACTGTCTCTGGAGGTGAAAAAATATACGCACTTGTTCAGTGCACTCCAGACCTAGACAAGCAAAATTGCAGCAATTGCCTTAAACAGTCCGTCTCAGAAATTCAAACCTGTTGCGGTGGAAAAGGAGGAAGAGTTCTTAGACCCAGCTGTAATTTAAGGTATGAGGCTGGTCTGTTCTTTGAGTCTACAGCCAATTCGTTAGTAGATATTCCAGCTCCAGTTCCGCCAGCACCAGCACCCGAAGAAGGTACAGCACCACCACCGCCCGAAGAAGGTACAACACCAGCACCCGAAGAAGGTACAGCACCACCACCACCCGAAGAAGATACAGCACCAGCACCCGAAGAAGGTATGTATGGTTGGTTACCCTGCAAATCTTAAATTTGATATCCATGTCTTACAATTGTGTGGTTTGGTTTTGGCTTTTGTAAGATGTCCCATCCAATTTTCAGCAAAAAAGAAGAGTAACACAAAACAAACAGTCATCATCATCGCTGTGGTTTTGGTTGTTTTTGTCACTATTTTCAGCAGCATATGCTTTTTCTACAGAGTTAGGAAACGAAGGGTAAAACTTGAACAAGGTAAGTTCAACTCTGTTTATTTATCTTATCTGAGGTTTTGAACTCTCTTTGCTAATTAATTTTCCCCTTTTCAGATGAGAATTCTGAAGAAGTTAGTCTGGGGGATTCGTTGCAATACGATTTTGAAACTATAAGATCTGCAACAGATGACTTCTCTGATGCAAATATGCTTGGACGAGGTGGGTTTGGAGCTGTTTACAAGGTAACAAAACAATCACTTTCACAAGAAAAAAAAAATCTAAGCATGGTTTCCTTATTTTTCTCTTTTAAACATTCAGGGCAGGCTATTAAATGGGCAGCCTATAGCAGTGAAAAGGCTCTCCAAAAATTCTGGACAAGGTGATCGTGAATTTAAGAATGAGGTCATGTTAGTTGCTCAGCTTCAACACCGGAATTTAGTGAGGCTCCTAGGATTTTGCTTGAAAGCAGAGGAAAGACTCCTCATTTACGAATATGTGCCTAACACAAGTCTTGATCACTTCATTTTTGGTATATTTGCTCTGCCTCAAATTTCATATAATTTATAGTAATTTCTTAAAGATTAAAAAGTTCATATTTCTTTTAATAAAATTGTGTTTAGACCCAAACAATCACGAGCATTTGGATTGGGAAACATGTTACAAGATCATAGGAGGCATTGCTCGAGGGATTCTTTACCTCCATGAAGATTCTCGGCTTCGAATTATTCATCACGATCTCAAAGCCAGCAACATTTTGTTAGATAAATATATGAACCCCAAAATTGCTGATTTTGGAATGGCAAGATTGTTTGTTATTGATCAAACTCAAGGGCATACAAGGACAGTAAGGGGAACCTAGTAAGTACTGTGATAACATACACTTTCATTTTGTGCTCTCCTTACAACAGAAAGCTTTCATTGAAAAAGAAAAAAACTTTGCATGTCTAATAAATGGAATATAATTCGTGCAGTGGATATATGGCTCCTGAGTATGTAATTCATGGTTGCTTTTCTGTCAAAACGGATGTCTTCAGTTTTGGGGTGTTAGTTCTTGAAATTGTAAGCGGTAAAAAGATTGGTAGTTTCCGATATGGCGAGAATGAAGAGGACCTGTTGACCTATGTGAGTATGAATACATTAAAGTCAGTATATATTCTCTCTTTTGCCATGGTAAAATTTCTTTTTGACTATATTGATGTACTTTTATAGGCATGGAGAAATTGGAGGGAAAATACGTTTCAAAACATCATAGATCCCGTGTTGACGAGAAGTTCACTAATGGAAACGATGAGATGCATCCACATTGGTTTACTGTGTGTTCAAGAGAATGCGGTGGACAGGCCAACCATGGCTTCAGTTGTATCCATGCTTAACAGCCAGTCTCTCGCACTTCCAGTACCCTCACAACCTGCATTCTGTAAGCATGGTACCAGCAGCCTCTCTCCACATGTATCAAAATATGAGCCTTCAAATATTACTGAACCATATCCCCGCTAGTGGTTGAGTACCAACCGCACGGTAACATATTTAGGTTTTAGATTTTGTTTATTTATTTAGCACCAAAGTTTTGTTGGTAACTTCTTGCTTCAAATGCGAATTGGTATTTATCGTTAATAAAATGACATCCCGTGGCTTCACTATTATGTCTGTTTATCTCCATGCAGTTCTTATTACACTCTCTAATACAATGAGAAGGGCAATAAAAGTTAATAAAACACTGAAAATGAATGAAAGCAAGTAAAAAGACAGTAAGGATATTTTAGATGTTTAAATCCAATCCGGGAAAAATAAGCTCCCATACTAAACTGACCAATCCGGACCCAAATTGAACCAACCAGTTCAGGAGACTATAGGAGTTCAGAAGGTCATTGGCTCTTTGAAATCCTATGAACAACGATTGTAAAGGCACACTGAGAAACTAACAGAAAAGGCTTTCTGTAGCCTGAGTGTGAACCCCAGAGAGCAGGTAAATGCTGCACAAGGTGGAAGTTCTAAGTCCAAGAAGAATTGGAAGCCACAGAACAAGAAGAAATGGGATGGGAAGCCTGGAAATACTTTCAAAAAGGAATATAAGAATGAAGGAGCAAAGGGTTCTTGCAAAATCTGTGACAAACTGCATTATGGAATTTGTTGGTTCAAAGGCAAACCTAAATGCACAAACAAATTGTCCTACAATTCTTCAAATAAGTGCGTGAATATATGAGAGAGAAGCTCGAAGTTTAGATTGGACATGAACCCTATGACTCCTATCCTAGGGTTTTTAACAAAAATTGAATTGAATTGGGAGCCAAACCTGATTGATGCGCGACCGAGGAGGCCTGTATAAATAAAATTTTCAACGGTATAGCCGAACGGCTATAACTAGAATTTTACAACATTATAGCCGAACGGCTATACCCTATAAATAGAATTTTTCAAATGTATCGCCGCGCGGCTATATTCTGTAAAGAATATTTCAGCGGTAAAGCCGAAACTGTAAATAGAGTTTTCAATGGTATAGCCGCTCGGCTATACCCTATAAATATCATAATGTGGATTTCTATTTTTTAATTACTTTATTTTGTAGTTATCTTTTAATTTTTATTTACCTAATGAATAATTAGTATTTAAATATTTCTTAAAGAAAAAAATTTAAAACATTAATTATTATTTATTAAGTAATATAATTTGTGAAGTTAATTAAAATATTTAATACTAATTATTCACTAAATAAATAATAATGAAAACATAATTACTAACGTAAATAATTAAATAAAGCTGATATATTATTTAATTAAATAAGTCTGGCAAATATAAATTCATATTTTTTTTGTTGGTGCAATTTGGAAATATTTTTAAATCATAGAATTTTTCAAAAGTATAGCCGCCCGGCGGTTTATCCGGCCTGAATTTTCATAACAGTATAGCCGCGCAGATATACTCTGCAAAAAGAAATTTTCAAACGTATAGCCGCCCGGCTATACTATGTGAATAGAATTTTTCTTTGTTTATGTATTTGAAGTTCTAATATATGAAAAACAATGGAATTCTTTTCCAGCTGGCTTTCATTTATTTATTTTCTTCTTCGTTTGTTTTGCTACGCAGATAATCTTCGTCATCGTCGAGATTTTAGGTTTTCATGCGGCATCACTCCATTTTATACTCCGAGCTAATTACAAAAGACTTCAGCTTTGCTTCTGTGCGACGTCGTTTGGCCAAAGAACCGTTTGACAGAGCCAACAGCCGCCAAAACCAGACCAGAATTCGAGTCTCAATGGAGAAAGGTGGGTTAGACTCTGCTGGCCGAGAATTCAAGAACGCAGAGGAGATGTGGAGAGAACAGGTCGGAGAAGACCAGAGCAAGAAGACTGAATGGTACCGTCAAGGCATTGGCTACTGGGAAGTCAGTGCTTTTGGCAATCTTCTGTTTGTGCTTTTCTTTTTCTCTCAGTCATTTTGTCAAGCATGTTGTGGACGTTTGGAAAGTGTTTGATGTTTTTGGTTGTTTCGTTGTTTGTGGTGAGAAAAGGGTGTGGAGGCCTCGGCGAATGGAGTGTTGGGAGGATATGGACATGTCAATGAGCCTGACATAATGGGCAGTGAAGCTTTTCTTAATACGCTTCTCTCTGAGCGTTTTCCTGATGCTGCTAATAGCCAACGCCACCTAGTTGTTCTTGGTACACAAAACTCTCTCTCTCTCTCTCTCTCTCTCTCTTTGTTTGTTTTAAGTTTGCTTAAAATTATTAACTTTGTTGAGAGCTTGGTTAAAGAAACCTTATTTATCTGAGAAAAGAGTTGAATTCATATTTAATAAGTTCATTTATGTTAGTCATGTTTAGGGCCTGGCTATCAAGCAATCAAATTTGAGAAGGGCTGCAATCCAAATTTGGGCTCCCTAGTGTTGAATATGACTTTTTGGTTTGTGGTTTTAAAATCAATTCAAGGTTCTTACCAGTATTTAATTTTCTACAGATTGTGGTTCTGGCATTGGGAGAGTCACAAAAAATCTTCTCATAAGATACTTCAATGAGGTGAGTTCAGTTTCTGGGCAGCACCTCCCTCTCCTACCACCTTCTTTCCACATTCAGTTTCCCTGATATTCATTTCATATTACTGTACAATAATTTTTGAGGTCTTTAACTGGACTTGTATCACATGGTGTTTGTTTGTCAATCATGAATAGTGGAACCAAATTTGGATAAGTTCCAACTGCTTAAATGTGAAGTGCATCCATATTATTAATGGCTCTTTATAATGGAATATTATGTTCCTGGTTCAAACAATGTACAAGACAGAGTTTCAATAGTATTAAGACTGTATCATGGGACCTCAAATATATGTCTTGGTAGAGTTGCTACTTATCTTTCTTAGCTTTCAAATTTATTTATGAGATGACAACCAATAGAGCTTTTTGCATCACGTGTGAGCTTGAGTCAGGATACCAATATCTTTACCATGATTTAATGTATTGGATTTTCCATCAGACTGGATCTTCTTATGTGTTTGTGTTACATGGAACAAATTAGTGTCACTATAACTTAATAGAGTTTATTATCCGTTGTAACCTTCTCAAGTGAGTTCACACATTTATTCTCTTTGATTGTTTATTTCTGTTTTCTTGAAACCCCAGGTTGATCTTCTTGAGCCTGTATCACATTTCTTGGAAACTGCTCGTGAAAGTTTGGCTCCTGAAAATCATATGGCCTCTGATATGCACAAAGCCACTAATTTTTTATGCGTGCCTCTTCAGGTAGTATACTCAAATACAATAATATTACCATACACATTGGCATATGGTCTTGACATGCACAAACCGGCTAATTTTTAAAACACCTGCCAGGCAATTTGGTTTTCCAATGCACTTATTAAGTGTCCTCCTTTCTTTACTTTTTCTAAACATCCATCTCTTACCCTCGCTGAGTCTTTTGCAAACCTCTTGAACGTTTTCTGTCCTTCATTTTAGGAATTCACACCAGAAGCAGGAAGGTATGATATTATATGGGTTCAGTGGTGTATTGGGCATCTGACAGATGATGACTTCGTGTCATTCTTTAAAAGGGCAAAGGTAAAACTCTTTTCTTGAATATTAATGTAAATTATATTTCAGATGTCAAGGTATCTAGTGGGATTGTATCACTATCACATCATATACAAGTGTAGAGTGTTGAAAATGAAAATTAACTTAAAGATTGTTGCCTACAATCTTCTGACCATTTAGATCCATAAATCTATGAGTATTAAACCCTTTGTTAAATCTAAAATTTCTGCACTCTCTGGTTCAAATTGAATTTGGACTTTGTGAGGATAGTTTGAACATGATTGACCCCTGAAAAGTTTGAACATGCATTCTGGACAGGATCCTCATTTGCCTTAAATTGCCGTAGAAAGTTACCATAATGCTGACTGTGTTTAGATCCTCTAAATTCCTAATTCCAGACTTCCAAGGTTTACGACTCAGAAGTTTGATTACTGTTCCAGTCAACTGAAGCCATAATTCAACGTTTTAAATTTCTTTTAAAGCTGATTGTCACACAAGCAAAGAATTTTGGAGAGCATTGGATTCTAATGTAAAACTAGTGCCCTTATCCTGTACCCTATTGTTGTTAGTTTTGTGTCAGAAAGTACTAACAGTTTATATGTTTACCTGTACTAACAACCTGATCTTTCTAGGTTGGATTAAAACCTGGTGGTCTTTTTGTCCTGAAGGAAAATATTGCAAGAACCGGTAATTTGCTTTCTGTTTCACTTCTTTTCTTTGTGGTTATGATAAAGTTTCCATTTCACCTGTTTCCACTACTACTAAGAAGGGATGAGGAATAGGTACCCATTAGGTGTTAGGGTTGTGATAATTGGGGTGGTGGTGGTGATGCTGATGGTGGGTACCCACTGTCCATTCCTTCTACTAGGGTTACCATGCTGTAAAAAGTATATTTGTCTGCATTCTTTTTTGTACAGTAAATTTGATGGAGGATAACAATTTGCAGCAAGAGAATGAATAGCTGTGAACTGATTGTGTTGATTTGTAGGATTCGTGTTAGACACAGAAGATCGGAGCATCACCAGGTCCGATTTGTACTTTAAGGAGCTCTTTTGCCAGTGTGGACTTCATATTTACAAATCTAAGGTCAAATGTGAACTTTCGTACCATGTCCTATTAGCTCTAGAATTTGATGTGAACATAATTTCGCTCTGTTTCTATCTTCTGCTTTTCTTTTCTTTTTTTCCTTTTTTTGTTGCTGATAACTGATTAGTCTAGAATAGGTTCTCATGGTCACTAAAGGTTTCCAAACTTTAAGTTGTATGTGGAGTGTGGACTTCATGCCATATCAGTTGGTAGATTTGTTGCTCGTATTTGTTGTTTGTCGTATTGATGCCAATTTTCTTAATGAAATTGAATTTGCCGTCTCTAACTGGAAATTAGTTTACTGGCTCATAACTTTAAAACAAAGTGAAGTAGTTGAGCATGATTATATATACTACCTAATTCATTTTGACCACTGATTGATTAAATAATCGTCTTTGATTGAATTTATATGGAATCTCTACTGTCTTTAGCATCAAGATTTGCTTGGTTTATAATGCCAGTTTTTCCTTGCATCAGGATCAAAAGGGATTGCCTGAGGAGTTATTCGCTGTGAAAATGTATGCATTAACTGCTGACTTGCCAAAGAAGGCCCATCGGACCAAATCTAAAGTGCAAGCCAATAGACCCGGTGTCATCAAGTGAGAACTTCCATCTTTAACTTACATAGAGACAGATTATATTCCTTTTGACAGTAGTTTTTGGTCCTGAGTCCTTGTAATATGCCATTTTCCCTTTCCAATTGTACCCCTAAGTTTTGTGCAAGAACCAGTTCGTATTCAGCAGCAAATTCTGCATCTTGATATTCTTGATGAGGTGCATATTGTTTTTGTTGTTTTGTTGTGTAAATGTAAGATACTAATAAAGCCAGCAATAGACATTGTTTGGTTATGTTCACATTATTTTTCCACCCTGACTTTGTCTTGCGTCCCTGCAAAGCAAAATGATATTTGTGAACTGATAGAAGTGAAAGAGGAGAGGGTGCTGATCCAGATTAAGTAGAGTTACCAAGGACTTCGATCTTAATACCGCAATGAAACGTTACAATTTAAAATATCCCACATGGGAGAAACAAAGCATTTTGTGATCACAGATATAACTTATAAGAAAAAGATTTCTTTCAGGAATCTGATTTACAAAGTTCCATGAATTGAAAAGTTCAACTTGATTGCATGCGCTGGTGCCCTTTACCCCTTTCTGAATGTAACCTTTCATGATTATGAGAAGCTAAAACCCTGCAAGACTGGTAGGCTTTGCTCATGATATCAAAGACCTGACCCAAGCTGACTTCTTGGTTGCTTGATGCATCTGTGCACATTAAGCCTAGGCCTATTGCCTGTTTAGCTTGATCAAAAGTATTTTGTGTCAATTCCATTTTCTGGTCTATCACTTTCTGCAGATTCCCAGGATAATGCATTCTGATATACTCAATAAAACCAGCCTCACCCCTCTCGAATTCTTCTTCCGGCCTCCGGTTTAAGAGCATCTCTAGTAGGAGCACTCCAAATTTGTACATCTCTGAAATGCAAAATTTAAAATTGTCAGATCAGTAAGTTAACCGAGTACAGAGAAGTAAAAGCAAACAGAAAGAATTTACGCAGCTTCATATATAGATGTGACTTACTTCTATTGCGGCTGATGCTTTGATCCCGAATCTTAAACCTTGAAATTCGGGGCTCCAGATTGTTAGACAACAGGATGCTGCTTGTCCTGAGGTCATAACCAACTTCAGGCCACTCCTCTAGATAACACATGCCTTCTACAACCCCCATTAATATTCTCAACCTATGGCTCCATGGTGTAATATTTGACCCCATTAGCCACATCTCAAGGTTCTCTCCTTCCATCCATTCGGTGACAATGGCTTTTAGTCTTCGGTTGTTACACCAACCCAATACATTAACCAAGTTCTTGTGGCATAACTGAACAAGAATCTTGCATTCTTCGATCAATGTAGGGTGTCTTTCACCTCTGTAAATCTCAATCCTGACATCAGCACCATCTCTCAGAGTTCCTTGGTAAATATAAACTGATTCACTCTTCCCCATCAAATTCTTCTTTGAAAATCCATTGGTTGCTGCCTTAAGCATTGCTGGTGTAAACCGGTGCTTTGGTCGAAGCATTCGTGGGAGGAAGTCAGGCCTGCGGAAACAAAGCCATCCCAAGCAAGACACCATCAGAATCACAAAGATTGGGAAACCAACCAACAAGAGTACAGCCTTGATCCTGAACTTTTTTCCATCTGGGAGGAGACCCGAATGAAGAAAGCTTGAAGAGTTAAATTTTTTAAAGAACGGGATATCAGAGATTTTACTCTCTGAGAAGTGATTATACGATAAGTTAAGGAGTGTGAGGTTGGTAAGGGGAGAGAAACTCTCTATTGGGACATCACCAAAGAGGTTATTATGGCTCATATCAAGAGCTTGGATTTGGGTGCATTGAAGAACGTCAACAGGGAAATTGCTCCTCAAAGAATTGTTTGACAGATCAATAGCTAAGATGCTCAGAGGGCAATACTTCCAAAAGAAGTTGAATGACAAGTAGAGTGGCGCCATCTTTGGGTCGTTTTGAAGGTCTATCTTTGGGAATGATTCGACACAGTTCGGGTTCTTGGACTCGTTGCAAAGATGGCTTGCGACAATGGTGGATTTGAAAATCTCATCAAGGTCCATAGGAGAGGAACTGCAATATCTGAGAGATGGGTTGTGCTGACAGTTTTTCAGGATTGTGGTGTTGAAATCATGAGGTGGTTTTAAACTTTTAAGATCTTCTATGACTGACGCAGAGAGAGCTGCAGAAACTGAGGCTGAAACTGTGACCAAGAGGAGGATGAAAGTTATAGAAAGGGAAGCCATGGAGAAGTTTGTGTGTGTATGTGTTTGCAGATTGTCTTGATATATACGTTTAGATTGTAAATCGAGTTCAAACGGTTACCAAGAAGTGGGGAGCCCATTTTTTCACGTTGAAGGCTAATTTTGGTGGTTACACTACAGCCTCGAAAAACAGTTTAATTTTTATAGCCCTCAAAGCATGCAAGCATATGTACAACACTTTTTTCTTGTCGACTACGGTCCTAATTGCATTTACATATGTACAACACACTATTGGATTATACATCAAGAAATTATAATGCTTCATAGCCCTCAAAGCATGCATGCATATGTCTATGTTTAGCTTCATTGGTTTGATATATTAGTACTAGCTAACAAGTCTTGCATTGGCAGTGAGGACGAGGTAATCTGCACCCCGAGGGCTAGAAACAACAAAACAAAGCTGATCTAAACCTCAGGATGCAGATTACCCGATCCTTACCCAATACGATTGATCAGTATACTTTTACGGTTCTACCAAGGTATGAAGAGCTAAGTTAATGAGAATATACATAGAGAAAGAAGACAATAAATTAAACTATTTGATAATTAGTAGGTCCGTAGAGCAGGAGGTCTGAGGCCAATCTGCATGGTATCATTCGGTATTTATAGTCACAGAATGATGTAAAAGGAGGCTGCACTGCATGCAATATGCAAAGAATCAACAAGATTTTGTTCCATGCATAACCAATGATGTAGGGTAGGAATTCATTGAAGCAGCAGGAACATTTCTTTTTTAAAGACGTTGATATTTCTGGCTTCACTGCTTTTCTAAGAAGAACAGACAAGATCATGGTAGCAGGAACTTTATTCTATAAAAGATCCTCTCCAAATTGTTTTAGTTTTAGAAATGTAAATACTTAAATTTGAAGAAACGAAAAGAAGATTACAAAAGCACACACATGCCAAGTAATAGACTATAGCTATAGGCTTTATTAGTTCCTTCAAGCTCACACCATTGATATTAAGTTGTATAATTGAGGAATCTTAAGTGTATAATTACATACCTGATCATCAGGTGGGATAATTCTCTTGCAAGCTATCTCTTTCGAAGATGATTACCTCATGAAAAGGAAAGGATCGATGCCACATTTAGATGTATCTGGTTTCATTCATGGTCTTAATCAGCTTTAGGCATATTCTCTATTCCCTTGGCTTTTGAAAGGCACCACAACGTCTAGCTCACAGCGGGTTTGTTTGGAGAAACTAGATTAATTTGAAACACACGGCGTAACATGAGACTATATGTCACCGTTAGGATTAACATGTGAATAGCTTTGATACCGTACTAGAATGTGAGTATTCAACTCAAAACCGTTTGATAGTATTAAACTATTACTACAAGACTTCCATTTCTAATGTGGAATAATACTCTCAACACAACTGTGGAATAATACTCTCAACACAACGGTGAATGCAAATTGCCAGAAAAGTGGTATGGACCAATATTGTATTACGCATAGGCCAACGCAAAGCAAGGATTATTGCATGCATGGGCCTGATCATATGTAACTCTTCCAACATTGGAATAGATGCCATATTTTTAACCAAACACAAAAAGAAGAAGCAAATTTGTGAACAATCTAGGAGTCTTTCTTGAGAATGATCATATGCAACTTTTAGACTGTGTGTATACAGATTCCAAGCGTTGTCTATCCCTAGGACCACGAAAAATCATACGTATATCGAACACTTCTATTTTCCTACCAGAAATAGATTATATTCCAAACCAATATGTCTTAGTTGCCTCTACTTTCTTATTATTAGGACCACGAAAATGATGTGGTCGATCGAACAATTTTATATTTTCACAGCAAGTGAAATAAGATTATATTCCTACTTGAACTGCCGATCCTTACTAGATCAGTCAAAGAAATGCTCAAAATCAGTCCTCAAAAGTCATATTAATATTGCACCTCATAATCATCATGATGAGCAATAATATTCACGGCACGGATGTGGCTCTATACACACTGAGAGAATATACCATTTTAAAATCAATTAATTAACTTTAGGAATTCTTATAAATACCGACTACCACCATGCAGATTGGCCTCAGACCTCTCCTTCTACAACACAACCTTCCTTGGTATCTCAAATATTATAAAGTCTCTTTTCTTCCATTCAAATTTGAGTTCAATTCATATGTAGTATAGTATTTTGATATTGGGTAAGGATTGGGTAATCTTCATTATAACACCTATTAGATATGCAATTAAGATGAATAACTTCGTTTTCTTCTCCATACTTATATAACCTCATTGAGCTTAATTAATATATCTCTATATATCTTGGTTAGATCAACTTCATTATAATAATTGTGGTATCTAGCCCTTGGGATGCAGATTACCTAATCCTCACAGCCAATTAATGCAAGATAGATTCACTTCTTCTATATATCCTCATTGAGCTCATTATAAAATTATTTTGTTATAGAAGCATGATCATATTGGGTAAGGGTCGGCTAATCTGCATCGTGAGGTTTAGATCTACTTCATTACATGTTGATATTCTAATCCTTGGGATGCAGATTATCTCATCCTCACTACCAATTCAACTTGTGTCGTTCGACTAATTTCATAACGTGTTATTAATTAGAAGTATGATATTTGGGTAAGGATCGGGTAATCTGCATCCTGAGGTTTTAGATCACCTTATAATTATTGTATGATCTAACCCTTGGGGTGCAGATTACCTTATCCTCACTGTCACTGACAATGCGAGACCTGTTATGCAAGGAGTTCCATTGGAGATTATGGACAAGACAATGGTTGC